AAGGTAAAGGTGTTTTTATTGAGCCGAATTATCAATAAAATCATGATTTTGTTAACAGGTATGGATTTATGTGCTGTCGAGTTAATATATTTGAACAAGAGCACAGTAAAGTTAAATCAGCTAATTTAACAATGAGGTTCTGTTACTGAACGGAACTACACCATGTTCTACTGAGGTTAGTACATATAGGGTCACAGACATAGTACTAGACACCAAACATCTTTTTAACTTTGACTCATTTCTTTAGCAAACAGACTAAACACAACTCACCTACTCTCTTCCAGCAGACGCTTGTTTGCAGAGAGACCTCAGACCAGTCCATTACGGACTACAGCGGGGTGCCGCAGCTCAAGGAAGAACATTTATGATCATTTCTTCATGGAAATACAATCAGACCGAGACGCTAAGACAGAAGAACTACTACGTCTGTAAAATGATTAATATGGTGATTATTACTTCAAGGAAATGATAAAGAAATAGAATAGTTACTGATCGCGCCAAAGTTTGTGCTCTCCTTAATAGTTTTAAAGTGAACATTTTACCGTTTTTATAGTTTTTATGGGCTTTTAAAGGTCTGGTCTGACACCAAAGTTGACGTTTTACCTGGGCCATCACACCGGGACAGATTTGTTTACCTTAACAACAGGTAACAAGTCCCGACGAAATAAGGCCTCCACTGCAATTTTACAATTAAGCTGGAGTAGGAACCTTTCATCATGAAACTGGGCGCCATTCTCTTGACTTTCTGTAGCGAGCTCGCTGATGTTGAAGCTGTCGCAAACTACGAGGGGCAAAGAATTGCTGAGCTGTTGCAGAGATGGCTAGCAGAGGAAGTGACGTATGTTTCGCACATGCACAGTACAAATCGGGTTTCTGGGACGGACAAGGGTCATCATCTTATAGTGTGTGTGTGTGTTTGTGTGTGTCTGACCTCTGCTGGTCCTGGTGTGAGGGTCTCCGGCGCTCTCACACACTCCGGAGAGGAACTCGTTGACCTGTTTGAGAGAGAGCGAGTTGTGCAGGGTCTCCAGAGGATAGATGGACGGCACCATGGAGCAACCTTCGAAACCTGCGGAGGACAAACCACGCCCACAGACACGTCAGACCGCAGCACACCGAGGGTGTCTTCAGATCACACCACACGCCACCCCCAACACAAGCCCACACAGCTCTGACCTCCTGACCCTGACCTCCTGACCCTGAAGCTGACTGACTCCACGCCGGGTCTCTGCAGGGACACGGAGCAGGAACCATGCTGAACACCAACATCTCAAACTACATCACATGACGTCACTCTGTTAGAGGAGCAGACAGACCTCAAACCAAAGCGGGTCAGTCCAAACACTGGACCCCCTCCACACACACACACTCGGTCCTGTTAGTCCAAACCAGGCTGCAGTTTCACCTCAGAGTCGAAGCTCAGAACCTCACAGCTCAGTGTCAGCCTCACTAACGAACTGGACTCAGGTCTGACTTGGACCGGGACAGTGGTCTCTGTGCAGCTGCTGATGGGGGTCTGTGACAGACGGAGGCTCTCAGCTCCGTCAGTCAGCGACCTCAGAGCCGCACCAGTCTGTCTCTGAACATGCAGGTTTAATCATGATGACAGAGCTCACTAACACACACACACACACACACACACACACACACCCCTAAAAACTGAGGAGGATTACAGAGAGGTGTCGCTGTTGGAGGGTGGAGAAGAGTCTCAGAGTTTCTGTTTTTTTGGTCTCAGCTCTGATGTCAAACTCACTTCCTGTCTTTAAATATCAGTCTGTAAATAATAATAATTAATAATAATAATAATATGAATAAAAATTCTCTCGGTTTAGGAAAAGTTCATGATTGAGGGGTTGACGTCCATGAGGCTGAAAAACATCGTTCAATGTGTCTAAACTGAGCTTTAAAGCTGAAGTTCCTGTTCTCTGTCATTCCTGTTGTCTTAAAGGGAAATTCCGGCGAAAAATCAATTTAGGGTCAAACCCACCGTAACCCCGAGTTAGACCCCCCCTCCAGAGATGAATGTTGTCGACCGCTTGCTTCTCTAGTTATACCAACTTTAGTAACGACCGCAGGATAGAAATACAGAGAGCCACGCCCTCAACCAAAACGCCACTCTATAGCCACAAATAATGCTCAGAACAGCACCTAACTTCATCAACAGGACATATATGGTCACAGACATAGTACTATATTCAGAGTTGTTCTGAGGTCTCGCTACAAACAAGCGTCTGCTGGAAGAGAGTAGGTGAGTTGTGTTTAGTCTCTTTGCTAAAGAAATGAGTCAAAGTTAAAAAGATGTTTGGTGTCTAGTACTATGTCTGTGACCCTATATGTACTAACCTCAGTAGAACATGGTGTAGTTCCATTCAGTAACAGAACCTCATTGGAAAATTAGCTGATTTAACTTTACTGTGCTCTTGTTCAAATAAATTAACTCGACAGCACATAAATCCATACCTGTTAACAAAATCATGATTTTATTGATAATTCGGCTCAATAAAAACACCTTTACCTTTTCATGTTACTACAGTAGAAGTTTATTGGCCCAGCTTATAGACTACAGAAGTGGAGAAACGCCCCCACTTAAGTTTATGTTTTCTTAGGAGTTAGAACAACTCTGAATATAATACTATGTCTGTGACCCTATATGTCCTGTTGATGAAGTTAGGTGCTGTTCTGAGCATTATTTGTGGCTATAGAGTGGCGTTTTGGTTGGGGGCGTGGCTCTCTGTATCGTTACTAAAGTTGGTATAACTAGAGAAGCAAGCGGTCGACAACATTCATCTCTGGAGGGGGGGTCTAACTCGGTGACCCTGAATTAATTTTACGCCAGACTATCCCTTTAAACTCCATCCTATCATTCAGTGAATGAGTGCAGATCTCACAGGTTTGAGCGATGAGAAAAGAAACAGAGTACGTTTGTTTGGTTTTATTTCATGATGGGACACTTTGGTCTTTAGTGTGAACACACCTGACTGTATTATGGAGAGTCCTGTTCTATCCTGATCCAGCTGCTTTGTTTTACAGTCTTTGTGAGACCCATCAGTGTATCTTTGTGTTTTGGGGTCTTGGGTGGTGCAGGTTGGGGGTGGGGAGGGGGTCAGAAAACCCAAGGAGCTCACAGCAGTCCAGTTAGAGTCTGAAACCAGAGAGGCAGGCAGCATGCAGGGACCTCAGAGCTGTGAGTAAAGAGGAGGAGGAGGAGGGCGGGACAGGGGGCGGAGCTGACCGTGGAGGTACTCTACGGGCTCCTGGCCGGAGATGAGCCAGTTTCTGAGGAGGCGGAGGTGGTAGGAGCACTGGTGGAGGTGATGAGCCAGAGCTCCGTCCAGGAGGAGGTGATGACCCAGGCTGAGGTCTGAGGAGAAACGCCTCAATAACTGAGCCACATGATGCTCCTCCAGGGGCTCTGAGGAGGAGGAGGAGGAGGAGGAGGAGAGGAGGAGCAAGGTGGATGAAGGAGGTGGGAGAGTGAAGAAAGAGGACGAGCAACACCAGAGATACACAAGAAAAGGATATGAGCGAAGAATACAGGAAGGCTGGGTGGAGGAGCGAGGAGGTGAAAGGTGGAGATAGAAGAGAGGAAAGGAGAGGAGGGGAGTATGTGTATGTGTGTTTGTGTACATGTGTGTGTTCGTGTGCAAATGCAACAAACAGCTGATAACCAGAGGCAGCCAATCCTCTGAAGCAGCACAGAGCACTTCAAATCAGCCCCCCCCCCCAAACAACACAGCAAACAGGACGGGGCGGGCGGGGGGGTCAAACAGGTTCTTGCTCCTCTGCAGCGTCCCAGAGGAGCAAAGGGGACGACTGCAGACGCACAGGAAGCCCACACACACACTCTCAGACTGAAAACATCCAGGATCCATATCGAGCTCACTGATCCATATTTTCGCCGTAGAGCAGCGTTGGGTATCACATCCAGGATCAGTGTATTTGGAGCGTAACAGCGGCGTAGAGCAACCGGATGACATGCGCATTTTTTTTGCTTGACTTCCTGTCTGGAACGATCTTCTCTGTGCGATGTGACGCGCATTGGAAGCGTTGAGCAGAGAAAAACGACTCGCCGTGTATCTTTAGCAGAGCTGCTCTCGATACGATGCTGCAATGGAGCTGATACACGTCCTGTACGCTCTGCTGTATTGATTAGAAAAGAAACGTATTTGCTGCTGATACACGCTCCAAATACACATCCTGTATGTTTTAGCCTTCAGACACTGGAAACACGCTGCTGCAGAGACATCCAACCAACCCAAACAACCGACAACTGCAGCTGCACACTCAGTGAAAACACACAACTGCACCAGCAGGGGGCGGAGCAGAGCAGGGTCCCATCGTACCTTCAGCAGTGCACCACAGAGGTGGACCCACTGCAGCAGCGGCCGTGTCATCTTTAGTTCCTGTGGTGGATGATATAAACGTGAGAGACAAACAGAGGAGGGACGACCCAGGCTGTGGGACATGAGGATCGACACAGACTGATGGTCTGTAGATCATTTCAAGTCCTTAAAGACAGCATTTGAAATACTGAGACTGACCGGACCGCATCAGTGCAGGACTGGAAATCCACTCAGGAACTTTATTTTGAAACTGTTGAAGTCTAACCCCCGACCTCCACCTTCATCCTGATCGTCTCCTAAAAGGTCGTATCCTCCGATCGTAGCTGATCGTAACCATTCAAGTTAACGTGTCAATTTACACCGACTTCTTTCCGTTCCTCTGCGGATCGCCGGACTCCTCAGCTGATCACAAGAGTTCTATTTTTTCTGGACGCCGGAGCATGGCGGATAAATTCAGCACAGATTAACCCGTGCTGGAAAGGAAGTCGGGCACAGACACAAAATAAAACATCCGGCTTCTTTTCAAAATAAAACATCTGGCTTCTTTTCAAAATAAAACACTCCGTGTTTCAGGAGGATCGTATTTCACACCATGCAAACGGGCGGAGACGAACAAGTGAAAGGTTTTTAGACGTCATTTCACCCCGATGACACCATGGATGAGGAGATGCTGATTCTAGAAGTCTAGAAGTAGATTTCCTCCTCTGGAAGGACACAATCTACTGCTTATATGTCTATGTGTCTGTCTTTAGAGAGACGACTCGTTATCGTACGACTGAACGTGAATCCACAAGTTCTTGTGAGTTCTCGGGATTCCAGCTGTCTGTAATCCGCCACGAAATTCTCCTCACCAACAGATCCAGCAGGAATGCGGTGGATTCAGTGAAAATTGGGGGTTAGGTCACTCAGTCTCTCAACCTTTGACCTGTTTGGTTGTTCCTCTACCAGAACTTTTGAACATGTTCCTCCATCGACTCCAAAATGAACTTTTATTTTCCATTTGACGTTCTTCAGTCTCAACATTTGTTTTGCTGTTTTGACTCCATTTACACTCAGTAATGGACTTTCCAGAGCTTACAAACCATCTTCTTCAGTTGTTATAAAAATGTTGTGCAGCCTTCAAACTCTTGTAACCAGATTTTTTAACTTCCTGTTTTAAATCAGTGTACTCTGGCCTATTTGAAGAAAGCTCTCACTACTGTTTCTGGTGAAAAACAACGCTTACTTGAAGAGTATTGTTCTGAGACACTCTGACCCTGACAGGAACGAGAACTTTTGGTGAATGACCCTCTTTGGTCCATCAAGGATCATGTTGTTTATGTTAGAGACCGTTTACCTGCTGCAGACACTCAGAGTGTCTTTGTCTTTAAATCCTCGGAGTTAAAATCTGTAAAAATAGGGCCTAGCTTAGGGCTGGGCGATAAACCGATAACGATATATATTGAAAACTAATTTCCCTAAATATCAATATAAATCATGATCAATATACTTTTCAATAGTCGTCATTCTGTCATGTTTTGGTCGACTTTACGAACAGCCAATAAAAAGGGGAGTTTCTCCGGGTCTGAACCAATCATGTTCTGAATTAGAACCAAGTATCAACCAACTGCAGCGTCGTAGCAGACAGCAGCTCCACCCAACCATAGCACTTTAACAGGTGAAGCCGACAGCACTGTTGGTGAGAAACAAAGAAAATGAGTGCTACCCCCGACAGAAATGACCATGAAGGCTCAACAGATGACCACATCAATGTCAACCACAACACTGGCGTTAGGAAAACGTCGGTGGTGTGGAGGTATTTTGGTTTTTGGAGGTCGGACATGAAGCAGAGTAATGTGGACTGTAAATTATGTCGAGTACATGTTCTCACAAAGTCGGGGAATACCTCAAATCTTTTTCACCACCTGAAGCAGCGCCACGCCGCAGAGCACGCGCAAGGAGCCCATGGCGCCTGTGCAGCCAAAACATTCAGTCGTCTTTCTCTAGAGGAACGCCTTACGACAAAACGCCAAAGAGACACAAAGATCTCACAGATGCAGGAGATTATTGTGTTGGAAAAGACATGAGACCAATAAACACTGTTAGAGTTTTATATCCTGATATTGATCGATATCAGCTGATATGATCAATAATATATCATGATAAACTTTTTCCCATATCGCCCAGCCCTAACCTAGCTTTACAAACTCAGAGTCTAACCTTTGCTTGATGTTCAGTGAAATCTGTGCTCACACCAGCCACAATATCAGCCAATCAGGAACATTTTCTCCAACCACTCCACTAAAACAACCTGAGAGACCAAAGTGCTCACAAAGCAAACCGACATCCAGACTGAGACCAAGACCTCAAACCCTCTCTGATGGTCCAGAGCTGAAGGACAGGCTCAGCTCTCAGCCCAGAGAAGATCCCAAACATCTTTGTCAGAGACCCAGAGGGAACATGATTCTGACCCTGAACACACACTGAACAAACACACCTGTGCTCTGAGTGAGACCAGGACTGATGGAGGGTTCAGGACATGAGATGGACCGAGTTTAACCCTTCATCTGTCTGTCTGTCTGTCAGTGTTCACGTCTTCAATTCAGATTCACAGAGATGAAGAGGAGGATGAAGGGTTAAACATTCAGCGATGAGCTCGGTGATGCCGACAGGTGTGTGTTTATGGTTTTACTGTGAACACGTGCACACACTCACACACTCATACACACCTGAAGTAACAGAGAGAGAGAGAGGAGCGGGTGGAGATCATAGAGACTGTGTGCAGGATGGTAAACAGGGTTCCCATCTTTGGCTCAGAAAGACTCCAACTCTAACGTGAACTCATGAGGGGAAAGACAGAGACTGACGGTTTCAAAATAGACGGATTGACCCTTTCTTTTCGCGTGTGTTATGAGTGTAAATAGATGCTGCGCTGACTGAGGGGTGGGGTTAAAGGGATCAGCTGATTAAAGTTGGAGGATTTAAAGGGTCTCTGTGAGAGTCAGGTCAGGTGGACGACTGATGTTGGATGGTCTTATCTCAGACAGCTTCTAGGTCCACTGATGTTGGTCTTGGAGGGCCAAACTGAGGCTCCCACTTTAACAGGAGTGGCCAGGTGGGATAAACTGGAGCCCAGATCAGACCTGGTTCTGCCCCTGATTGGAGCCAAACTCAGAAAGCTGAACTAAAATTCATTAATTTAGTTTTTCCTTCTTTGGTAACATGCTCTCCATACTGCAGCCATGTTTACCTGGCTGAGGCCACACCTGTGCAGGAAAGCAGAACATGGAAGAGACAGAAGATAAATGGGGCAGAATACTTCCTATGGACATGGGCTGAGATCATCATCTCAACACAAACACAGCTCCTCTGATTACCAATGATGGTCAAAAGAACGGTTGACGGTTAAAATCCCCGTCTGAAACCTTTAATTCAGGGTCTGATGTGCATGAAATGATGGATTATTACAGCAGTGTCTCTTAAACTCTCTTCATCCTAACCTGAACTTTAGGTTTTCTGTCAGAGATCTCCAGGTAGAAAAATCAGGATTTGATGTTTAGGAGCACAAACACAAAAGCAAGATACTGAACAATCTGATGAGAGCAGGATCCTCAGTGCTTGTGAACACACTCAGACTCCTCTAACAGGAACCTCATGATTAAAGAACGTCGTAAACACTTTCTCTGCTGAAGAAGAAACGACATTTTACACTTCAATACTGCGGAGACCAGAAAATAACCGGTCAGTTACAGCAGTATCAGAATAATTCAAGCTTTTGTAATCGTACACAGAGACCTGCAGAGTCCTCATACTGAACTACAGGGTTCACAGTGGATACGTCACTATGGCAGCAGTAACTGTGGGGTTAGCAGAAACATGAGGGTAACCTCCTCAGGATGAAGATTACTGAAGGATGGACAGACGAGATGACCGAGTTAAAGCTGTGTTCACACCCAGAGCAAAGTTTCCCCGAGTCTGTTTGAAGAGTCCTGAACCACATCAGCTCAGAGTCAGAAAACCAGACTCTGTCCTGTCTGTGTTCAAATCACCAGATGACTGTAGAGTCTCAGTTTCACTGTGTTAGTCCCTGCAGAGTCTCAGTTTGACTGTTTTAGTCCCTGTCGAGTCTCGGTTCTTCTTTTTTAGTCCCTGTAGAGTCTCAGTTTGACTGTTTTAGTCCCTGCAGATACTCGGCTTCACTGTTTTAGTCCCTGTAGAGTCTCAGTTTGACTGTTTTAGTCCCTGTCAAGTCTCAGTTTCACTGTGTTAGTCCCTGCAGATACTCGGCTTCACTGTTTTCGTCCCTGCCGAGTCTCAGTTTGACTGTTTTAGTCCCTGCCGAGTCTCAGTTTGACTGTTTTAGTCCCTGTCAAGTCTCAGTTTCACTGTTTTAGTCCCTGCAGATACTCAGTTTAACTGTTTTAGTCCCTGTCGAGTCTCGGTTCTGACTGTTTTAGTCCCTGTAGAGTCTCAGTTTGACTGTTTTATTCCCTGCAGAGTCTCAGTTTGACTGTTTTAGTCCCTGTCGAGTCTCGGTTCTTCTTTTTTAGTCCCTGTAGAGTCTCAGTTTCACTGTTTTAGTCCCTGCAGAGTCTCAGTTTAACTGTTTTAGTCTCTCAGAGTTCAGTTTGAATGTCTGAGTCCTTGCAGAGTCTTAGCTTGACTGTTTTAGTCCTGCAGAGTCTCAGCTTTGACTGCTTCAAGTCCCTGCAGATTCTCAGTTTCACTGTTTTAGTCCCTGCAGAGTCTCAGTTTGACTGTTTTAGTCCCTGTAGAGTCTCAGTTTGACTGTTTTAGTCCCTGCAGATACTCGGCTTCACTGTTTTCGTCCCTGCCGAGTCTCAGTTTCAGGTTTTTAGTCCCTGCAGAGTCTCAGTTTGACTGTTTTAGTCCCTGTCGAGTCTCGGTTCTTCTTTTTTAGTCCCTGCAGAGTCTCAGTTTCACTGTGTTAGTCCCTGCAGATACTCGGCTTCACTGTTTTCGTCCCTGCCAAGTCTCAGTTTCAGGTTTTTGTCCCTGCCGAGTCTCGGTTTCAGGTTTTTGTCCCTGCCGAGTCTCAGTTTCAGGTTTTTGTCCCTGCAGAGTCTCAGTTTAACTGTTTAAGTCTCTCACAGTTCAGTTTGAATGTCTGAGTCCTTGCAGAGTCTTAGCTTCACTGTTTTAAGTCACTGCAGTCTCAGCTTTACGCTTCGAGTCCCTGCAGATTCTCAGTTTCACTTTTAAGTCCCTTCAGAGTCTCTGTTCTTTTTGTCAGTCTCTGCAGAGTCAAAGTTTGACAGTTTTAAGCCCTGCAAAGTCTTAGTTCTTCTTTTGTAGTCCCTGCAGTCTCAGTTTCACTGTTTTAGTCCCTGCAGAGTTTCAGTTCTTCGTTTTTAGTCCCTGCAGAGTCTCAGTTTGACTGTTTTAGTCCCTATAGATTCTCAGTCTGATGTTTTTAGTCGCTGCAGTCTCAGTTTCGCTGTTTTAGTCCTTGCAGAGTCTCTGTTGCACAGTTTTTCATGAGTTTCACCGAAGCCAACTGACTGTGATTCAGAGATTTACAGATTTGATTTTGATTTAATGACTTAAAGGTTGAAAGGATGTTGAAATAATGACCTCAGGATCAGGTCTACCAGGTCTTTCTTTTAGACAAGAGTCCGACCAGCTTCACATCGCTCTTCTGAAGTTGGAGTTTGTTTTGATGACAGCCGACATGACTTTACATTCAGAACCTGTTTGCTTGTGCTGAAAAAAGCTGAAGCAGATCTGCTCTACGCTGTTGCAGATTTTGTGTTGAGGGTGATGAATTTGCAGATTAGAGTTTATTTTAGTTCTGATGAAAATCACGCGCACGTTGATAATTTCATCTAAAACCTCAAACTTCAAGCACGCACAGACTGAACCTTGAAGCACCGAGAACTTGAGGACTCCACAGACATCACGGGTGGAAACTTTGCTTTTCGTCTGAACACGGCTGATGTGTTGAACTCATGCAGAGTAAAAGACACTAAAAACGGCTGAGTGTAAAAATGATTTCCATTCATCTCTGCTGTCGTTAACGCTCTCACAAACACAACCTGGAGTCAGGGTAGGTTGGGATGAGGTAAAAACTGGAGATGAAAACAGATCTGGATGTTCTCTGATGACTGAATCCTTTGATTTTTCTAAAATAGAGCAAAGACGACATCTCTGAACTGAAACTGACGAGTGTTGTTGATGAAAAGTCATGTTTTAGCTCTTCATTTCCCAACACTCAGGTGAACCCGGCAGACCAGGTTCTGGAGTAGAAAAACTCCATTCTGGCCTGATAGAGGATTTCAGCTGATCAACAGTTCAGGGTCTCCTTTGAGTCCACGATTTCCAATAAGACTGTCAAATTTTGATTGGTCAGACCCCAGGACAAGCTTGTCCCCCTTCAACGGGCTCTAGTCCAAAAAGGTCTCTGATTGTAGAGTCCTGTCTGTTTTTAATGCTCTGAAGATCAGGACCATCCAGTCCTGGTTTTTGGTCCTGCAGAGTCCAGGATTTCCAATTCTTTGTTGAAAGGACAACTGGACTTACTTGAGACGTTTCACTTAAGGCGAAGCGTCTCAAGTAAGTCCAGTTGTCCTTTCCATGCGGTGATTTCCACTCCAGAGTCGTGTCTGATCTGAAAACCACTCAGGAACTTTATTCTGAAACTGTTGAACTGTTCGCTCACGCAGTCTCTCACAGAGTCCTGAATCTCTTCCTAATTTTCCTCTCTGTTGTCTTTGTTCTATTTTAATCAAAAACAGACTTTAAACGATTCGATGAAAACCATCAAATTCTGTCCAGACTCTTATGGAGTCGTGTAAAAACTGCGTCTGTGTTTCTGCTGAACTGCGGCACCTCTGTCTGAACCTGCTGACCTTCCCCGTCTCTGACATCTTTCTATTTCACACATTTAAGGACCATGGGAACCCTGGTTAGAGAGAGAATGTCAGGTAGTGTTAGGAAAGTATATGGGTAAATAAAAATCAAAACCATTAGAAAAAAAGAATCAAACGGAAACCTGAAATGCTGCAGGGCCATGTGGAAACAAAGAAAAACAACCCAAGGTCCAAAAAGAAAAGACTGAAGAAGACATGCAGACAGAGGGAGGTGAAGTGGAGAAATACTTGAAAGAAGCAGACGTACCATTAGTCGGATACTTTGCAAACGACACAGAAAATCGTTTTACTGCCGGCATAGACAACAACTCTGAGGAAATAAAACAAAAATAATTCACTAGTGTTACTATGAGCCACAGAGACTGTTGGTCATGTTTGATCATGTCCCTGCTCTGGCTAAAGTGGACGCTCTGAGGAAGGATCAGCTAACGCCTGGTGGACAGTGTTTCAGGGTGTTCAGTCTGATCTCTGAAGAGGTTTAACCATGTTCAAAGATGGCTGTGAGGCAACAGATGAAGGAACATCTTCTCATGACGAGGTGGGATGAGATGTTGAAATTAGGAGGTACACAAAAAGAAAAGGTAAAACCTGCAGACATGAGCTCCATATTCGGGCCTGACTTTCTGTCCTCATCCTGTGTGAGCTCTACCCAGAACCGTAAAAAAAAGGGCTCAAACAGCGACAGGCGGCCCGTCACACTCAGACGACAACAGAGAGAATCAGGAGCAGACCCTGAGCAGCAGAGAGGCAAACCTGTGAGTATAACCACAGCGACAGTTTCCTCAGTGAGACAGTGTGTGTGTAAACAGGACCACACCACAGCTTCATCTGCCTCGAAACATGAGGTGAAACAAGATGGATGACAGAGACCCACAGCAGGCCGCGGACACGTGAGACCGCCTGTACGATACCACAGTGACACCTAGTGGACGGTACGACAATAGACAGACGTGTCGGGGGCGAGCAGAGCCGCATGTTGGGGAACATTCGGACTGAATTGAATGTTTATTTAGAGATAGTGGAAGAGAAGGTGTGAGCACAGACAGAGAACAGTGTCTGAGGGAGGATGGAGGTCTGAGAATGTACCGAACATTTCCCTGAGAGTTTGATTACTCATGATTTAGACATCTGCATCACAGGCATTTACACCTCTTAAAAACCTCCTTAAAACTGAAGAAAGAAAATCACGATATAAGAATAAAAGTTTGTAATTATGAGTGTTTATTTATGAGAGTTTTCACCTCTGTGGTTTCCCAAAGCTCATCTGTCCGTCTCGGATATTATTGAACGAGTGAATCCATTCTTGACCATTCTTAAAGTCAAGGTTGACGATTGTAGAGATTGGTTATTATTATGAACCTCGTTTCTATGGCGATCATGGTCCTATAGTGTGATCTCCACAAAGTGAAGAAAAAAAAGAACAGAAAAAATCTGTTCGCCCAATCAGGTGCAGGGTTGCAAAAAAATTGACCAATAGGAGCCATCCGGGATATTTTTTTTTTGGAGGATGGTAGGAGAAAGTCCCGCCTCCTTCACCTCTGATTGACTAGAAAAGCTGGAAACGTCATTGATTCCTCAGGCCAGACGCGGGCAGTCGGCTCTGTACATTAAACAGAACCTTATCACAATTCTGAATCTGTTCAACCGACAGACGATGACATTTCACCGCCTTTAGGAATAACCAATCAGAACCCAGCACTTCTAGTGATGGAGAAGGACGCAAAAAAATAAAAACACTTCTGCTCACCCCACCGCCAAAAGTGGGACGAGAACGCAAGCCGACCGAAGAAAGGGCGGAGTCAAAGAGGACATGTGACCAAGCGAGGAATCTAACGTGAATAACCATCGGGTCATCCTTGGAGCGGTGGAGAAAACAGACGCTGAGACAGAGTTTTAGTTGAACAGGTCATTTTTATCTCCTTTTATCTCATGTTACATAAATAACTCTGATTAGTCTCTGACATGTCAACACGGTAGCTGCAGACGGCGCTCGCTAACAGAGCTGGCGTTTACCGCCGCTAGTCACTAACGATCCGACATGGTGGATCCTGTTTGAAGCTAGCGTAGAACCTTCTGTCAGAGGGGGTGTGTCAGGGAAAGGGCGGTACAGGTTCAGGGGCGGCGTTATGGTGGAGCACAGAGGGGAGGGGTTTGTGTGGGGGGGTGGGATGCTTTTTTCAATTCTGCCTGAACGGCTTTTCAACTGCTTCTCAGATCGTCAACCAGGACTTTAAAGAGCTTTGACTTCAGTCTCTGAACTAAATCACAGATTTCATTCGTATTTTTAGAGAAGTGAAGCTCTTTTACATTTATCGCAGACTGCAAATCGAACAAATCAAACTTTTACAAAAAGACCAATGACGATGTCAGAGCGATATCTCTCAGTTTTTAGCCCAACAGTCGTTAAACTTGGACTTTTATTACTATTCAGTTTGCAGCAGGTGTACAGATCACTCTGTCCCTTGGCTTTTCACACACACACACACACACACACACCTTCCTCGCCGCTCTCCTCTCTCCACCATTATATCCTGGTACCCTCTCTCTCTCTCTCTGTCCTCCCTCTCAAAAAGTTCTCGCTTTAGCTTCATCATCAGCAGCTCAGATCTCGGACGCTAACGGTGTAATGCGGGTTGTGCTACAGCCGTACAAAACTATTGGTTAGCTGCCAGTTTGGAGAGAGAAGCAGGAAGAGGAGCAGGGAGAGGAGCAGGCGCGTACGAGCTTAAACCCGGATTTACACCGCATCTGGAATGGTGATGATTTTCGCCGTCCGCCAATTCCTACCGGATCCGTTTGTGGGGCGAATTTTGTGGCGGATTACAGACAGCAGGAATCCCGGGGATTCACATTCAATCGCGCGATAACGAGTTGTCTCTCTAAAGACAGACACATAGACATATAAGCAGTAGATTGTGTCCTTCCAGAGGAGACTTGTTCGTCTCCGCCCGTTTGCATGGTGTGAAATACGATCCTCTTGTTCGTCGTTCGTGTTTTATTTTGAAAAGAAGCCGGATGTTTTATTTTGTGTCTGTGCCCGACTTCCTTTCCAGCACGGGTTAATCTGTGCTGAATTTATCCGCCATGCTCCGGCGTCCAGAAAAACTAGAACTCTTGTGATCAGCTGAGGAGTCCGGCGATCCGCAGAGGAACGGAAAGAAGTCGGTGTAAATTGACACGTTAACTTGAATGGTTACGATCAGCTACGATCGGAGGATACGACCTTTTAGGGGACGATCAGGATGAAGGTGGAGGTCGGGGGTTAATGCTGGACAGAGAGGCTGAACATTTTCCAGCTAAAGGTGAGAGAGTGTGTTTTTGTGTGGAGGAGAGGGTGGAGCTGGAGAGGAGCCACCCTCTCCTCCACACACACACCCTTTCTGCTGAAGTATTTGACTTTTACGATCTCATGTATTTCCTCATGTGCTCATTTGCACTGATAACCGAGTATAAAGCATGGTCCCTGATCCTGTTGCATGTGTTTATTTTAATTCTTATTATCCAGTTACACAAGCGATAAAAAGGTTTTTTTTCTACTTATTAATGTTCACTTTATTTAAATTTGTTTTGAGTTTAGAGTGCGTCAGTTTGAGAGAGTTTGAAAGTCTGTGAATGAGTGTAATGCAGATGTTAACTCACGAATAACAGAGTTTAATAATCATGAAGATTTCATTCTCAATAAAAATAACAGTTTGAAGAAGTCATGTATAATCCATGAATTCATGCACATTTAAATCAACTGTTTCACTTTTCAGGTGATAAAAAATGTGAGAAAGCACCTCAATAGTAGGCGGAGTCTTATGGCGGGGCTGTGTCTGATCTAAAATGGCGTCCATGACCATAGAGGGAGGAATAACTCGAAACGCAGAGATGGGTTGATATCTACAGGTATATCTGTAAAGTATCACAGGAAGGGAGTGCAGCCATGATGAACACAAACACATGGTGGGGGAGGGGTCATGATGGCGTGTGATGAAGAGGGGGGGTGGGGTTAACGGACAGGTACTGATGGACGGCAGCTTTAAACATGCAGAAGATCTGACACAGAAACGGATCAATATGGAGCTTTCAGAGACTGACTGAGCTGCTGCCCTGACCTCTGACCTCTGCTGCTCCGTTCACGCCAGGTACACGCCGCCAACGTGGACGAACCGTTAACACTCAGCCAGAACCCTCCACAGACCCAAAGCTCACTCAGCTTTCATACACCTGAACCCTGAGCTGATGTTTCTGACCATCACAGACTGAGTGTAAGAAGAGACAAAGACCCACGCCCGGTCTGATCCTGGGCTTTGGTGGTTCTGGATCCATTACTGATCAATAATACCATCTTTAGACATATATTATTATGTAAGAAATATCATATATATGCGTAGAAATGATACTGTCTTGTTTGTGGAGGAGAGGGTGGAGCTGGAGAGGAGTGGGGGAAACTCTGACTCCTCTCCCGCTCCACCCTCTCCTCCACAAACACCCCCTTTCTGCTTAAATCTGGGCTCTACGACTGTGCACGTCTCAAACTCGGGGTCCTGTGAGTGCGTTTGCATGGGGGCCTGAAGCAGCAGCTGTTTCAGCAAACTGCTGAAAGCTACACCAGACTGACTCTGGGTGGTGTGGAGGAAAATAAAAGATGGAAAATAATCCAGTGGCCGGAATGAGCATGGAGTCTACAAACAGAACTCTTAAAGGTATGTGTGAGCAGACATGACACCCCTGCTTTGTCCTGTCACTCTGAGCGTGACCTGACTGCTGTGTTTCACTCTAACTCCACCTGCAGCTGGTCTCTGCTCTGAGTGTGTGTCTCTGATCTGCTGTTGCCCTGTGTAGCGTGGTGGAGGAGGAGGAGGAGGAGGAGGAGGAGGAGGAGGAGGAGGAGGAGCGCCGTCTCGAACACGTACCGTCTTTGTAGGACAGACTGCCGGTGGAGAATTTTTTGCGATGTGCGCGTGCGTAGTCCTGCAGGTTAGGGGCGCTAGAGGACCCACCGAGGACGGTGGTGCTGAAGAGGCCGGCGCACTGAGAGCCTGAGAGGGGGGGGGTGGGGGGTGGGGTGTTAGTCACCTCTACTTATCATGCTGTTACACTATTACAAACAGACAAAGAGAAAAAAAGAGAGAAAACAGAGAAAAGAGACAGCTCCCCGAGGACGCCACGCAGCTCCTCCCACATCGTCTGTGTCTCTGAGCTCCTCCCAGGACCACACAGACACTCCACAGCTCTCTTATTCAGAAACAGTCAAAGCATCAAGAGCTGCTTTCAGAAAAAAGACATTTTTGTCTTCATCTGTTTACTTCATTTCCCAGAATGCTTTGTGGCATAACTGTGACCAAAGACAGTGTAAAGGGTAGCGTGAAAAGAGAAAAGACAGTCAGAGTCAACACTGAGTCTGTGTCAAATGATAAAGAGATCATTATTGATCCTCATTATCGTTCATCAATAAAATTCACTGTCTTCATGACTATCTATGTACCTTTATATCTATAACTATACATCTATAACAATAACTCTATCCCTTATCAAACTATTATTACCATTATAATCATAATTACTGAATCTATAATCTGAGCTATAATTTTATACCTATGGATGTACGTACATGGATCCATCTATCTATCTATCTATCTACCTCTTCATAATTAATAATAATCCTGTTTATTGAATATAACTTGTTCTCATTACATGTAAACAGTTCTGAAAAGACATCCGTCATGTTTGTGTTTCTTTAAATCACTTCTTCATCTTATACTTGTTGATCAGAATTAAAAACTTTTATTGATATCAGATTGATCATCATCAGAATATTTTAGAAACAACAATTAAAAAGTGAACTATGATGAATCGAGGGTAGAGGAGGTGGATACGTTTTCCTTTGACATGGTCTAAATTAACATTTCCATTTACATCCTTTGAAATGACCCGGGCAGCACCTCGGGGCGGGTTTTTGTTGGACCTTCAGTGAACAGGATCTGAGTCCAAAGACATCCAGTCCTCCAGAACAGACTGAATGATTTGATCGCCTTCAGATCAGACAGAGTCGGTCTGGAATGACTCTAATCATCTAGTCATCACCGGGTTCACCTCTGTCTGAGATTGATGATCACATTATTAAACTCAAAATTAAAACAAAAAAACAACAACCCTTTTTACTCCAGGAGGATTATGATCTCAGTCCTGGAATCTGGAGCACAAACTTCACAGTTTGACATCCATGAAACAAACTTCTGCAGCTTAAGCAGAAGCTCCGATTTGACCTTAAATCTGGTCGTTAGTGTCAGAGCGCCTGTCAGGAGTCCTCTGGCTCAGGAAACCTGCACAGGTGAAGACTGGAGACAGCTCTGATGATGACGTCCCCACAGACAAAGAGAGCTCTCATGAAACCTGTTCAGTCCCCCGCACTCGGAGCCATTTTACACTGCCATTTGTACACAGGGTTACCGTGGAAACGAGATGTAATAAATAACACCTACCTAATCCACTCTGCTTCATCTCAGGGGACTGACGAGAGCAGAGCGAGAAGAGGCGATAACTGCCCACCTTGGAGGAGGACGTCTCCGACAGGACCTGGAGGACAGCAGACACACACACACACACACACACACACACACACACACACACACACACAGAAACTTGATGTAATGAGGTGGTCTTCACTGCTGTTTGGTGGAAGTGGGTCTGATATTACAGGATGCAGTGGGGTAACTCCCGGTCGTTGTCCCAACTCCCAAACTTCCTCTAAGTTCAGGAGCTTAACTGTTCGCTCCCTTTTTCATCTCCGCTGTTGCTGCAGCGTGGTCGGTGGCGTCTCAAACAGAGAGCATGTGTCGTGTTTCAGTGAGTGCGATCTTCGGTGAGCCTTCTCCCATTTCATTAAAAACTCTGTATGACGTTGTTGTGTAGCAGTCGCAAATACAATTCAATACCTCGCAGAGTTTTCAGCCGTGTTCGCTGTTGAGCGGTGAAAGAAAGAGAGGGAGTAAAACCGAAGAAAATCAAGGTGACGTATTTAATGTTGTTAAAAAGAAAGACGAAATGTAGGCCGTGGATCGACGTTGCAGTCGCTCGTTTTTTTCCCTGCGACGTGTTAATTTTGAGCAGCTTTAGCACTTTTTAGTAGATACATGCAAAACTGCAGTGAGGTTTGGTTGAGGCTGAACTCGATCACCGGATAATAACCCCATGAAATAAATTAATGTTGCACAACTAGATTGTTATTGATCTCTGCTTGGGTTTGTAACTATTTGAGTTGGAATTATTGATACTTTTTTTTGATTGAGTACTTGAATGTTGAATATTCAGAAATATATAATGCTTGTGTGTTTTATACACACATTAAATTTATTTTTTGGTCACTTTAAAAATAGTGAATAACTTCCTTTTGATTAAAATGATGTTCATTTATGTTTTGGTCTTTTTTAGGTCAGGTTTTTGTAACGGGACTGTAGATCATCACCATCAACTCCACCCTCATCACAACTAGAAATTCAACCAGTATTTCAACAATCCACTCCACCAGATGGCGAGCTAACCCCAGAAAAGTGTGGTAGGATAAGAACCACCTGTCGGAGTTCCTGCTTTTACCCAGAAACAGACAAACTTTGGATTGTGTGGTATTTTTGTTTACTCCCCATACTAGGTTGGGATTGGTTACGAGCATTTTTCTTTTCTCCTGGACAAAATCTCAACCATCCTTTTCATTCATTAATGAGATATAGAGTCCTCCCTCACCTCCATGGAGCCTGTCTTGTGGTTGCGTATGAGTGGGGACCGTCTCTGGATGGTGATTGGCTCGGACAGTGGCACGGCACGGTCCGTCTCGTCTCTGGACAGGTCCTCCAGGCTGCCGGGGTCGGTCGGTTTCTGTCCATTCTGCAGGAGAACACAGAAGAAGAAGAAGAAGAAGAAGGACGGATGTAGAAGCGCCGCTCTCTGCAGGATATGAACACTTGAAGGTTCTGGCAGCGATCTACCTGTCGGGCCACCTCTGCTGAAGCGGGCCTGAAGCCGAACCCTGTGGGAGCGTTCTCCTCCTCCTCCACACCTTTAACACCCGGGCTGAAGTGGAGCTCCACGTGGAAGCGCTCCTCTGAGGACGGCTCCTACAGGACGGACGAAAAAACATACAAAAGTAAAACAGAAATAAAATCAGACTTTTTTTACTTTACACACACACACACACACACAAACGCAGACACAGTACCTTATTGTTGTCCTCGTACAGCATGATGACAATCTGAGTCATGTAGTTGAGCTCTGAGACAGCACTGAGGTAATCCATGGCTCTCTTCCACTGCTGATCCTTTTCCTCCTGTCCCAAACACACACACACACACACACACACACACACAGACACACACACAGAGTTAACGCCTCTTGTTGTTGTTGTTCACTGTTGTGTATCTCCAGGTGTGTGTGTGTGTGTGTGTGTGTTTGTGTGTGTCTTACGTCCAACAGGCCTCCGTAGCGGAAGATACTGAGCAGAGAGTGAACGTGACTCTCGCTGGTGAAGTACAAACGAGTCCTGACGTGTCGTCCAGGTGACATGACGCCCCGAGAGTACCTGAGAACACACACACACACACACATAAACACACACACTCCTCAGTCAGTCACACACTCTTATCCGGTGTTTTCACAGTTGTTCATCCCACTGTACGGACTCACAGAGGGTGCAGCTTGTTGACGGATTCGTCCTCGTGTGTCCTCTGAAGGTCCATCTGGATCTTCCTCACCAAAGGGAGGCAGTACGCGTACGCTATGTCCACTTTCTCCACCTTATTGATGCCGTACTCCTGAACACACACACACACACACACACACACACACACACACACACACACACACACGATTTGGTTAAACACCTGATGACTCTGACAGGTTCTAAACTCCTCCTCCTCCCCATGTCTCACCTGAGGGATGACGATGTCGGCCAGAGCTCGGGACAGTCTGAAGAGCTCCAGCGTGTCCTCCAGGCCCAGTGTGGCGTTGTGGATGACGTCATACTTGACGCAGTCGTAGATGTCGGGGATCTTGCTGATGTCGTAGCGCCCGTTCTTCATGCGGAAATCTCTCTCCAGTTTGGACCAACGCTGCAGCATCAGCTCGAGAGTCTCGCTGTGGTACAGCTGCAGGTCTGAGGATGTGCACAGACACAGACACAGACACAGACACAGACACAGACACAGACACAGACACAGACACAGACAGTTGTTAACATTGACCAGTTTGAGTTCATCAAAAATGAAAACTATGAACTGCAGGTGTGAAGATAAACAACACCGTCACATGTTGAAATTTTCATCATTGAAGCTGAAAACATCAGAGTTTTCTCTCCAACAGGTGAACCGTCTCACCTGCTGATTTGGGGTCCTCCATCCTGGTGCGGATCTGGGAGGTGAGGCTCTGAATGAGGGCGTACACCTGGTCACAGGTGGACACCGGGTTCTGCACGATCCTCATTGAGTTCACCAGAGACGCACTGCTGGTTGGAGCCAGCTGGAGCACACACACACACACACACAAAAACAACAAAACACACACTTGAACACAATAATATAAGCATACACACACACAGTTTCTTCTCAGGTCAAAGGTCACAGATGGTCTAAACTGACTCACAGTCACTGTCACGCGTTAACCCTTTAAACTCCCGGCTGTATTTTTCTTTTTTTGGTCCACCTGTTTTTTTTTTTATGTTTCACCTCGATCCTTTCAATCACAGCAAATATAAACACAGCTTTATTTTCAGGACAACCTCAGATTCAGTTTCTGGAGCAAAAATGATGAAAAAAAAAATGTGACAGGAGATTCAGAACCGTCAAAGTCAACCAAGAAACTAAAACGGACATTGATCCCAAAAGGACTTTGCTCCAAAAACACATAAATCTACAGTGACCACGCCTTTCCTCACCTAACCATCATTCTCTAAACCACATATGTCAGAGTCAAGGCCCGCGGGCCACATCCGGCCCGCGAGAAGGTTTTTTACGGCCCCTGGGATGATCTTGATTTATTATTAGAACCGGCCCGCAGACCGCAGCAAGCCGGCAGCCCGCAGATCTTTTACACGCACCAATACTACATTTCCCACAATGCAACGGTGACGCACCGAGCAGTAGGCTGCTTCATTTCAATATTTATTAGCACAGCAGTCGTCAGCGTAACAGTAAAATTAACTTTCAGATACCCATCAAAAATGGCAAAACGGAAGGTGGACACTGAGAACCGGGAGTTTCAAACAAGGTGGGAGTCGGAGTATATGTTCACGGAGGTAGCTGGAAAACCTGTGTGTCTTCTGTGTGGAGAAAGTGTGGCGGTACTGAAAGAGTATAATCTGAGACGACATTATGAAACGAAACACGCGGACAAAAACAAGAATATGGACATGGAACAAAGGCTACAGAAGGCCGAGGAATTAAAATGATATTTTAAAAATATTTCAGTTGAGTGGATGATAGAAAATTGCTATTATTATTTTTTTCTTTGAAGTAAATTTAGCCCACTTTTGCTAAAATAGAAAATATAGGCTACTGATGGTGCCTTGAATAATACCGGTTTCTTTCATTTAATGTTCATGTTATGGGGATTTTTATATAAAGGAAATTTGTCTTTTGTGTCTGTTGAAAATTAAAGATTACTGACAGAGCCAGAAGAAAATATTGCTTTATTTATCTGATCATATTGGAATATATTTGTTAGGTTTTCAGTAGGTTCAATTAGGTTCACTAGACTATATGCGTCATTTAAAAAATTTTCAATGAACATTCGATCAGTCCGGCCCTCGGCTTGTAGCTAAATTTTTTATTTGGCCCTCCGTCCATTTGACTTTGACACCCCTGGTCTAAACTGACTCACAGTCACTGTCACGCATTAACCCTTTAAACTCCCGGCTGTATTTTTCTTTTTTTGGTCCACCTGTTTTTTTTTTTATGTTTCACCTCGATCCTTTCAATCACAGCAAATATAAACACATCTTTATTTTCAGGACAACCTCAGATTCAGTTTATGGAGCAAAAATGATGAAAAAAAAATGTGACAGGAGATTCAGAACCGTCAAAGTCAACCAAGAAACTAAAACGGACATTGATCCCAAAAGGACTTTGCTCCAAAAACACATAAATCTGCAGTGACCACGCCTTTCCTCACCTGACCATCATTCTCTAAAGTCTATCAGGAGAAGAAATATTGGGATTGGAACAACTGGGATTTGCAGGTGTAGAAATGTCTGGAAACCCTCGATAGATCTCCAAAAGGGTAAACTTCTGAACACTTTTTATCCCGTAGAGATACGCGGTATAGTTCCTGAGAAACTATGGAAACTATATTAATGGTGTCACGTGGGATCGACGCCGATCCAGCCGACGTTGATCAATCAGCTGTCTGTGTCTGCAGAGCCGAGACACACACAAACCTGTACCTGTGGCTGGACCCTTACCCTGTCATAGTCTTCCTCGATGAAGTCTCGGTCTTTCTGCAGGATCTCGTGGAGGCGGGCCTTCACCCGGTGCTGACAGCTGCTCAGAGAGTCGCTGTCATTATCCAGCAGACCGTTCATGTTGGCGCTCTTCACCATCTGAACCAAAATAGGGGTCAGCTCGCCCTCCAGAGCCAGCAGGCCCTACAGATACGAAAAACACAGCGCGTCAAAACTTTGGGAACGACTCAAGTTCTTCACTGCGACTCTGTAAAGAGACTCTGAGTTCAGTCACTGAAGACAGTCAGGGTTAGACTCAGTCCAGAACTCAGTCTGGGTCGCTGGAACCATCAAACCACCACTCAGAGACGTCCTACCTTTGCAAAGGCTGCAGCCGTCATCTGCACGCGTCCTTCGTCAGAGGCGTAAATCTTCAGGTCGTGTCTGTAGGTGCTATGAAGCCTCAGTAACCCACAGCCTGGAAATCCTGCATAGTCTCCTGAAAACACAAAACCAGCATGGTCTCTGAAGATTAGAGTTCACACACAGGGATGGATCACGATGCAGGAAACTCCTGGGTTTGTGTCAGCTTCACACACTCATTAAGAATCGGATCTGCAGCCTGTCCTCTGCTCTGTGAGCGGCTCTGGATGACCTTTAGTAACCTTGGTGATCAGCTCAGAGCTCATCCTCAGGCCTTTGTTAACAGTTTCTTTTTTCACAGCTGGAGGACGGATAACTTTCTCATTTTTTTCAGGTGGGTCATCTCTGCAGAGTCTCACCTTGTCCTCCGGGGTACATACAGCGGAAAGCTCGTCCCAGCTCCTCAGCCTGCACCCTGCCTGCAGGAGTGAGCTCGCCGCCCCACTTCAGCACCAGCAGCAGAGACGGGCCCTCTTTACGAGTGTCTAAACACACAGCAGAACAACATTATCAGTCGTTATTATATTTCAGAGTATTGTAGTGCACACAGCTGCATCATCCAGTTATACTGTGTCTTATTCTAACGTGCAGTGTACAGGAGAAGAGCTCATTTTTAGTTGGTGCAGAGACCCTCACTACCTTCTTCCTCCGAGGAGGTCTTTGGCTGTCCATGAGGCAGGTAGGTCAGCTGCACCTTCCTGTTGATCCCTGAGAAATGGCCGTACCTTTGAAGAGACAGTCCGACCAACAGCTCAGTCAAGATAAAGTGAATTATAGATATAAACAGAAACACAGAGGTTCAGAGGAGCATGTTTCTGATGGTGGATCAGCGTCTCCTAATAAGCAGACTCACGCTCAGGAACACGATCATTAGATGATAGACCGGCAGGTTTACTGACACTTCAGAGGAGGAGGACACAGTTTGATCTTTCTGTGAAACTGAGAATAAGATTGCTGTTTTGTTTTAGTGACTTCAGGGACGTACGTCGTCCATTAATGCTGATGTCTTCAGGCAGGATGACTGAGCTGGAACCTTTTCTGTTATAAAAGTATCTGCAGCTCCTGCAGGGAAAAGGCAGGATGCCAAGTTTCAGACTGACATGCTGGATTTCTGCTCTTTACAAACCGATGAGGATTTAACACTGAGTGCATGACGCAAAAATAAATACCATCATCGACCCATCATCAACATAGAGAAGTAAAAACAGTAATAACCCGTTTATTTTAACTGATTTGTAGGGATGCACGATATTTATCGGACCGATAAAATATCGGCCGATATGGGGGGAAATTACGTCATTTTTTATCGGTCCGATAGGTGCATTTTTCCGATAGAAAGATCCGATATATTAATGAAATTACGAGTAACGTTTGCAGGCGGAGTAGCCGCCCGTCCGAGACGCGCTGGTCACGTCGTCTATCAAGCCTTACTCGCAGGTCCCAAGCCTGACCCCGTCACTACCTGACAGATAATAAAATGTCTTCACCAGCATGGTCGTTTCTCTCAGTGGCAGAAGATGACAACAGCTGCTATATGCAAAACCTGTTCAGCGAGGATTCCGAGAGGAGGAAAGAAGACGTCAAGTTTTAACACAGCGAATCTGATAGCTCATCTGAAAAGTCGCCATCGCGGCGAAGCGGTAGTAAAAGAACATGAGACAGCCGCCGAAGCTGCTAGCGGTACTAAAGCTAAGACAACAACACTACGGAGGATCGATGTCCCCATTCAGCAGGCGTTTAAAAACTGCTAAAGCTTCTCAAGAGACAGCGAAAAGGCTAAAGCCATTAACGACAAAGTGATGGAGTTCATAGCGGTCGACGACCAGCCTTTTTCCGTCGTTGAGAACCCGGGTTTTCGTAAGTTAATAGCACACTTGGAGCCACGTTACACTCTCCCAAGCCGCCGCTTCTTCTCAGATGTGTCTCTTCCTGCACTCTATGATATTGTCGCCACAAACATTCACAACCTGATCGACAAGAACAGACTACACGTGAGTTTTACCACAGACATATGGACGTCAGATGTTAGTCCGGTCAGCATGCTAAGCCTAACGTCTCATAATAGCTCCTTTACAGTTTACAGTTCTGTTGAACAGTTCAGGGGATCAAATGAAGTTCTGCTTTTTGCTCTGTTATTGTTATTTATAGCAAATGACCACATTTGAAGAGCCAAAAACTTTTGTTTGTTGTTCTAGATAGGCCAGAGCAACAAAAACATCAGTTTTCAATCGCTGCATCCTGCACAAACTGCAGATTATATGAAGATTATAATAAATGTAAAAATATGAATTTATCGGTTATCGGTATCGGTATCGGCCATGAGAAGAAGAAAATTATCGGTTATCGGTTGAAATTTTTCATATCGTGCATCACTACTGATTTGTTCACAAACTGCATTAATCTGCATAACTCACGGGAGCAGGAGGAGCAGGTGTGTGTTAGTAAAGCCGAGGGACAGAGTGAGCATCCAGCACAAAGTTGTCGTTTGAACACAAAAACAAGAACCAGGCTAAAGAATAAGGAACCTACAGGTATCCTACAGGTCTGTGTTATTATAGGATATAAAAATATAAAGTATGAAACTCAGTCTTCAGAGTCTCCAGAGAGCTCACACCTGTCACTGTGATTTCACGTGTTAAAGTTAAGAGGTTTTACCTTAAAATGAATGAAGATCAAAATTCACCTCAAGTTCTGAGAAAAACTATGTGATCCTCAATGGAAGTCCAAGGTCCATTAAAAGTCCAGTTTTCTTGTTATTTGACGCTAATATCTGACCCGATGTTCTGGCTGGTGTATGGGATATTTAAATATTACTATGCTTTATAAATGTGATCTTAATAATGAGCACAACAGCTACCGCAGATCATTCCTCCCCTCTGCAATAAGACTTTACAATGAACAGTAACAGAACTGGATTTACACCACCACTTTTTTTCTGGCATTTAAATTGTGTAAATTGTGTATATTGTAGAAAGTTTTATTTTTTCTTCTCCCTTTTCTAATTTTTTTCTTAATTATTACATTTATTTAAGTTCTTAATATTAGGATCCTTATTGTTATAACTGCATTTTTGCACTTTTTGTCTTGTCTGTGATGCTGCTGTGACAAATAAATTTCCCCCATGGGGGATCAATAAAGGAATATTCTATTCTATTCTATTCTATTCTAACAGCGACCCGAGGCCTGAGGACATTTAATGACCCGCTTCACATCACCGGTACCAGGACTATCGAACAGCATCATCGTAGTTTTCGGGTCACTGTCATGTTTGGAGGTTTGTTCAGATTCCTGCTGACTCATCAGAGTGTCATGGTTTGAAACCATCAGCTAAAGTGGATCATGACCTGAAAACTGATGTTTGATCAAGTGTCTCACATTTCCAGAACAGTCTTCAGCTGCTCCAGTTTGGACTTCTTCTCCTCTATTTCACAGTCATTGTGCTGTCCCAGTTCTGCCAGCAGCTGCCGAGTGATGTCCAGCACCTCCTGCCAGAGAGTCACAAAACATGCACACAACACACACAGTTAAATACACACACAAACCAGTCCGTGAGCTAAAACAGAGTCACACACCTGTGCGATTCTTACCTGCAGCTGTTTTGGCTTCTTCAGCTTTAGTTTCCCAGTTTTGTATCCTCCGTATTTCTCAAACAGATCAAAAAACCTGAAGGAAACAGAATTATGACAGTGAGGAGGAGTTTTTACTTTCATCTTTCTGCAGTAAAACAAACAAAAAAAACTGTCAGAGGTCACGCACATGGGGTTACGGACTTCCATCTTCATCTTCTGTTTGGGCGTCCTGTCGCCGTGTCTGATGACGGCGATCACACAGCGCAGCTCCATCCTGAGGACAGAGATGTGAAGTCAGTTTCCTCAGACACAGCAATACTCGGTAAATATAAATCAGCGAATTAAACGACTTATTATTAAACGTAATTAGAGCTCTTTATGTTGCGTTTTATGCTGCTGACAGTATAAAGGTAAGAAAACACAAAAAAAGGCTTAAAATGATATAACGCTCTACTAAAAACTGGTGTATTTATATTTCAAATTTCAGGAGGGCAGAATATAGATAATGTAGGAAACACCGGACACACAAGGTGATATAAAAAAAAGTGATTTTAAAAGAATAACAAAAACTTGGAAAACTACATTTGAAAAATGAAAAGTGTTGTAATTTTAATTGAATATGATTAAATAAATAAATAAAAAAAGGATTAAAGATACAAATAAACAACAAATCCTGACACGGACGCCATAAAGCAGAGTGAAGAGCACAAGTACAGTGTTGCAGACTGGGGGGTGCTCGCTCTGCTAGTGGTAGATCATATACCTGCAGATCTCTGATCCTATGTTTCTCTCTGTTTGATAAACTCTGACTGTTTTCTGACTGTTAGTCAGTGAGTAGATATTCAGTTTTTATTTCGTGGACTTACGCATTCGCAGTAACTTAAATAAGCTCCGGTCACTCCTCTGTTTCCTTCTCTATAAACTTTATATTCAGTCTGCACATATCAGAGGGAATGGATGGGAAAAGAAAGGAAACTCTCACCAGCTGTCAAACTAAAGTATAAAAAAGTTGGAAGTGCTCCCTGTTAATAAAAAACAGCCGAAACTTAATGACCTGTTTCTGAGTAAAAGCATCAGCCTCATGTCCTATATGTGTATAAATATATATACTTATAAATAGCAGAGTGGCCTATTTTTCCAAGTGTAGGGCGGGTCTCTTTAGTGTATGTTCATCATGCTCATATTCAGCTCAGTGAGGACAGTGTGATCAGCTGTAATCAGAGTCCTCAGATTTAACCGAGCCAAAGTGAATCAGCAACTTTCTCTCTCCAGCAAAAACTAACAGATGTGTGAGGGACAGAGAAGATGGGAGGTCACACACGATTCACTCCATCCCTATTCAAAGTATCAAGTTTCCATGGGTGGAGAACAAAAATAACAACTACTAAATCCCTAAAACTGTCAGTAAATACTCAGTGGAGGCTGTTTGTCCAACACTGCTGCTGAAACACATCATCAGGTTCACAAAATGACACTCATTATCTTCATTAAGGACAATTATGGGTCATCTTCTCAGCATTAACACGGACTGTGAGAGCAACAAAACAGCTAAAAATCACCTGAGATCAGCAAAGAACACCTCCTCCTCTTTATACACTCTCTATACAACAGCTGATCTTTATAAACACTCTCTAAAATCAGCTGATCTTTATAAACACTCTCTATACAACAGCTGATCTTTATAAAAACTCTCTATACAAACAGCTGATCTTTATAAACACTCTTTATACAACAGCTGATCTTTATAAACACTCTCTATACAAACAGCTGATCTTTATAAACACTCTCTATACAACAGCTGATCTTTATAAACACTCTCTATACAACAGCTGATCTTTATAAACACTCTCTAAAATCAGCTGATATTTAAAAACACTCTCTATACAACAGCTGATCTTTAGAAACACTCTCTAAAATCAGCTGATCTTTATAAACACTCTCTACACAACAGCTGATCTTTATAAACACTCTCTAAAATCAGCTGATCTTTATAAACACTCTCTATACAACAGCTGATCTTTATAAACACTCTCTATACAACAGCTGATCTTTATAAACACTCTCTATACAAACAGCTGATCTTTATAAACACTCTCTAAAATCAGCTGATCTTTATAAACACTCTCTATACAAACAGCTGATCTTTATAAACACTCTCTAAAATCAGCTGATCTTTATAAACACTCTCTATACAAACAGCTGATCTTTAGAAACACTCTCTATACAACAGCTGATCTTTAGAAACACTCTCTAAAATCAGCTGATCTTTATAAACACTCTCTACACAACAGCTGATCTTTATAAACACTCTCTATACAACAGCTGATCTTTATAAACACTCTCTAAAATCAGCTCATCTTTATAAACACTCTTTATACAACAGCTGATCTTTATAAACACTCTCTAAAATCAGCTGATCTTTATAAACACTCTCTATACAACAGCTGATCTTTATAAACACTCTCTATACAACAGCTGATCTTTATAAACAATCTCTAAAATCAGCTGATCTTTAGAAACACTCTCTATACAAACAGCTGATCTTTATAAACACTCTTAAATCAGCTGATCTTTATAAACACTCTCTATACAAACAGCTGATCTTTATAAACACTCTCTATACAACAGCTGATCTTTATAAACACTCTCTATACAAACAGCTGATCTTTATAAACACTCTCTAAAATCAGCTGATCTTTATAAACACTCTCTATACAAACAGCTGATCTTTATAAACACTCTCTATACAAACAGCTGATCTTTATAAACACTCTCTATACAAACAGCTGATCTTTATAAACACTCTCTATACAAACAGCTGATCTTTATAAACACTCTCTATACAACAGCTGATCTTTATAAACACTCTCTATACAAACAGCTGATCTTTATAAACACTCTCTAAAATCAGCTGTTCTTTATAAACACTGTCTATACAAACAGCTGATCTTTATAAACACTCTCTATACAAACAGCTGATCTTTATAAACACTGTCTATACAACAGCTGATCTTTATAAACACTCTCTACAAACAGCTGATCTTTATAAACACTCTCTATACAAACAGCTGATCTTTATAAACACTCTCTAAAATCAGCTGATCTGACTTACATGGTCCCTGAGGTGGTGGGGACAATGGGGATGTCCTCAGCCTCTGTGGGGATGGACCAGGGGATCTGAAACTGAGGGGCCAGCTCCCGCATCACTATATTCCTACAGACACACAAACACACACACACAAAGATACACACAGACACACAAACTTTACAAACTGATGTGGGAAACAAGCCGTCACATGATCAAATTCAGGAGGTTTGAGCTGGTTACCCGAGGATCTTTGCACAGTCGTCGTAGTATTTCATGGAGTTCTTGACGAAACTGAAGCCGTTCACGTCGCAGACGTACGAGTGTCCGTTCGCTCGCAGGAGATCGAAACCACACACTGTTTGCTTCAGAGACGAGAAAGAGAGAGAGAGAGAGAGAGTGAGAGAGAGAGAGAGAAAGAGAGAGATAGAGAGAGAGAGAGAGTTGCTAATTACAAACATATATTCATAGTTTCACCAGTAGGGGGCGCTCAACATGTTTCCGGCCTTCATGTTTGTGTGTCTGAGATCTGCTGTTGTTTTCTGATATTCTGGTTGTCTCCCCTCTCTCTCCCCACATTCCCTGAAGCTGTCCCTATGAAACGACCCTGAAGAGAGCAAAGGCGGCGTCTCTGGCGGCGTTCATCTCCTCACCTTGAACGCCAGGCAGACTTTTCGAGCCACCAGCTTCTCCATGGCTGACAGCATGACAGGGTATCTGACCTCCTTCCCCTCGCTGTCTCTCTCCACCTTCCCGTCCAGAGCCGGAGACTTCCGGGCCTCAGCGTGGGCGTAATCCGGACCCACGGTGTACACCTGAAGACAAGTGGGACATGTAAACCCCGAGGCACTGCTGATGCAGGAATAAGACTACAGACAGAGAGCTGCAGGTAAAGAATAAAAACTGTCCTTTCTTCAACTGTCATGAAGATCATCATTTCTGGCTCCCTGTGTCAGTCTGACTCACTCCGTATTTCCTCTCTAACCATCAGCCCTGAGTTCATTCATACTCCACCTTCACGTCGGTGCCGTCTGTGGGCATGAACTCTTCATAGATGTAGGAGCCCGTCTTCCTCACGCTGCTCTCTGGAGAGTACACACTGCTGCGACTCCCGATCTACACACACACACACACACACACAAACACACACACACACACACACAAACACAAACACACACAGACACACGACACACAGATGTTTTAAAACAATAAAGCCTCTCTGATCCGTCACACTGAGTTAAAGCTGCAGTCAGTGGTTCACACAAACAGTCGGTCACAGCTCACAGCAGACGGTAGTGTTGGGCGGTACGATGGTTTTAACCGTGTGACTAGGCCTGTTGCGATAATCAATAAATCGCCGTATCGCTCGATAAACAAAAACGAGGTCGATAACTTTGCCAGCCTCGATAATTTACGTGCGTTTGTTTTCCTCCTCTCTCGCTACCAAACACGCTGGATGAGAGAAGAGGTCTCACTCTGTGCATTTTTCTCGGCACCTGGGGGCGTTGGCTCTATAGCGGAATGAACGGAGTTAGTGAACCCTCCTGTCAGTCATTCAGTATCTTTGTCACGGGGGGCGCGCGCGCAGGTACACGTAGGCGCGCACAGGCACACAGACACAGACTTTTGGATACAGTGCTGCAAGTGAGCGTCGTGAGTGAAAAGCAAGCAAACAGAATGAACACGACAGCTTTGGTGTCTAAACCGAACGCAACAGCCCAAGTGTGGGAATATTTCGGCTTTAAACCAGTTTTGTTTTCGTCAACCACAAAACTCCACGTGTGTGTGCGCGCGTGCGTGTGTCTGTGTGTTGGAGGAGCACAGCAGGCTGATGAGAGCTGTCAGAGCGGACTGAAGCTGCTCCTATATGTTTAGCGTTTAACTGACTGAGTTTTGAAACTCTGTTCGTCATTTTCGTCTCGTCCCATCAACGTAAACGCACTTTCGTCTCGTCACATTTTAGTCATCTCCGACTTATGTTTAGCTCGTCAACGTTACGTCTTCGTCGTGGGTGAAATTAAAGTTTATCACTTTTGACACGGTGTACTCGCATTATTATGCCATTTCATATCATTATCTATAATTTAAAAAACGGTGTCAATAATATCGTTTATCGGCGATAATTTGTAGCACAATTATCGTCCAGCAAAATTTGTTATCGTGACAGGCCTAGATGGTAGTGTTGGGCGGTACGATGGTTTTAACCGTGTGACGGTATTTAAGTGTCTACCTGTAGAAATGTTGCTCTACCCTTTATACCGGAGAGAGAGAGAGAGAGAGAGAGAGAGCAGAAGTCTGCTGCGTCTCTCTGAGTCAGTGTGGAGTTGTCTGCGCTCGCTAACAGGAAAGACGGAGCGCGTCGGTTTGGGTGCGTTTCCGTATATTCACCAGCGTGTCGTGTGGAGTTTGTTCGCTCCGTTTGATTGGTCAGGTTTGGGTGCGCTCCCTATAATCACCAGTGTGACTGCTTGGTATAGTTTCCACGAAGAAGAAACAGCGTCACTGGTGGTGGTCATGGCGGACGCGGAGATTAATGGCGGTATCGAGCAAACGAAGGCAGCCTGACCCACCCAACACGAGGAAGAGGAGCAGGAACTGTTCCGAAAAAGGGTTCGAGTCGCGACATCGGCTGTCCGGATGATTCTTCAAAATTAGAAAATGCGACGGTGATCAAAAAACCAAACTATGCAAAGCGTGTGGTGTGGCTGTCGTTGGCGGAGGAGGAAACACCAACAACCTCGTCCTCCACCTAAAGATGAAACACGCCAAACTCTATCATGAGAGACAAAAGATGCGTGACGCACCTGCTGCACCGAAAGACTAAAGAGCTCGGCAGAGTTTTTCGCCAAAGGTACGATATACGATAAAAAATCACCAGACTGGTCTGACATTTTGAGTAAAACAAATCAGAGTTTAAAACTAAAATGAACAAATGCGACAGTGTGGTTATTTTTAAGACATTAATTGAATTTACAGGGAAAAAAAACATACCTTGATCTGAAATTACTCATACGGTGATAGAAGATTTTGTTCATACCGCCCAACTCTACGTCACGAGATAAACAAAGACCCAGCCCTGGATCATGGAGTTATCTCCACTGAACTAAAGAGAACCATTTCAACCTGTTTGAGTAAAGGAGCAGCTGAGCACAGAGTCAGATCATGTCAGGGAAACTTCATCGACAGAGAAGCAGTTTCATCAGAGTTTACAGACATCACCTTTAGACATGGACACAGTCTCAGTGACGCCGCCGCTTTGTTTCTAAAGCCAATCAGGAACAGTCGCCATATGAGTAATTCTGAGCAAACAGCTACAGTGTGTCCGCCTGTCAGTCCAGACAGCTGTGCCTGATCTCAGAGGCTTGATATCTTAAAAACAAACGTGGTTTTCTTTTGCTCCTGCAGCCAGTCCCTAGTGGACACTCTGGAAACTGCAGTTTTCAGCACATAACTGAACACAACGAACTACTGCTCATCTTCTTCCATGGTATTGTTTAACACTGTGAGTGCCAGGCAGCATGACCTTCACACATACACACTGATACTGCTGATAGGAGCTTTAAGAGGTCAGAGGCTGAACCTTTCTGAAGAGTCTCTGGCTGCCGCCGCCTGCAGACGTCGGGTAGTAGATGTAGACGTTATGATCCTCGGCGCACACCGGCTTCTCCACAAACGGCTTCTGGAAGATCTCTCCGTTCACCTCCACGTGGTCCTCGCCCTCCACCAGGTTACACTCTGACACACACACACAGACACACAGATCACACATGGTTATGTAACAGGAAGCTCTTTCTCTCCTCTCTGTAAACACACACAGCCGGTCGCTGCTGTTTGCTCTCTGAAACATCTCATCTCTCTTCACTCCGTCCGTCACAGAGTAAAAACAGACCCTCCATGACACGGCTGCAGAGACGCTGTGACTGCTTCACATTATATTATGTTGGTATACACACAGACAGCAGAGGTCAGGCTGAACTGAACTGAGGCAGTCTATCCTTCTCCTGTCACTGCTGTGACGATACCACTGCAATGATCACAGATCAACAGGTGGTTCACTGGCTCAGCTCCTGAACATCACAGGAAGGCTGAGAGTTGATGACCTGAAGGCTGCCGCTCTCACAGGAGGAGTGGGTTTTACAGTCCACTGCTAGATCCTCTTATTTTATTAAACAATGTGAAGTTGTTTACAGCAGCATTTTTCTGTCCACCGTCATCTTCTTGGTTCTCGCTCATGCTGACTATCTCATGATGGATCACACAGATTCTCATCCCTCTGGTCATGTCGTCTTTAAGGTGGGGTAGTCAGGATCTGAGTCAGGATCAAATGGGGCCCAGTCAAGGTGAAAGTCAAAAGCATTGGTGCTACTGTAGATGCCAACAGACTACCAGCAAACACAATGTTTGCAGGACTTCTACAACGAGGATAAAGTGACATAGTCCAGGACCCGAGGGAGGACAGTTTAGCGATGGCGCTACAACACGCTACAGCAGGTCCGTTTGACAAGAAACACTTCTGTTACAGACACTTGTCTTACTTTGTTAAAGCGGTTTACCTGTCCAGCAGAAAGGTTACAGGGTCACCAAGATCCCCAAGCGTCCCCCATCGTTTATGTTGACCCGGCTTTTTAGCTCTTGTCCGGTCTACCTCCGTTTTAAGCGCCCGTTATTCCTCCAGAGTCTCCGGTATTTACTTTGTTTTCTTGCTTGTGTCGGCAGTCGTGGCCAAAGGAGGATTCAGACAATTTTCCGAACTTTCTGGTTGGTTTCTACTGTCCGATATTGTAGCACGCTAACTTTGTTTGGGCTCCTGAACGACACGGGGGAGCAGCATTTTCTTGTTGACTGTTTTCTTGTTGCCTGTTTTTTGTTGACTGTTTTGGTGTTGACCGTTTTCCTGTTGACCGGTTTGGTGTTGACTGTTTTGGTGTTGACTGGGTTGACTGTTTTCTTGTTGACTGTTTATGGTTGACTGTTTTCTTGTTGACTGATTATAGTTGACGTTTTCTTGCTGACTGTTTTCTTGTTGACTGTTTTCTTGTTGACTGTTTTTTGTTGACTGTTTTGGTGTTGACTGTTTATGGTTGACTGTTTTCTTGTTGACTGTTTATGGTTGACTGTTTTCTTGTTGACTGATTATAGTTGACGTTTTCTTGCTGACTGTTTTCTTGTTGACTGTTTTCTTGTTGACTGTTTTTTGCTGACTGTTTTCTTGTTGACTGTTTTTTGTTGACTGTTTATGGTTGACGTTTTCTTGCTGACTGTTTTCTTGTTGACTGTTTATGGTTGACTGTTTTCTTGTTGACTGTTTTCTTGTTGACTGTTTACTTGTTGACTGTTTTCTTGTTGACTGATTATGGTTGACTGTTTTCTTGCTTGTGTCGGCAGTCGTGGCCAAAGGAGGATTCAGACAATTTTCCGAACTTTCTGGTTGGTTTCTACTGTCCGATATTGTAGCACGCTAACTTTGTTTGGGCTCCTGAACGACACGGGGGAGCAGCGTCTGCCTCACAACCAATCAGGTTAGAGGAGGTGGAGAACGGCTTTGTTTACAGTCAGAAAGAGCGGACCGCTCAAAAATGTTCAAATGTTGACGACACAGACAGAAGAGAACACAGAGATATCCATATATTAACAAATAATCAATAACTAATAACTATTGACTGATATTTGAAGATTTGCTTCCTTAACGAATTCCTGCCTACTCCACCTTTAACAGAGGGTAGATCTGCAGTGTGTGTGTGTGTGTGTGTGTGTGTGTGTGTCTGTGGAGGAACTAAACCTTCTGACTCAAAGTAGATCGATTCAGCTCGATCCAGACTTACCTTCTGGTTTATCAGGGTCTCTGTTCAGCACAGCGTAGCGAGGTAAATCAATCCCCTCCTCCTGCAGGATGCGATACACCTCCCTCCTGTTTACGTATAATGACACATTTGTTAATGATGGTTTCTGCTGCAGAATTCATGCATATGCTTTAAAAACGGCGGGGCTGTGTGTCAGCACCTGTCCTGGATGTAGTACTGCATGTTCAGGTCATTTATAAGCAGAGGGTTTCTCAGTTTGGCGTAGCTCACCGCTTTATCCAGCGGGAATCCTGCAGACAGAAAATACCACATGTTCAGACACCATCATCATCATCATCATCATCATGAGGTCATTTCAGGAAATTTTCAGGAACTCTCTGCGGGCCTGACGGAAACCAACACAGGACAAATCTATGCGTGTGTGTGTTTTCTGCATACCCTTGGAGTGGAAGGAGATGAGGCAGTCACACAGAGGCCACTTGTCCACAGGCTCATTGAGGATGGTGTCCTCGGGGAAGATGACAACGGTGATGTACTCAAACCTGCACAGCCTCTCCAGGATCTGGGTCATCGGCTTTGACTTGGACTTCTTCATCATGCAGCAGATCCCCACCATGATCTGTCGCTCCGGGGGCTGACAGAGAGGAGAGAAGACCACGGAGGGTGACTCAGAGAAACAAACCAGGCTTCACACATGGAGAGAGAGCTGTTCCATAACACAGACACATGAATTCTCACATTTACACTGAGAAGGGGGAACTGTGCATGTGGTCAGAGTGAGTGAGCTGGGAGACGACTGTTACTGTGAACTCAGTGTGTAAAGCTGCAGCAGGTCAGTGGAGCTGACAGGGTTTACATTTCGTGTCCATCTTTGAGTTCATTCTCTCCTTTTATCAAACAGTTTTTATGGTTTTGAGTTTGTCCTCTCTAAGAAACGTGTGCACCTGTAAGCAAACCCTGATCACAGATCAAGAGCACAGTTTTTAGCCATGAAACCTGACCATACAGTTACCCCCCAATTTATGCCGCATCCTGATCGGCCCCGATCCGATTTTTGCCGTCAGCCAATTCCTACCGGATCTGTTTGTGCGGCGAATTTCGTGGCGGATTACTGACAGCAGGAATCGCGAGAACTCACAAGAACTCGCGGATTCACATGCAATCGCACGGCAACGAGTTTAGTGCTGCAACTAACGACTATTTTTTTGTCGACTAGTCGTCCGACTTGTCGTCCGCTTAATCACTATCTTCTTTATTTATAAACACCTATTTCCGGGGTGTCAGCGTTTCAGGTGCTCAAGCATCACCGTGTTGCTGCCATGGTAGGAAAGCTGAGCTTTGATCGACGTGTTTTTTTGGTTTGTTTTCCATAAAATGTTCCCAAACTTTGGAAGTTTTGGGCGGGAGTTTTGGAGCGTCTTCTTCGGTTTGTTCTGCCAAAATGTGTGCACTCTTCTTCTGTGTTTACTCGCAGGATGTAAACAGCGAGCGCTACTGCCCCCAGCACATCCTGTAGTGCACTGCAGTTATAGATGAGCATGAGGCGCCGGCATGTGATTCTTAACAACAATAACGCTTCGACGCTTCGTTTTCGTGTCGATTAATTAGTTGTGTCGACGTAATCGATTACGTCGACTAATCGTTGCAGCCCTAAACGAGTTGTCTCTCTAAAGACAGACACATAGACATATAAGCAGTAGATTGTGTCCTTCCAGAGGAGGAAATCTACTTCTAGACTTCTAGAATCAGCATCTCCTCATCCATGGTGTCATCGGGGTGAAATGACGTCTAAAAACCTTTCACTTGTTCGTCGATCGTGTTTTATTTTGAAAAGAAGCCGGATGTTTTATTTTGTGTCTGTGCCCGACTTCCTTTCCAGCACGGGTTAATCTGTGCTGAATTTATCCGCCATGCTCCGGCGTCCAGAAAAAATAGAACTCTTGTGATCAGCTGAGGAGTCCGGCGATCCGCAGAGGAACGGAAAGAAGTCGGTGTAAATTGACACGTTAACTTGAATGGTTACGATCAGCTACGATCGGAGGATACGACCTTTTCGTAACCATTCGGGTTGCGGTGGAAATTGGGGGTTACTGTGACTCGTCTGAGTGTGTCAGTCTGCACACTGGTCTGTGTGTAGAAAAGAAAGCCTGCTGTTTTTTGTGTGTTTGTTTTCCCTGTCGTCCCACCGAGTCTGTGTCCTCGTCGTCCTCGTACAGCTCCATGTCCGTCCTCATGCTGTCCTCCGGGACCTCGCTCTCATCGTCCTCGCAGCCCACGAAGAATCTGGGAGCGCCACGCCGGCTCTCACCCGGGCTGTTGGGCTCTGACATCACAGTCCCCCGCGGCAGCCCTGGGCGTCCCACCGCGCCATCGTACACCAACACGCTGCCGCAGTGGGCCGCCGACGGGAGGACACGAGGCCAGGGGGGAGGGAGGGGTCCACTCTGCCGGGGAGGGACAGCAGAGGTGGTGGGTAAAGGGTCGAGGAGGAGGAGGAGGATGAGGAGCAGAGAGTGGAGGGGTGAGGAAGATGCGCGGTCTTCAGCAGAGACGCTGCTTCAGATCATCCTGTTTCTGTGGAGTCTCTGCAGACGTCGTGACCCGCTCACGGTCCTCTCCTCCATCTGATCGTCACACGGCTGAGAGTCCTACAAGACACAGACATCCTTCAGAACAGAGCCGGGTATCAGCAGGACTGTACAGCCAGGGTTCAGTTACAGTCACCATTGATTCCATATCAGTTCGATAAAGATCAATAAAAATCAGAGTCGATTCAGTTCAGACAGACAAACCCTGATCAGTGTGTGTGCTGTATTTCTAACTGCTCTGTTGATTTGCTTCCTGTACGTTTTGCATGCAGAGCTCTTGTCTGCAGATCATTCGGCCCTGATCTCACTCATTAGAATATACAGAGGAAATGACACCTACTTACAACTAGGGATGCACGATATTTATCGGACCGATAGAATATCGGCCGATTTGGGGGGAAATTACGTCATTTTTTATCGGTCCGATAGGTGCATTTTTCCGATAGAAAGATCCGATATATTAATGAAATTACGAGTAACGTTTGCAGGCGGAGTAGCGGCCCGTCGCGCCTTACTCGCAGGTCCCAAGCCTGACCCCTGTCACTGCCTGACAGATAATAAAATGTCTTCACCAGCATGGTCGTTTCTCTCAGTGGCAGAAGATGACAACAGCTGCTATATGCAAAACCTGTTCAGCGAGGATTCCGAGAGGAGGAAAGAAGACGTCAAGTATTAACACAGCGAATCTGATAGCTCATCTGAAAAGTCGCCATCGCGGCGAAGCGGTATTAAAAGGACTATGAGACAGCCGCCGAAGCTGCTAGCGGTACTAAAGCTAAGACAACAACACTACGGAGGATCGATGTCCCCATTCAGCAGGCGTTTGAAAACTGCAAAAGCTTCTCAAGAGACAGCGAAAAGGCTAAAGCCATTAACGACAAAGTGATGGAGTTCATAGCGGTCGACGACCAGCCTTTTTCCGTCGTTGAGAACCCGGGTTTTCGTAAGTTCATAGCACACTTGGAGCCACGTTACACTCTCCCAAGCCGCCGCTTCTTCTCGGATGTGTCTCTTCCTGCACTCTATGATATTGTCGCCACATACATTCACAACCTGATCGACAAGAACGGACTACACGTGAGTTTTACCACAGACATATGGACGTCAGATGTCAGTCCGGTCAGCATGCTAAGCCTAACGGCTCATAATAGCTCCTTTACAGTTTACAGTTCTGTTGAACAGTTCAGGGGATCAAATGAAGTTCTGCTTTTTGCTCTGTTATTGTTATTTATAGCTAATGACCACATATTTTTGTGATGACATGGAAAAAATAAACATTTGAAGAGCCAAAAACTTTTGTTTGTTGTTCTAGATAGGCCAGAGCAACAAAAACATCAGTTTTCAATCACTGCATCCTGCACAAACTGCAGATTATATGAAGATTATAATAAATGTAAAAATATGAATTTATCGGTTATCGGTATCGGTATCGGCCATGAGAAGAAGAAAATTATTGGTTATCGGTATCGGTTGAAATTTTTCATATCGTGCATCACTACTTACAACTCTTCTTTAAAACCATTATGCTTTTATTTTGGCGGGGAAAGGACAGTGGATCGAGCAGAAAGGGACCACGGCCTGGGATCAAACCCTGCCCCCCTACTTCGTGACAAAAGCCTCTGTACAGCAGATGTGCTTGAGCCACAAGGCCAACAGCGCCCCCTCTCTGCAGACTTTAATGACTGCTTTCTTCGTCTACGTGCAGCAGAGACGAGCCGCACACATTGAAGTCCTTAAAGACATACAGGTAGACTGAGCACTGAGATGTTAAAACTGATGTTAAATCTTGGATCAGTGATTTCAGAACAGGTCTGAGTGTGCAGCTTTTAGTGTTGAGCTCTGGTTCTGCAGCTCTGGTTCTGCAGCTCGGACTCTGCATCTAACCTTGAGTCTGAAATCCTGCCTCCGAATGTTGAACCCTGACTCTGCAGTCCCAATCTCTGATGCTCTAAAACTGTCACGCAGAACAAACAGACAAAGACCTCACATCTCTGAGCACAACAACCCGCTTCTGAAGCATCACCATCAGAAACCAGGACTGTGTGTCTGCAGGAGAACTGAGTTTATTGAAATCATAAGAAAAGAGGTAAAACTGCACAGGATACAACTTGTAAACATGGCGGAGGGCAGTTCTGCCGACCGCGTTGCAGAGATTTTTCCGCTGTCAAAGAAAACAAAGTCCGAAGTCTGGGCGTATTTCGGCTTCTACAAAGGGTTGCGTGAAAGAGGAGGAACCAGTGTGCCGTCTGAGCGGCTATTCAGTGCCAGTGGGCAGATAACTACTCTCAAACCAGGAGAGTTAATCTGCTGACATTCTTACATTTCAATCTCAAGTAGTGACCAAAGTCAGCAGCACTACTTTATGGTGGAGAAAACAGACATTGGATTAGTTTACATATTTGATGTTATTTTAAACACCTGACTACACCTTTGTCTACATGTGGTTGTTTTGTTTCATATAGTCGTGTTGCTCTGTTTTATATTTGTAAGAGTCGATCTTTTTAAACACTGAAGATTCTTACAATTTGCACAATAAGGGAAAATCATTTTATTTAAATGTTATTTATTTGTTATTATGTTCATGTTTATACCACCGGCACATTACTTTGTACTTTGTTATTACTTGTGTTGATGACCTCTGGCTCTTTTAAGGCCCCATCTTTAATTTTTTAAGCTTATCGTTCCTCTGTTACCGTATTTTTCGCACTATAAGGTGCACCTGATTATAAGGCGCACCATCAATGAAAGCGTCTATTCGCGTCTATTTTCATACATAAGGCGCACCAGATTATAAAGTGTATTAAGCCAAAGAAAACACTCAGATAAGTCAAACTTTATTTAACTCATTCAATAACTCCGCGAGGCTACAGTAGCTGCAGTGCTCCGACAAGCCAAAAGGATTTGAAGTGCACCTTATAGTGCGAAAAATACAATATTTAAGGTTAAAGAAAAGTTCACTCTGCGTGTTATATTGATTGTTTTTTCAAACTAAAACTTTGTCAAATGATTTCAGGGTGTTTATAAGTACTTTATCAATATTTTCAACATATTTCAATAATACCGTTTTAATATTGATGATAATAATAATCATGATGTGAAAGTTTAATATCCCTGCTATCATTGTCGACCTTTTTTAATTGTTTACACACTGTTGTGCATGACAGCGATAACCCCCCCTGAGTCAGTGGGCCCCAGGTCGTAAAGCCTGGACACGTCCCTGTAAGGCCCTGGCAGATTAAAGTGTACAATTCTGCTTTTTTATGCACTAAACTAAGAGTTGTAACATCTTAAGTATAGTCATGCAGTCAAAATGTAATATTAAAGTTAGTTTGAGTTAATGTAACGATATTTCACCGCAGCAGGTTCATTAATATTTGAGCTAATGGAAATTAAAATAAGCTAGGGCTGAGCTACTGATGATTAATACTGTGAATGTCACCGTAATGTTAAAGTACTCGATATTACTCGGTAATAAACACCAAACAGAGTCGGTGAAGGTTAAGTAAACCTCTTTATCTAACGGTGTACATGTCTTCAGCTCCTGATAATCTCAGCGTTTTAAAATAAATGAGGCTAACGATGGCTAACATTAGCAGTATGCTAACTGCTCGGTGTTCTGATCCGAAGAGTTTCCGTGTTACCTGAGGACTCTCGGCCGGTTGTTTCAGTGGTTATAACGGTTACAATGACGACCTAAAGGCGGAGAAAGACCCCGCGAAATCACACTCATTTGTTTCGCATCATAAAGGCAAATTAAACTTGTTAAAACTGTCGTTAATCATAAACTACATACATAAGCAAAGGGACGCCTTCGGCTGAAAGTCGCCAGTTAACAGAGTCACTGTTTACACCAGAACACCCGCTGGTTCGGCAGTGTAAACAAGTGTTACTCAGCCATTTTGTCCGCATTAGAACCGAACCCTTAATGTCTGTTCGGTTTCTCAGGTTTAAACTTTAACAGTGGGCATGAATGTGTCGTTTAGGTTTCGGAGAAATGATATAAAACCATAAACTTACAGAGTGCCTGAAAGGTTGGCATCGCTGCTCTCACCTCTTGACAGTTTGTATGTAAAACCAATCTTCTTTTTCAGGTTTGACGCACAGACCGTCAGCGTCTGAATCAACCAATCAGGACGAAGAACAACGTCAAGGAGGTGTGACAAAACCAGCAGGATCCAATCAGCATCGACTGAAGGAGAGCTCCGTACACGAAATGGTGAGAAGAGTGTTGGCGGCCTCTGGTGGTAGAATGAAGAATCAGAAATACTTTAATGATCCCCAGGCGGATAAATAGATAAAATAAGTAAAAATAAAGAGATAAATAGATAAAATGGGTAAAAAATAAGTAACAATAAAGAGATAAATAGATTAAAAAAAAGTTAAAATAAGTTAAAAATAAATAAATAAATAAAGAGATAAAAAAGATAAAATAAGTTAAAAATAAAGAGATAAAAAGATAAAATAGGTTAAAATAAGTAAAAATAAAGAGATAAATAGATAAAACAAGTAAAAATAGGGGGGTGGGGGGTGGGGGGATACAGTATATGTATATAAACAAATATGAAAAAATAGAAATAATAGAACCAATCAATATATTTAATAGTTAATTATTTGAAGTCTAATAACATTTATTTTAAAAAAAAATCTGACTTTTTTTCTGAGGAAAATAAAATAAAATAAAAAATGGTTTGAGGGCTGTTATCCTCATTGCAGTGGTTGTTGGTTCGATTCCTGTCCACCATCGGTTGCTGCATGTCTTCGCCCACTCTGTCCTTCTGTCTGTTTTCAACCCCCTGAAGATCAGGACCATCCAGTCTTGGTTTTTGTCCCTTAATTACAGATGTTTTTCCTGATCCTCTGAATCTTTGAACGATATCATGTTCTGTAGATGATGCAATCCACTGAGGAACATTACTCTGAAACTGTTGAACTATTCGCTCACACAGTCTCTCCAAACATTTTTGTGACATGTTGCTCAATCAAAGTTTAACACAAGCAGAGATTTTCCATCAAATATCAGTTTCAACACCTGACATGTTGTCTCTGCAACGTTTCTAAGTCAAAAAAGAGCTAAAGTGAGTCACAGACCATCCAGTTCTGTTTTTCTCAGTTTCTCACTGAGTCCAAACTGTTATAGAAATGGGGTTATTTTAATGTTCTTACAGTTATAGTTCTACATTATGTATCAGAGCGATGCATACTGACTTCTTTTCTTTCTGGGACAAATAAGCTATTTCTAAATCTGCTTCATAACCAGCTGTAGACGCCTCATGAGAGCATCAAACTCAAAATGAAAATAACCTTGTTTTTTTGTCTTGATTTATTCCCTTTTAGCGATTCAGTTATTTAAAGTACAGCTGAGTATTGGAGAGTTGAACGTGCTCACGCTTCATTTACTTTAACATAAAAACAGAGTTTATTTTCACCTGCAGACCTCAGGAGTGCTTCAGTATTTCTGTTTACCTGTTGTAGATGTTTGGATGCTGACACAGTTGTACTGTTAGAAAAGCAGCACCACCCTCTCAACCGCAGCACAAACTATGACTAAACTGTTTCCATAGACTCTCTCTGATCCAACTCAATGCTCTGACTGTGTGCTGAAGCCCAACAACAGGAAGTTCAGCGGCGGGCGCTCCCACTCAAACTGAGCGTGTCTTTAAGGTGACCCCGCCCTCACAGAGCTCAGAGTCAGCAGAGCAAACCGCCGCCTGCTGCCGCGGCAACAAGCAACACTGACGTCAACGTGTTTCTGAAGCAAGGTCTGTTTATACACCTCACCACCTGGATCTAAACACACACACACACACACACACACACACACACACACACACACACACACCAACTCATACCTGTGTTTGACCTCTGTGTGCGTTCAAACGCTGTGCCGATAAAAACATCAGAGTAAAAAAGGTAAAACAAAGATCTTCTATAATCAGAATGAACATTAAGAGGACGAGGGGCTGACACCATATTAAAACCTCCGAAACCAGAGCCAAGAGTCAGAACATGCAGTTCCTCCAGTATCCACTAGAGGCTGTCTCCAGCAGTGAGTCAGTCTCCATAGAGCCCCATATTAAAACTCTGAACTAACAGCAGAAATAAACATGTTTACAGCCTGGTAAATCAAAATAAAGTAAAACAAATAATGAAGATCAAATAAATGTATTTAAAAGAATAAAGATGAAAAAAATTAACTTAAACTGACAGAAAGCATAGAAGTATAAACAGATAAAATAAAGAATCTATTTTTCAAAATCAAAAAAAATGATTAAAAAGAAAATAAATAAAAAACAAAAAAAAAACAATATAAATAAAATCAAACAAAAATTAAAAACACAAAAAGTGAATGAAAGATAAAAATAATATGATATAAAAGGCCTAAAATCCTGGTAAATGAAGTCACCGCTCTTCGCTCACTCTCATAAAACAAAGTTCCGGTAAATCATATTTATACTCGCAGCAGGAAAGCTGCTAATCATTAAATAACATCAACACACAGGTAGTAGCAGCTCTTGAGGTCTGAGTGTGAATGAAGCACCAGTTTAAAAAAGTCATCTCCTCATAAGACCGAGTACAGGACCTGAGAAACACCTAAAAACATCTTCAGATCGGAACCAAAATGGACATAAACTGGGTCAACGTTCCTGTATGAACGTGTACAAACTTGTTATATCAGAGCCGGCCCAAGGCATAAGCGAACTAGGGGCCCGCGGCCATTAGGGGGCCCCAAAGAGCAATAAAAAATAAAAATTAAAACAATTAACATTTTTTTATTTTTTTCATGTATGAGTGATGCTTTATGTATGATCAAATATATATTATTGTAAAAATAAAATAAAGTAAAAACATTTGAGTGCTGCTGATGTAGGCCTATGATTCTTACTGCCGTTATGTCAAAGCTCCTCTACCGTTCTGTTCCTCCTGCTGTGAAATGTGCACTGAGCATCCAAAGAGCAGGTAGTTGTGGAGCAAAACAATGTTGCAAAAAAAGGACACATCCTTCAGGAGCCGAGAAAAGAAAGAGGAAGAAGAGAAAAAACGCCAAAATTAAAGGTTTGTTTGCAATGAAAGAGATTTGTGAAGGTGAGTGAACGATCAACAATCAGTATCAGAATTAGAGGGCCCCAAAATCACATTTTGCTTAGGGTCCCATTGAGGCTTGGGACAGCTCTGAGTTCTATCAAAGTACTGTTCCCCAAGCAGGGGTTTTATAAGAGCTCAGTTACTCCTGAACTAAAAGTAGGCCCTGGTACCGAGGGTGAACATGCACTGGTTCTTTCAAAGGTTCCTGGTTCCTGGGGCCCGTTCCTGCAGTAAGGGTGTGGTTTGATGGATACCTGACCGTGGCTGTTTGGGCTCTTATTCTGTTATGTCATATATTTTGAGGTATTATAGACATACTGTTGAGTCCATTATGTTAACATGTTTGTCTGAACCTCTTGTCGCTGTGGATAAAGAACGTTTTGATCTTTTTCCCTGTTAGTATAAAAGTTAAATACAAATAAAGGTGTGCGCCTGTAGGTACAGTATATATGAATATATGTACCTGTGACTGTCTGTACCTTTGAATGTTCTATTGGTTGTCATGACTATTGGCTTTGGTATGTTGATGAACGATCTTGAACCTGATGCTCCGTAGGTGAGCTCTGACCAATCACAGCTCTGTTTACTCTGTCTCCTCCTCCCATCTTCTCCTTCTCTCTCCTCCTCCTCCTGATGAGAAAGGTGAATGAAAATAAAAAGTTAGAAACACAACAGAGAAAAAAAAGAAAGTGATAATAATATTTTAACAACCTGAAGTATATCACAGACTTAAAAAAAAGATGATGAAACTCTTTTAACGTTTTCTGGCAGATGATAGAGCGACCCCTCAGACCCTCTGAGCTCCTCTGTTCGGGGTCAGGACAGGCGCTCTTTCACAGGACGGGTCCTGCACTCTGCCGGTTTACTGCAGAGGTTAATGACTCGGGGTGTCGAGTTAACGTGTCGGCGGTGGTCTGGTTCCTGGTGGGCGTGGTCTATAATCAGCTGGTTCCTGTACATAGAAGAAGGTCTGCTCTGTTCAGAGGTCAGTGAAGGTCACAGACTGAAGGGTTCAGTTAGAGGCTGAGAGAGGAGCATGTAAGACACACACACACACACACACACACACACACACACATCTTAAGAGTGTGTGTGTGTGTGTGTGTGTGTGTGTGTGTGTGTGTGTGTGTGTGTGTGTGTGTGTGAGCAGGAATTCTGATGTTTGGACACAGAGCTCTTTTATAATGTCGTGATGATTTTCGGAGAGGTGTCTCTGTGAAGTTCAGACTGTCAGAAAAGTGGACTGGAGGTTTTACAGAAGTTTAGGGTCCCTCCGTCTCTGTTCAGGAAAAGTTCCTGATGTCCAAGTTTATCACCTGAAAACTGCCGGACTCACAGACTGAGTGGATTTTAAAAGAAGTCATGATGTTTTATCTGACTTTGAATTTCAGTCTGTTTCATTGACTTTTACCTAACACTGTCTGTTCGCTTGATTTTATTCTTACACTTAAAACTTTGTGTGACATTTTATTGTCTAAAAAGTTTCATATGAAAGATTCTGGTTAATTAAATTAGAGATATAAGGTCTGAAATATGATATGAGGACTTTTTATTTAATCAAATGAATGAGAGTAAAAATGACTTAAAACGTGTCTTAAAACTTGAAAGTATTTCTGTCTAAAAATTAAATTATAAGAGCTGCTCCAAATAAAAACCTAATTGAAATAAAAACTAAATAAAAAGCTGAAATAAGTCAAAAAGAAATTAAACTGAAAACTCAGTTTAAATAGAAATAAAAAAATGTTCTGAATAAAATTAAATTTAAATAAAAAACGAATTAAAATTAAAACTAAACAAAAAGATGATTTAAGTGACATAGAAATAAAAATTAAAACCTAATTTAATAAGACATTAAATAAACTGTTCTAAATAAGATAGAAATAAAATAAAAACCTGATTTAAATTGGATAAATAATTTCTTTTTAAAGACTTAATTTATTACAGCTGCTCCAAATAACATATGATTTTAAATCAAATAAGACCAAATTAAAATGATTTGAATATAATTACCACATAAAAATGAATTTGATCGAAATAAAATGATTAAAATAAAATAAAAACTAACTGAAAGGCTGATTCAGATAAGGGCAAACTCAATAAAATAACAATAAATAGAAAGTTTATTTAGTGAGTTTGATTTCCCTGACGTTCAGACGTTATCAGACTCTCTCTCTGTGACTCATGTCAGACTCATAATGAAGTGTGTTATATAACCGTTATCGTTCATTACTTTTCATGTGAACAAACAGAGAAGAAAAGCTCCATTCAATCAGAAACTCTTGATTTACAGACGCTTTATTATCAGACCTTATCTCAGTGATTTCTTTCATAACTCTGCAGTCAGTCACAGAGTTATATAACAGACTGTGTTCATTATTTAACTCTCTAAACATTATAAAGTGGAGCCTTTGATAATGAGATGAATTAATCACTGTGGTCAGCAGGTCATGGTCAGAGAGCAGGAACTCTGGGCTGATAATGATCCGGGTTTCAGACTGAACAGCTGTTATGGAGACACAGACACATGTTCAGATATATATAGATACATATAGATAGATTTATTTTATTTGTTTGATTGAAATATGCTCGTCTGCAGACACACTCAGAAAAGGAAAAACCTTAAAGGGATATTTTTTAGGGAGAGCACGCACTGGAGCTAGGACACAGATGGAGTCAGGTCTGCCATGTTACTGAACGAGAGAAACCGTCTCAGTTTAGGTGTAAATTTCCCTTTAAAGGGATATTCAGGTGTAAAATTAATTTAGGGTCAAACACATTGTAACACCGAGTTAGACCCCCCCTCCAGAGATGAATGTTGTCGACCGCTTGCTTCTCTAGTTATACCAACTTTAGTAATGACCGCAGGACAGCGGTCTGAGGAGCCATAAACAAACCTCAACCAAAACGCCACTCTATAGCCACAAATAATGCTCAGAACAGCACCTAACTTCATCAACAGGACATATAGGGTCACAGACATAGTACTATATTCAGAGTTGTTCTAACTCCTAAGAAAACATAAACTTAAGCGGGGGCATTTCTCCACTTCTGTAGTCTATAAACTGGGCCAATAAACTTCTACTGTAGTAAAATGAAAAGGTAAAGGTGTTTTTATTGAGCCGAATTATCAATAAAATCATGATTTTGTTAACAGGTATGGATTTATGTGCTGTTGAGTTAATATATTTGAACAAGAGCACAGTAAAGTTAAATCAGCTAATTTTCCAATGAGGTTCTGTTACTGAACAAAACTACATCATGTTCTACTGAGGTTAGTACATATAGGGTCACAGACATAGTACTAGACACCAAACATCTTTTTAACTTTGACTCATTTCTTTAGCAAAGAGACTAAACACAACTCACCTACTCTCTTCCAGCAGACGCTTGTTTGTAGAGAGACCTCAGGCCAGTCCATTACGGACTACAGCGGGGTGCCGCAGCTCAAGGAAGAACATTTATGATCATTACTTAATGGAAATACAATCAGACCGAGACGCTAAGACAGAAGAACTACCGCGTCTGTAAAATGATCAATATGATGATTATTACTTCAGGGAAATGATAAAGAAATGATCCTAACCTAACCTAGTTTTACATATTACATTTTTTTGACCTTTAAGGTGACAGTCTTCTTGTCTGTTATGATGGATCAGTGGGACACAAATAAACAGATTTATTTTCTCCTTTCATTCATGAAAAGAGTCAGCCTTAATAAAAATGTCTCCTCTGTCAAATTTCCTCGCTCGCCCCCTCCTCTCTTCTTTTCCTCGCACTTCTTCATGCATCTCTGGTGGGCGGGGCTACGACACAAATAAGCGGCCCAAGTAAGGGGTGCGACACTTAAGAGCTTTGATCCGAGATCCAGATCCAGCTCACAGGAGCAGAGAGACCAGCCGATAACCCCCAAACCTCCTCCCTTTGAAGCCAGGTCCAGGTCCAGGTGGTTCAGGTGGTTCAGGTGGTCCAAAGAGACAGAGAAAAGTTCAAACCCCACCCTTACTGATCTGAGACTCTAAACCCAGAGGGGTTAAAAAGGGTAAGTCTTTCTCCTCTTAAAGCCAGCCTGCACCCCCATCAGACATTGAGTGGAGTTCATTTGTATCCATGGCAACAGCATGCTAGGTGTGCGAACACTGCGGTTGTTCATGCTGCTGTTTCCTGCTCACAGAGCTCCCGGAGGTCCCACTCAAAGAGAGGCTTTGTTCCAGCTTTAAAGGGCTTTTATTCTGAAAGGACTGAAAACAGGAGCAGAGGGGAGTCACCTCGAACCGGTCCCAGAGTCTCAAACATACAAACAAACAAAACAAAACAAAAAAACAACACACTCATCTACAAGAAGAAACGTCTGAGTGGAAAAAGATGAAACAATCATTTCCACTTCCTGAAAAGGAAAAATCCTCCAAACAAGCTGGTCCACCTTCATCCACAGACTGACCTCAGACAGAACCTGGTTCTGATCCACAACCGGACCTTCCACACCAAAACTCTCTCAGTCCTGTGACGACTGTGGGTTTTTTTTTTTCTGTGACTTCCTGTGATGAACCTTCTCTCTGTTCTCTGATGGATGGAAATGAAGATTCATTCATTCATCTGTTTCATTTTCTTTGTTTCCCAACCAAGTCTGAAAAACTCCATTTTCTCTTTAACCTCATGGACAGACTTCCTGAGACTTCATGAGGTCAAATTTGTTCCATGTTAATGAGATAGAGAGTTCATAAGCAGATCCAGGATCAATATGAGCCCAAATATTTAAAAACTGATCGAATCATGACGCTGAGACGGTTCATGCGAGTCTCAGCAGGTGACAGAGTGAACAGAGCGCAGGTGTTTTTGGAAAATTGTAAAACACACAGAAAGACAAACTCTGTTCTTCTATCACAGAGCTGCCAAGCGTCACGCGTTTTGACCCGTTCTCACGCCACACTTGACATTTCTCACTCTTATTTTTCCCGTTCAATATTCAGTATTTATTTTTTAATGATAATAACCTTGACTTGCTGTAGTTCGAGTAACTCTGATTGACTAACCTCGATAACTAATCCCAGACCGATCCATCAGTCCTTTGAGCCTAAATCTAACCAACCACAGAAGGCCCCACGCAAAATAAACCAATCAGAAGTAACGTAAGGCAGGACTTGGCGTCTCTAACTATCTTTCACACACAACAGCGCCGACATTTTGAACCCACTCGATGTAACGCAATATTGACGAATAAAAAGATTTTGTCAAAATTCTTGTTACAATTTTCATTTCTAATTTCTGGTTAATTAAAACGAGCATTAGGGAGATCGATGTTAAAAAAGGCCGAACACGTCATAACCATAGACTGTATATATACAACGGACAACTTGGTTCCGCCTCCCGCCAGTTTACGGTATTTCCACGATTTTTCTTCATTTCCTGAAACCAACATTGGTTGTGTTGTACGCATTCGGCGGGAGAGTCGCTGTGATGATGCTCGGCTGAAACAGCGTATCCCCCGGTGATCTCCTCAATCTCTGTCCTCCCATTGGCTGTATCAGCTGTCAATCATAGAAAACATGAACCCCCTAATAACTTTTAAAAATGGAGCTGTACAGAAAAAAGAGGACTTGAGCACAAACCAGTCTGACAGTAACTACATGTCAACATCACAACCAGGGGGGAGAAACATTTATATTCTGTGTCATTCATTTATAAAGTTTGTCCACAGCTCCATAAGGAGGCGGGGTTTAGGACCTATACTGCAGCCCGTCACCAGAGGGCGCTGTCCTCAGAGCGAGGAGGCAGACGGCGTCTATTCTAGATACAGTCTACGGTCATAATGCTAAAGTCTCACTCTTGTCGTTTCCGGAAACTTGGCAGCCCTGATATCAGAGTTATTACAGAGCAGTGTGGGCAGAGAGAGACAGCTGACTGACAGCTGACTGACAGCTGATCCACAGGTGATCAGCTGAAACTGACCTGTTTCCAAAAGTTTCAGTGTAGACCTGAACTGGGTCCAGGTCAGGTCAGGCTGGACTCTGTCTGCCTGTTCAGTTTTCTGTCCGTCACCATGACGGACCTTTAGTTTGTCTGTTTTTGTTTTAAATGTGTCGTATTTAGAATCAGAATGCCTTTTATCGTCATTATACGCAGTACAATGAGATTAAAGCCACCCATATCAGTGCAGTTGGAAAAGCTTGTCCATGCATTTATCTTCAGCAGACTTGACTACTGTAACAGTGTCTTCACAGGTCTCCCCAAAAAATCCATCAGACAGCTCCAACTGATTCAGAATGCTGCTGCTCGAGTCCTCACTAAGACCAAGAAAGTAGATCATATCACCCCAGTTCTCAGATCTTTACACTGGCTTCCCGTCTGTCAAAGAATTGATTTTAAGATACTATTGCTGGTTTATAAAGCACTGAATGGATCAGGACCAAAATACATTTCTGATATGCTGATACGTTACGAACCATCCAGACCGCTCAGATCATCAGGAGCAGGTCTGCTCTCTGTCCCCAGAGTCAGAACTAAACGTGGAGAAGCAGCTTTTAGTTTTTATGCTCCTCATATCTGGAACAAACTCCCTGAAAACTGTAGGTCTGCTGAAACTCTCAGCTCTTTTAAATCACAGCTGAAAACGCATATGTTTGCTGTGGCCTATCATTAAATCAAACCTGAGGCCTTTAATCAACATCTTCATCATCTGCCTGTCTTGATCTTTTTTTTTCTATCTCTCCAATCTAACCTTTGTTTTCTTTTATCTCCAATCTTATTTTAGCTTTGAATGTAACTTTTAATCTGTTAAATGTCTTTTACGCTGTTTTTACTTTTTAAATTGTGTTGAATGTTTTGCCTGCTTGTTTCATGTAAAGCACCTTGAATTGCCCTGCTGCTGAAATGTGCTATACAAATAAACTTGACTTGACTTGACTTGCAAGACATTGTAAAAAAAGATGGATAAAAAATATAGAAAAATATGAAACTAGATTAATATGAAGTATATACAATGTAAACGTGTGGACCTGAGATTCTTTTGACAGAATAACAGAATAATTATGGTACGGATATGCATAGATGTAGCAGGTAACAGTATAAAATATAAAGTACACAGTCCTGAGATTCCTGTTGACAGAATAAATACAGTGAATGTACAGAAATAGCATAATGTAATGTGCAGATAGGTGTATACTGTTACTGATTAAACAAGAGAAATAAAATGTCTTTTTTGATGGAATTTGTTAACGACATGTTTTACAGAAGCATGACTGAGTTTGACCCCTCAGGGCCACCGTAGTTTTCTGTTATATTCGATAATAACTGTGACATAACCTCAGTCAGAGGTGTGAAGGTGTGAACGTCAGAGTGACTCAACATCTAAACTCTCAAACACTCAGAGCGAATAAAAGAGAAAAGAGCTGCACCCTCTTTACGTTAACATGAAGCATCCTCCCCCCGCCTCCCCCTGCTGCTCATAAATACCTGAGGGACCACCTGAGGAGCAGCAGCTCAGCCTCCAGCCTCTCAGACAGTCAGGGGGCTTTTATTTTGGTAGGATCGGTCAGACTCAGTGTTTCCCGTCAGTTTGGAGGCAGACCTGCTCTCTGTGGTCTCTGAGCATCCTGAACTCTGTGCTGCTCGGACCAGAGGACTATCACTGCATCACCTGGAGCTCCGAGACACTGAGAAACACCAACAAAGAAGAAGAAGAAGAAGAAGAAGAAGAAAAGTTTGACTCTGACAGGGCGGGAGCGTCGACAGGTGAGCTGCTTTCCTTCAGTTTGAACGTTTTAAAGATCAGTGTTAAAGTTTGAAGGAGTTTCTGTTCACAGTCTCTGATCACGTTTGGAGGAAGTTAAGAAGTTTTTGGAGGATTTTATTTCACAGCAGGGTGGAAATATTCCTGTGTTTAAAAGTTGGAAAATCAGAGTCTCATTTTCACGACTGAAACTAAAAGAGGAGAAAAAACTGAAAAAGAGCGACTGAAGGTCTAAAACAGACGTAAAGGTGTTGTGTCCTGTTGGATGGAGGTGCTGAAATAACTCAGAGAGGATCTAAGTCCACATGTTCAGAGATCTCTGCTCAGTTTGAGTCTCAGTGAAGAACTTCAGACTGTTTTTATGATTTTTAACACAAAATATAAACTTTAAATCAAAGTTTAAACGTTTGTGTTCAGATCCTGCAGGAGCTCCAAGAGTCTGAAAACAGATTCATGTTCCAGGACGACTGAGAGTCCGAGACGCTCCTGTGTTTTTACACGATCAGAGCTCTGTGAGACTGTGTGTGTGTGTGTGTGTGTGTGTGTGTGTGTGAGTGAGTGTGAGTGTGTGTTGTCACCGCTGAAACAATCTGTGTTTCAGGGGGAAACAGGTCCACTCTGAGGGTCGGGGTCTCTGAGGTACCCCACTGGAACTCAAAGAGCTCAGTGTGAACAGCAGTAACACACACACACACACACACACACACGCACACACACACACACACACACACAGAGCTCACATCTGAAGAGGGAATAGAGGCGCCAAGATTTCGTCTTATCTCCATCGACCATGATCACCAGTCCGTTACCGACGACCCAGCTGACCCAGAACGATTGACCCAGAAAGACTCATAATTAGGGCTGGGCGATAAAACAATAACAATTTATATCGAAAACTAATTTCCCTCAATATGAATATAAAACATGATCAATATCCTTTTCAATAGTCGTCATTCTGCGATGTTTTGGTCGACTATACGAACAGCCAATGAAAAGGGGAGTTGCAAACAACTACGTCGTAGCAGACAGCAGCTACACCCAACCATAGCACTTTAACAGGTGAAGCCGACAGAAGAACATTTATGATCATTTCTTAATCATTTCCTTGAAGTAATAATCACCATATTGATCATTTTACAGACGCTGTAGTTCTTCTGTCTTAGCGTCTCGGTCTGATTGTATTTCCATGAAGAAATGATCATAAATGTTCTTCCTTGAGCTGCGGCACCCCGCTGTAGTCTGTAATGGACTGGCCTGAGGTCTCTCTACAAACAAGCGTCTGCTGGAAGAGAGTAGGTGAGTTGTGTTTAGTCTCTTTGCTAAAGAAATGAGTCAAAGTTAAAAAGATGTTTGGTGTCTAGTACTATGTCTGTGACCCTATATGTACTAACCTCAGTAGAACATGGTGTAGTTTTGTTCAGTAACAGAACCTCATTGGAAAATTAGCTGATTTAACTTTACTGTGCTCTTGTTCAAATATATTAACTCGACAGCACATAAATCCATACCTGTTAACAAAATCATGATTTTATTGATAATTCGGCTCAATAAAAACACCTTTACCTTTTCATTTTACTACAGTAGAAGTTTATTGGCCCAGCTTATAGACTACAGAAGTGGAGAAACGCCCCCACTTAAGTTTATGTTTTCTTAGGAGTTACAACAACTCTGAATATAGTACTATGTCTGTGACCCTATATGTCCTGTTGATGAAGTTAGGTGCTGTTCTGAGCATTATTTGTGGCTATAGAGTGGCGTTTTGGTTGGGGGCGTGGCTCTCTGTATTGCTATCCTGAGGTTGTTACTAAAGTTGGTATAACTAGAGAAGCAAGCGGTCGACAACATTCATCTCTGGAGGGGGGGTCTAACTCCGTGTTACGGTGTGTTTGACCCTGAATTAATTTTAATCCAGAATATCCTTTTCAGGAACATTTATATATAAATACATGAGATTATAGCTGTGTGGATAATATCCACCCCCCCCATCCCAGTGGCAGGTTGGTGTCAACACATGAAAGGAAAATGAACATGATAGGACTAACACACACACAGAGCATATTAAAGGACAAACAGCATACATGAACCAGAGACAAACTGAAGGACATACAGTCCAAACTCAATCAGGGGAGCCGTGATCATTTACACAGTGCTGGAGTGCTAATTAAAGCGCCATGAAAGCTGCCTGGAAGCTCAGGCCCTCTTCATTTCACACATTATCCTGCTGCCCACCATGATACAGTGACATGCAGATGTGTGAGGGGACATTAGACTAGAAAGAGCATACATAGATGTTTTATGTAGGCACTTATTCACAGAAATAGAATACCTAGATGTAGAGATGTGAGCGACAGTGGGTCATTTTGGATGGTACCCCGACACTCTGAGCCAATCAGACAAAACAGACACAGTTATGGTCACAGATCTACTGACAACGTGATGATAAGAAACGACTCAGAAACACACACACACACACACACACACACACACACACACACACACACACACACACACACACACACACACCTGTGCGGAGGTCAAACAGACATCTCTTTCTGAGTCCTCTCAGCTGTTTCTGTGACCTGACGTCAGAAACTTCAGAGTTACATAAACTCTGTTTGTAAAGTGAGAGGCGGAGCTCAGGTGTGAGGGGGCGGGGCTTCCTCCTCCTTCTTCTTCTCTGGTCCATAAATGAATGTTTTGTTCAGGAGTTTGAGTGTTATCGCTGACAGACAGTTACCGTTTCATACAGGTGTCTTTATTTTTACTTAAAAACTAATGAGACCAGAACACTGACGGGTATTTTCTAAGACTTTAAGTCTCAATTGTTAATGACGGACAGGTGTTTCTCAGAGATACTCACAGAGTTTAAAGACCTGGACATGTGGATGATGAAAAGATTAGTGACGCTAAACATGATCAGAAGAACTCCATGTCCATCTCACACTCGTGTCTGTCTGAAACATCTGAGGATATAACATCAGACCAGGGTTTGGGCCGAACTTGAACACCACTTGCAGGTTAAAAAAGTAAGACCTAAATTGGCATTTGTCACTCTTTACACAGCTTTTCCATTCACTAACATGTTGTGGGTGTTACTTTCTACACAGCCTTCCCACTAAGAGAGATTTAGACACAATCAAAAAGCGTAACATTTCCTTTTGTTATCAAATGATGTTGTATTTCTTTAACACAACTTTCCTACAGGTGAAGAGAAAGTTAAGTTTAAAGTGTTAAAGAAAAATGAGCCGAAAAACTGTTCAGACAAAAACTTCAATTCAGCTTTTACAAAACTGAAGAAAAACAGAATCTTGTTTACAAACTCAAAGTGAAATAAGTTTTTTAATAACTGAGAAAAATCTGTGTGTACCTGTGTGTACCTGTGTGTGTGAAACGTGTCTAAAAGTAACTCCGATGACCTCAGCTTACACGCAGGTTTATTTTAGAGATGTTTACACTGAATTATTGGATGGCGTTTTTCCTCCGGTCTGACGCTCTTAAAGCTGCATGTTTGTGGTCATGTTTCAAACATTCCTGCTGTGGTACATGTGTGTATAAGTGCGTGTATTTGTGTGTGAATGAATGTCCTCAGAGTGTGTTTAAAGTCTCGGGGTGTTCCCCAGCAGAAGGAGGGAGGGGCAGGAAGTGTTACTCAGATGGAATAACGGCAAACATTGACTTTGAAAGAACTGGAGCTCCTTGTTTTCCAGTGAGAAAATAAGAGCGTGCTGTTGGAGCGTGTGCGTTAAAGAAAGCGGCGGCTGTGGTGGTGGTGAAGGGAAGCTGGAAACATGTCTGCACGGAGAGTTTGAGGCTGTGAGGCGGAGGATCAGACGGACTCTGTCTGTGACCTCAGGCCGATGACTGACTCCGTTACTCACGCTGGTTTTTGTTAAAGTCGCAAATGTTACAGCAGCATCCCCGCTTCGGAGGCTAGAGATACATAACCTTTTCAAAAGCCTTATTTGCACAAGATTAGACTTCATTCACTAATTCTGGAGGCCTTTAACCATCTAGACCTGACCTCTGGTATCATAAGCAGTCTATAAACTACAGTCATAAACTTCCACGCTCTATAGCAGCTTCTATTGAGCCAAACCTACAGGAATAACTGTGGATAAAACATGTTTTATAACCCACTATGTAACATCCTCTGAGTGGAGAAAAGGTGGTAGTTTTCATTGTTGTTTTGATTATTTTTGTTCACTGATCACGGCTCATTTCACTAAAATCATCATGATGATGCAGAAATGAGCTGAGGCCTTTATAACCTCTGGAGTGTTATTATCAGACCACCTCTGAGTGTCTGACATATGGTCCCTAATATTTTGTACTTTACCAAATGCACTTGTCCAGAAAATGTCCACTTTTTACTTACTCCACATGGAATCTGCAAACAGACACGCGTTTACGTAGAAATGTCTGTTTTTCTCTTTTACCTCTTTTATCTTATTTTAACTTACTGTCTTTTTAGTCTTTGTTTTACTTGTAATCTTTCCGTTTTAACCTTTTTGGCCTCTTATTGATTTTATTGTTTTTTCCTTATTCCATTTTATCATTACTATTACCATCATTATGATTTTGTTATGATTTTATTATCATTATTAATATCGTCTTTTTATATCTACTATCCTATCACCTGCTTTCTTCCCCCCTTTTTTTATTACCATTTCTTTTTCTTACCTGTTTTATGTTTTTATTTCGGTCCTCGTGGTCTCATTTATGTTGTAGGGTTCTTGTATTGTCTGGGTTTCTTCTATTCAGAGGCTTCTGTTTTTTATTCGTCTTTATTTCCATGTGCTGATGTTCTGAGCTTTACGACTGTTTGTCACAGAACTTTGTAAACTTCTGTTTTTAAAAGTGTAAAAGCTGTAAAAATAAAGTTATTACTGTTATTATTAATATTATCATTATGTCTGCTTCATATGATGTCATGTCCTGTCATTAGGCGGCCTGACGTGGAGACAGGGTCAGACTGTATAACCTGCTCTCTTGTTTTAATCCGTCAGGTGTGAACCATGCTGAGGTGGATTGTGTGTCTGTCTGTGTGTCTCCTCCTGACCTCAGCTTCATTTGACTACATGTTTGAGGAGCACTCCTTCATGGGTAAGCACAGACACTACTGACACTGTCAGTTACCTGCTGAAACATCAACATTATCTTCAGAGAACAGAGTTCCCGTCTTTAACTGAGGGTGGGGTTTTTCTCCGTCTCACAGACCCTGAGGATGTGCTGAGTGTCAGCATCCCTCTGGGAGGGCCACAGCGCCCTCTGCTGGGAGGAACATTGATGCTGCCCTGTTACTTTGAGGTGAGGAATCATACCTGAGACTGATTTACCTGCACGCACACACAACACTGGCTACTGAAATATGAACGCCGCACTATGATGAAGTCAATGAATGGAAAATAAAGGGTCACCTGAGCTCTGTGCTGTTTTTCTGCCCTGTAGGACCACACTGTCCCAGACCCTGGAGCGCCCCCTATTGCCCCACTCTCTCATCGTATTAAATGGAGTCTGGTCACTAAAGAGAAGGTCACCACTATCCTGGTGGCGCTGGAGGGACAGGTGCGTATCACAGAGAGCTACCTGGACAGAGTCCAGCTGGTGGGCTACCCAGGGACGCCCACAGATGGCAGCATCAAGATCTCTGAACTGAGGTCCAGCGACTCGGGAGTTTACCGCTGTGAAGTTCAACACGGCATCGAAGACAACCATGACGACGTCCACGTGCAAGTACAAGGTCTGAATGTAGAGCAGTTAACAAAGATACCAACAGCTGCAAATCACTGCTAACACATCTGTCACATTAAGATAGACACCACACAGACACAGACAGCTGCGAATCACTGCTAACATGCCAGCTAAGCAGTCCTGTAAAAAGTTTGAACTCATGAATGAATGAGCAGTTTTGTTTTCGCTGCTCTCCTATCTCAGTGGCGTCGCTGTGTTTCTTTTCAAAGGTTTGGTCTTTCACTATCGGGCCATCATGGGGCGCTATAGTCTGACTTTTGAGAAGGCGAAGGCAGCATGCAGCCTGAACAGCGCTGTCGTGGCCTCACCCGAACAGCTCCAGGCGGCGTTTGAGGATGGGTTCCACCAGTGTGACGCCGGCTGGCTGTCCGATCACACAGTCAGGTCAGAGTGAAGTATGATGGACCGCGTCTGTCTGAGAGCGTGATACACAAACATGTTCAGGGCTTCAGATTCCTGCTTCTTTACAGTATGAACGGTTGGCCCCCCTTCTAGTCTTATTATTAAAAAGGTTTCTATATTTAATAATCTTTTAATTTTATCCTGTAAAGAAAACTAAACTTACTCTTTAAATGAAACAAGGCGAGTTGACTTTTAGGATATGTTTGAAATGAAGCAGCACTTGATTGTTATGCAGAAAGAGCACAGATCTAATGATATCAGAAAAAAACTGAAAAGGATGAATTCACACAAAGTACAGTGTCTTTCTCTGCAATATCTAAACAAAGAGAAGACTGGGGTGACGATATCAGGCTCACCCTTAATTCTAATTGGACCTTTTACAGGTCAGCTGATTGTAGATCCAACCTCTGATTGGTCAACAGACCAACAAAGTAGGTCAGCCTCTGTTTAAAGACCAAAAATATCACTACAGTTTTTACCATAATAAAACTCCTGTGTGTCACACAAATATATAGAGTTCACCCCAAAGAGGCAGCCGGTCTCACGCTCCAGGTAGATTTTAAAGAAAGTTGCTAAAACCACCACGCCAATTTTAGAGCTGACATGGTAAACACAACAACATTTATTTCATTTATTCTTATTTCATTATTTTATTTCAGTTTATTTTTTCTTTAATTTTAGTATTTTGGAGTGATCAGTGTTTTTTTTATATACTTTTATTTAACTTTATTTTTAAAGTGTGTTGTATACTTTGTACTGAGGACACTAAGGCTTTCTGTGGTCCAACCCAAAGGTACCCGATCCTTGACCCCCGTGTGAACTGTTATGGTGACAAAGAGGACCAGCCGGGTGTCAGGACATACGGCGTCAGAGACCTTAATGAGACGTATGATGTATACTGCTTTGCTGAGAGGATGGCGGGTACGTTAAAAACATGCTATTGTGCAAATTTTACGGTGTCACTTTCCATCTAACGGACCTCTGTGGTCTCCCACAGGCAGAGTCTTCCACGCTGCATCTGCAGAAAAGTTCACTTTCTCAGACGCTGCGCTGGCGTGCTCAGCTCGAGGGGCTCAGCTGGCCAACACCGGTCAGCTGTACCTGGCCTGGCAGAGCGGGATGGACGTCTGTAACGCCGGCTGGCTGGCAGACCGCAGCGTCAGATACCCCATCAACATTCGCCGGCCACAGTGTGGGGGGGGTCTGCTGGGCGTGAGGACTGTTTACCTCCACACTAACCAGACTGGGTACCCCCGCTCTGAGTCCCTCTACGACGCCTTCTGTTACACAGGTAGGACATCAGTCAGAGAGTGGAGACACTCGGCGTGTGATTAAGAGTCTTCTGACGCTAACGTTTGTTATTTGACGATGAAATAAAGATCTGGACAAAGCTATGCAACCTTCTTACCAAACCTTCTCCTCGATCACCCTCAGAGTCTCCTGATGAGGAGGGTTCAGGGTCTGAGGAAGAGGAGGGCAGTGGTGTTGAGAGCGTTACTGTGGCGACCCAAAGCACAGAGGTGTTCTTCAAGACCACAACCACCGAGAGTGAGGCCGTCGGAGAGCTGGAGACTCAGCGGCCGACTGTCGACTTCACCTTCACTGAGAGCACGACTGGTCTGCTGACAGAGCTGCCGACAGAAACACCAACTGAGCTACCAACAGAACCACCAACAGAACCACTAACAGAACCACCAATAGAACCACCAACAGTACCAACAATAGAGTTGACAACTGAGCTGCCAACAGAAACGCCAACAGGATGGCCCTCCCGGCTTACAACAGAGCTGCCTCAGCCAACCAGAGTCACAGAGTTTATCACGGACCTGGTTGAGGCGGACACCACCGGGCCTGAGGTAGACCTGCAGCCCAGCACAGCCTCTGTGCTGCCTCCATCTGGTCAGTGACAGAAATGCTCACGTTTTCTCATCCTTCCTGATAATCAACGATCATGAAGACAGCCCTTTTATGCACGAGTGTTTCTTCTGTACAGGTGTGGTCTTCCTGTACCGCTCTGAGTCCGGCCGATACGCCTTCACCTTCATTGAAGCCCAGCTCGCCTGCAGGAGCATCGGGGCCTCTATCGCCTCGCCACAGCAGCTACAGGCCTCATATCTGGCTGGATATCACCAATGTGATGCAGGATGGTTATTGGACCAGACTGTCAGGTGCAGTTTGAATATATTTAACCACAGATATCCAAAGTGTACCTGGAAGTGTGCCTCGTGTGGAGGTTTGGCTCCTGAACAAATACAGTACCACATTTGTCGTTTCCCAGGTATCCCATCACTTCGCCTCGACACAAATGTGCTGGAGATCTGGGGGATAAACCTGGAGTTCGATCTTATGGTATGAGGCCAGCAGATGAGAGGTATGACGTGTACTGCTACGTGGACGGGCTCAAAGGTAAGAAAAGACACACAGACAACAACGGCGAACCTTTTCTGTTGGATACATTCCTGTGTATACAAACTCTGACTGCCTGCTCCTCAGGTGAGGTTTTCCACGTGGGCTCTGCTGAGGGTTTCACCTTTGACCAGGCAGCATCCAGCTGTCAGGAGCAGAACGCCGTGCTGGCTTCCCCTGGGGAGCTCTTCGCAGCCTGGAAAAAGGGTCTGGACAAGTGCCGCGCTGGCTGGCTTTCAGATCGAAGTGTCCGTTATCCCATCAACAGCCCACGGCCAGAGTGTGGAGGTGGGAAATCAGGAGTTCACACTGTGCACCTTAACCCCGACCAGACAGGCCACCCTAACCCCGACTCCAGATATGATGCTTACTGTTTGAGAGGTAAACACAGAGGCGACTTCGACCCAAAAAGATAGCCCTGATGTAATTTTCTTATTGATCATTTTCTATGCCTGTTTCATTCTTTTAGTTGATGTTCAGCTTATTGCGAATGAAACTGGGCTGAACGTCTCGGATATCCAGGAGGCCCTCCTCAACCTGACGTCAGCTGCTGATTTGTTAAGACCTGGTAAAGTACTCTTTTATACGTCTAGATGTCTCCCTCATTTCTAAAAGCTTATTTTTGTTCTCATTATCTTTCATATAAATTTATGTCTCTTCAGCTGGCCTTCCCATCGTCCTTCCCATCGCAGTGGACTCTTCGGGGTCCGGGTCAGGATCAGCAGACTTTGGTTCAGGCTCTGTGGCTGGGAGTGCCTCTGGGAGTATTTCCGGAGACATGTCTGGTTTTGGAGAGCCGTCTGCAGGCTGGGCTGGCAGTGGGAGTGCTGGTCTGCCCAGCGGATCATCAGGTCTTGGCAGTGCCGATGCTTCTGGGTCAGGTCTCATTGGTGAAGGGTCAGGGATCGCCGTGGTTTTCTCAGGCACTGACGGCATTTTCTCTGGGGAGAGCTCCAGCTCAGGAGGACTACAGGAAGCTGGAGAGGGAGGCACAGAGATCCTCATCTTCCCTCCATCTGAAGTAGGCTCTGGGGGGCCCAGTGGTAATGGAGACCCATTTGGATCTGGAACTCAATCTGGTTTCAACTCTGCAGAGAGTGGTTCTTCTATGGACAGTTCCGGGCAGTTCTCTGGTTTTGTCACCACTAAGGACTTTTCTGGGTTCAGTGGTTCCCCATCAGGATTCCCCTCTGGAAGTGGGAGCGGACAGTCAGGGGAACTTTCTGGGAGTGGTTCTGTCCAGATCTTGCTGATAGATGGTGAACTCATTGATCAGTCTGCACCGGTAAACCACAAAGAGCATGAGCTCGGCGGAGGTGTTCTTGCGTTTAGTGGCTCTGGGGACATTTTAGGGTCTGGGACTCTCAGTGGGTCGGGCTCTGGAAGTGGTTCCGGATTCTCAGGTGTAACCTTTGTGGGGTCAGGGCTTACTGAACTCACAGGGTCCTCCTCTGGAGAGCAGGAAGCATCTGGGTTTTTACTCTACAGCTCTGGAAAGGGCAGTGGGGATCATTTGTCTGGTTTTGGAAGCTTGACTTTTGTCTCGGGGTCTGGATCAGGAACTTCTGGGTCTGGGTCCTCAACCAGTGGAGAGGAAGGCAGTGTAACATTCTTGTCTGGGGATTTTATAACTGATGAATCCAAACACACCATGCCATCTGAGGAGCTTGGACAGGGGTCAGTGGAGTACAGCGGGGAAGGAGGCAGCAGCAGTGGTTTCTTTTCTGGTATGTCCTCGGCCAGCGGATCTTCCTCTGGAGACCTTTCACAGGTAGTGCTGCCCTCTCCATCCAGCCAGTGGGCACTAACTAAGAGCACCACAGGACCTGAGGTGGCCTTTATCAAGGCTGGATCGTCACAGTCCTCTGGTGGCTTGTTTGGTACTCCCAGCCCTGTGCTTGCCCCTGCAGGACTGGCTGCCCCTCGCATCTACGTCGCAGCTTCACCAGCCTCTGTGCAGAGTCCAGGAGGTGACGAACACACTGGTTCAGTGGAGGGTAGGTAAAAACTGTCTTTTTGTGAGATGTGTCTGTCCTCACCGTCAACAGTCATCAACGACTTATGGAACAACTTTTACATTCAGTTTCAGTTACCCGAGAAGCTGGTGAAGCTCCTCTAGGTGATATCCAGACATGTTTGGGAGTGCAAAGGAGAAAGAAGCTTACACACCGTTTGCACTTATGTCTGCCTCACCCCCAATTTTCATCGCATCCAGAGAAGCTCCAATCCCGAATGGCGCCGATTACTACCAGATACGTTTGCGAATTACGGACAGCAGTAATTGCAAGAACTCACAAGAACCCGCAGATTCACGAACAATCGTGCAATAACACGTTTTTTCTTAGCCACAGAGGCTAACCGTATAAGCAGTAGATTGTGTCCTTCCAGAGGAGGAAATCTACTTCTAGACTTCTAGAATCAGCATCTCCTCATCCATGGTGTCATCGGGGTGAAATGACGTCTAAAAACCTTTCACTTGTTCGTCTCCGCCCGTTTGCATGGTGTGAAATACGATCCTCCTGAAACACGGAGTGTTTTATTTTGAAAAGAAGCCGGATGTTTTATTTTGTGTCTGTGCCCGACTTCCTTTCCAGCACGGGTTAATCTGTGCTGAATTTATCCGCCATGCTCCGGCGTCCAGAAAGAAGTCGGTGTAAATTGACACGTTAACTTGAACGGTTACGATCAGCGGTTACGGCCTTTTCGTTGCTGTTCTGGATGCGGTGGAAATTGGGGGTTAGAGTTCGTGGATCCCTGATGATTCCAGTGTCCCGTTCATGGGGGTGAATTGCTCCATCGAAGGAAATAAAACCTTAAGTCTCCACGTCATTATGGCGGAGAGGCTACAGATGTCTGATATCTAATAAATAAAGATATTCACATAAACATGAATGGGTTTCTGGCTAACTCACCTCTGTGTCCTTGTTGTATGTCAGTGGAAACATGGGAGGATGCTTTTGTATCGGGCTCTAAACATGTTCGGACATTTTAACATGTGGACTCTACGGGGGACTGACTCAATTTTGGGGACAGCTTCAAGTGGGCACCAGAAGAACTGCAGTTTTTGGGTCTGTCAGTGCGGACTCTCAGAGAGTTCAACATTCATTCTCAATCATCTCAACTGTATTTGTAGGTGTTTTCAACCCCTGTGAACCCAACCCGTGTGGAAACTCTGCCTGCTCCGTAGAGGACGGGGTTGCTTCCTGCCATGGTGAGTCCAAACTCAGCGGCCATGTTTGACTCTTCTTTCTGTTCCTGAAAACCTGATTTTAAAAATCTCTCTGATTGGTTTGGTTCATCTGTATTTTCCCTCTTTAAAGAGTTTGCATGTGTTACATTGTTTTGCATTCTGTTTATTAATCGGCCTGTCAGTTGTGAATCCACTGTGTGAACGGTTTAGCTCCGCCCACTGAGAATCTTCTGTCTCCTCTTGTGTCTGTGATGATGTGTTTTGCATCGTGTTATTGTGTTTGTTGATTCGGTCTCTGTGTTTTTCAGGCTGACTGAATGGAAAGATGCTTGTTGTTTTGTACCTGTGTATAAGTGACTGATATGATTTCGGCCCGCTGTGCCTCTGCTCTTCTGTTCGCATGCTGAACTCAGGCACCGTATGTGCTCTCTGGCATCATATAACAGCTTTTAAAGCTGATCATCTGCTGCAACTCAGAACAGATTCAAACTCAAACTTACTGCAGAAACTGCGCTCTCTGCAGTCTTTAACACAGATGAGACATCTTTTTCAGTGTGACGCAGTTAGTTCGTTGAATCAAAGGTTGCAGCAATGACAGTAATTTTCACTAACCATGCCTGACCTGAGCTGCCGTAGTTCTTCTATCTCACCTTGCTCCTGCCTCACCCCCTCACCCAACCCTTGGCTGAGACAGTAGTGTCACCCGCCCCCTTTCTTGCAGAGGTAGATGTGTGCCATCCCAACCCGTGTGCCAATGGAGCCACCTGTGTGGAGAGCGCAGACTCTTACAAATGCTTATGCCTGCCGAGCTACGGAGGGAATCGCTGTGAGATCGGTACGATATCAGCTTCAGCTTCTTAACACTAACAGCAGACTCTGAAAACAGCTGAACAGAGAGATGCTGCAGCATCTAAACTCTCTGTGTCTCTGTCAAAATATGATGTGTTGCCGAGTCCTGGGTGCAACACAACATATTGCTGAGTTTCACTGGACGCACATCATCCGTGAGGATCGACTCACCGTGATGACATTAAACCCGTTTAGATTCTGTCGCAGCCGTGCAGCAGCCATCAAACTTTTCACTCCCGCAGAGAACATGGGAGTCAACCCCTCGAGCCTGTAAGTGCTCTGAGGACCTGCTGAAGGTCTTTAATCATGTCTCGTAGGGGTTATGAGGGAGGCTCTGCAAACAAGTTCTTGGAGGATCTTTGAAGACCTCCAGCATGTATTAAAGGGATATTCCGGTGTAAAATTAATTAAAGGTCAAACACACGGTAACACAGAGTTAGACCCCCCCTCCAGAGATGAATGTTGCCGACCGCTTGCTTCTCTAGTTATACCAACTTTAGTAACGACCGCAGGATAGAAATACAGAGAGCCACGCCCCCAACCAAAACGCCACTCTATAGCCACAAATAATGCTCAGAACAGCACCTAACTTCATCAACAGGACATATAGGGTCACAGACATAGTCCGTTACAGACTACAGTGGGGTGCCGCAGCTCAAGGAAGAACATTTATGATTAAAGTGCTATAAAAATATAATGCAATTTTTTTCCACTTTTTTTTGCTTAAATCTTTTAATCAACTTTATTCCTGATGATATCTCTCAAATATTCATTCATTTTCAGAATTTTAACCTTTTTAATGCCAGTTTGACTATATGATGTCACTGTTATTTTTTGATGAGAAAAAGGTATTTGGAGTTATTTTCCATATATCAGATGCTGGGCAGGACTTTCTTTTTTTTTTATCAATGTCTATGATGTGTCAATAACTAACAATAATATTAATTTTTATGCATTATTATTGTTTGATGTATTGTCTAATTTCTAAAAAAGTTAAACTTAGGTCGTTAGATGTACAAAAATGTCCATCTCCTAAAAGCGCTATAAAAATATTATACATTAATATTTCTTTTTACTTTTTTTCATCTTTTAATCAACTTCAGTCCTAATCATAACCACTAAATATGTATTCATTTTCAGAATTTTAACCCTTTAAATGCCAGTTTGACTATATGACGTCACTGTTATTTCTAATGGGGAAAAAAAAGGAATTTGGAGTTACTTTCCACGTATTAGATTCTGGGCAGGAATTTCCTTTTCTTATATGTCAATAATTAACAACAACACTGGTTTGATGCATTCTTATTTTTTATTATTTTATTTTTAAGGACCTAAATGTATAGTGTTTTTGTCACACCGTGAATCTTGACCTGATATAATAATGGGTGGTCACGTATTAAAATTTGGAAAGAAAAAAAACCCTGAAATAAATCATCCCATTTGCTTTAACACAGCTAAAATGATTAACAAATGAAAGGTAAAAAAGTCACCAAAAATGAACAAAAATGTCCTTAAGGTCCTTACACACCGGCGAATTTGTGGAGCAAAGCGAAAAAGCGAGACGAAAACGCAAATATTCGCCGGTCCGAAAAATCGCTTTCGCCTATACACACCGGGCGCGAAGCAAATATGCGTATATATTTTGCAAAGCGAATTAATAAATATATATTGTCTTTGGTGCGAGTTCTTTCGCGCCACGGAGGAGAGGAGGACAAAGAAATTGAGTCAACAACATCCTCAAGCGATGATGAGCTCGATATGATGGTTTTGGCAAAAAAAAGAAGACAGAAGAATAAACAAAGGAGTGTTTGGGTACATCCATATCGACTTTGAGGAAGGAGATGGGCGAGTTCCACACCACCATCCAGTGGTCCTGTACCACAATTACCAGCCTCTCTCCCATCGTTGCTCTTGGTGCCAGTGGTGGTGTGTGTTGTGTGAACTGCAGCCGCATGGGTCTGTGACGTCACCAACAACATGACCTTTGATTGGCCAGAGGTCTAGCAGGTCCAGATATTTGCCTGCAAATATCCGAAAAATTCAACACAAGAGCGAAAAAAAAAAAGTCGCTTTTCGCCCCGTGAAAAAATCGCCGGCGGTGTGGAAGGTTGCATTGACTTTATGCTGTTTTAAAAAAAGGCGAGTAATTCGCCTGGCAAATTCACGCCTGGTGTGTAAGGACCTTCAGAGCCCCTGAGGGTTAGAAGGATTACACCCATACTTTCTGAGAAAAATCCAACAAACAAGCTCTTGTAGATATTTGACCGTCTCTGAGTTTACACATCCTGGGGTTGGGGGTCGGCCTTCATGTCTGTGGGTCCTCCTGAGTAAGAGAAACGTCGCCTCTCGTGATGGGAAAGGTGTTTCTAGTGATGGAATAAATGAAGCCAAAGGTCTCTGCCTGGCTGAACTCCACCTGTCCTCGTGGGAAAATATGAAAGTATATATTCAAGTGTGAATCGAGTCTATTAGCCGGATGACTGAATGGAACTTTTGAATGTGAGAGTCAAAGACGAATGACGGAGGACCGCCAAATGCTCCACTCTGTGTTTGAAGGTTGTTCCTGCGCAGTGGGATGGAAACTGCGTTCATCATCAGATCATCTGGAGGCCTCGCAGTCACACGTCTCTCACCAGACTAAACAGCAGAAGACCTAAAATAACATCATTCATAGGCAGCTCAGATGAGAGTGTGAGGTGTTACTCAGGTGGACCCAAGAGCCTCAGACAGGTTCTCAAGGTGGTTCAGAAACCCAGGTGTGTTTAATCAGGGAGGCAGAGAGAGGAGAGCAGAGACAAGGAACTCAAGAAGGAGAGGAGAATAGTCAATGACGAGCACGAGAAAGGCTGGAGGAGCTGGAGACAGAGATGGAGATTCAGAGATGGGGGTTCAGAGCTGGGGGTTCAGAGCTGGAGCTTCAGAGCTGGAGCTTCAGAGATGGGGGTTCAGAGCTGGAGCTTCAGAGCTGGAGCTTCAGAGCTGGAGCTTCAGAGCTGGAGTCAGAGCTGGAGCTTCAGAGCTGGAGCTTCAGAGCTGGAGCTTCAGAGCTGGAGCTTCAGAGCTGGAGTTAGAGCTGGAGCTTCAGAGCTGGAGCTTCAGAGCTGGGGGTTCAGAGCTGGAGCTTCAGAGCTGGAGTTAGAGTTGGAGTTAGAGCTGGAGCTTCAGAGCTGGAGCTTCAGAGCTGGAGTCAGAGCTGGAGCTTCAGAGCTGAAGTCAAAGCTGGAGCTTCAGAGCTGGAGCTTCAGAGCTGGAGTCAGAGCTGGAGCTTCAGAGCTGGAGTCAGAGCTGGGGGTTCAGAGCTGGGGGTTCAGAGCTGGAGCTTCAGAGCTGGAGCTTCAGAGCTGGAGCTTCAGAGCTGGAGTCAAAGCTGGAGCTTCAGAGCTGGAGCTTCAGAGCTGGAGCTTCAGAGCTGGAGTTTCAGAGCTGGAGTCAAAGCTGGAGCTTCAGAGCTGGAGCTTCAGAGCTGGAGCTTCAGAGCTGGAGTCAAAGCTGGAGATTCAGAGCTGGAGCTTCAGAGCTGGAGTCAGAGCTGGAGCTTCAGAGCTTTCACTGGTTGCTCACTCATGAGGGACAGCTGCGCCTAGTTAAAGCAGAGACCTCCTCACCTGTCCTTCTCCTCTTTGGTTTATCAGGTTGTCGTTCCTTCTTCTTCCTAAAGGGGGGCTGTTTTTTTCTTTGAGGGTCTCTGATGTGAGCTTATACACGTGTATGACCCTGTGAGCACGGTGAAGGTGTTTAAGTCTGAGACTCAGTCTGTTGACCTGTGAGCGGACCCTTCCTGTCAGGTGAACACAGGGTCTCTAAAGTGCGCTCAGATCCTTCTGTGTGTAAACGCTGTCTGTCTCTCGCTGTTCTGGCTGCAGATGAGCAGGTGTGTGAAGACGGCTGGACCAAGTTTCAGGGAAACTGCTACCTGCACTTCTCAGACAGACAGACCTGGATGGATGCTGAGCAGCGCTGCAGGAACCTGAACGCCCACCTGGTCAGCATCATCACCCCTGAGGAGCAGCGCTTTGTTAACGGTGGGTTTGATGTGGAGTCATCACAAAGATAGCGATGGAGAGTGTGAAGATAGACGCTTAACCCGTTCTCCTCCCACAGCCAACGCTCAGGATTATCAGTGGATCGGCCTGAACGACAAGACGATGGAGAACGACTTCCACTGGACTGACGGGACTCCTCTGGTGAGTTCATACTGGTCTGCTGTTAAAGAGGGGAGATGTTAGTGCAGGAAGTGGAGCCGTCACAAACCAAGTCTACTGACTGAGAATGAGGCCAAGTTTCTGTTCCTGAAAAGTTCCTCAGTGCTTCAGGCCTGCAGCTCTTTCCTCCTGACGACTGGATCTTCAGCCGTCTACTCGCTGGTGAAATAGACGTCGGTCAGCTCGGCCCCTCCAATCAGAAACTGTCAGGCTGTAGCTGTCATACAGTACGTTTACATCCACAGTTTAATCGGACGGTCGTCTTCTCTCCCTGTCCTCGTTTACATGCAGCTGAGAAAATCGAACTATTGACGTGAACGTGTCCCCCTCCCCAAAACTAGGGGGCGATACGGGTCTTTTCAGCGGCGCTGTTTCCGGACGTTTTTTAAAGATGTCTCTGTTCCTGGTTTTGTGACCGTCCATAAACTTTAAAATGTCCATTTCTGTCAGAACGGAAAGCATTACGTCGCTCTCCTCATCGTTCCTAAAGTGGACGTTCTTTCGTGCTTCGGCGATGTTGCAGTTGCTTCTGAGTCGAAAGTTCTTGAAATGATAGCGCCGCTTCTTCTCTGGTGTTTTTGTTCCGGGGTTACGGGGGCGTGGCGCACATGCATTGTCCGATCATACTCCGACTACGCTGGTTACATGGTAGAGAAAATCGAATTCTAATCACATTATCTGGGTGTCTTAATCAGAGTTCTCCGATTATAGTCGGACTAAGGTGTTTACATGACCTTCAGCTGTCCGGTCTTAATCGGAATAAGGCGATAATTCGCTTGCATGCAGGTATTTCCTCAATAAAGGGGCTGAGCTGACTGGCAAACATTCTGGCTAATATGTTCACTGTTGACATGTAAGTCATGCAGCTTGACTAAAAAAATACTGAAATATCCCTTTAAGTCAACTTTGTTTTTGGAGGACATGTTTTTGATTGCACAGTATCTTTCGTGTGTTTCTGACTCTGTAGCCCACGTCTGATTGGTAGGTCACTTTTCAAGGCCTTTGCAGTCATTCACTGTGTCTGTCTTAATCTAATATGAACATGTTGGTCTTCCTCCTCCTCCTCCTCCTCTTCCTCAGCAATATGAGAACTGGAAACCCAATCAGCCGGATAACTACTTATACTCTGGAGAGGACTGTGTGGTGATGATCTGGCATGATGACGGACAGTGGAACGACGTGCCCTGTAACTACCACCTGCCCTTTACCTGCAAGAAAGGCCCAGGTATGTTCAGATCCAACAGCTGCTTCCACTCAGCTGGGTGATGAAATCTCATAGGATCTGTAACCCCCAATTTTCACTGCATCTGGAACGGTGGCGATTTTCACCATCTGCCGATTCCTACCAAACACTAAAGAAAACACGATAACATGTGACACTACACAACGTTGTAAAATATTCTATATTAAAACTGACATGATATAATGAACTGGGATATGATACATACACCATGAGGTTATTATGTTCACAACGGCAAATCAGAAAACACAATGACGTTAACCGTTGTGATTTCTCTTTCTGTGTCGTGTTTTCTGATTTGCCGTTGTGTTTTAATAATAATAATAATAATAGATTTTATTTATTACGCACTTTACATTTAAAAACAAATCTCAAAGTGCACAAAGCAACAATAAATAACATACAACATAAAAAAAAAAAAAAAAAAAAACAGTCAGCAGATAAAATCAGATAAAATGTTTTGCCCCTCAGGGCCACCGTAGGATGCAACACTTGTTATAATATGTTATTATATGATCTAATTCCCTAAATCACATCATATTGTATCATATATCTTTAATTTTATCACATCATATTATTTATTGTTCATATTACTTCATTTATGAGACCAGAACTCTCTATAATATGAATATATGGAATGATTAATGGTTTCATGTGATTTGATATAAAATGTGATTTTATGTGAAATAAGTTGATCTGATATAATTTGACACAATACGGGACGTTAGATCAGATAAGTCACGATATAAAAATGATATGATATGGTTTCTGTCCTCAGTGTCGTGCGGCGCCCCCCCTCAGGTGGAGAACGCCCACATGTTTGGTGCGAAGAGGGCGGAGTATCCCGTCAACTATATCATCAGGTATCAGTGTAACCCCGGCTTCAGACAGCGCCACCTACCAGTGGTGCGCTGTAAAGCAGACGGGCAGTGGGAGGAGCCTCAGGTGGAGTGTACTGATGGTGAGTTGGCTGTCTGTGGATGCACAGGTGAGACCAGGTGAGTTGTTACCTGGTAGTTACTTCCTCTTTGTTTGTGTCTGTGCAGTCAAATCCAGGAGGAGAGCGGCGGAGAGCGGGGGGGAGCTCCAATGAGGAGGAGGAGGAGGAGGAGGAGGAGGAGGAGTTAATTATTTATGAAGCACAGAAACATCCACTCTGGACTGACTGGAGAGGATTTCAGGGCGAACTGTTGGAGATCCACATGAAGGTGCTACAGTGTGGTGAAGGGATTATGTCTATCTAATATATTTGAATGATCATATATCATAAAGTGATGCTCTGAGCTGATTTGATGGAGTGTTGTGTAATTTAGTTACGATGAGTTTAATGAAAGACGACTGCAGGATGGAGACACCTCAGGGTGCATGTGCTGCTTTAAAGTCCTGGTTGACGATCAGTTGAAAAAAACGGAGATTGTTCGATGTACAGAGCCGACAGCCCGCGTTTGGCTGAAGTGTGTGATGACGTTTCCAGCTTTTCTAGCCAATCAGAGGGGCTTTCCCCACCATCCTACAAACAACAACAAAAAAATACCCCGTCTGGGATGGATGGTCAGTGTTGTAGCAGCCCTGCACCTGATAGGGTGAACCGATTTTTTCTGTTCTTTTTTTTCTTCACTTTGTGGAGATCGCACTATAGGACCATGATCGCCATAGAAACGGGGTTCATAATAATTACCAATCTCTACAATCGTCAACCATGACTTTAACTGGGGTTTAAAGGTTCAGTGTTATTTAATAAATTATAATTGACCAACCAGACCAGCAGGGGGAGCTCCTGACTTTGACTTTTTCCTTCCTGTTCAATTTTTCACGCTAAAGCGGGAGCCTCTCTCCATCCATCAGTCTGAAATACAGCATGAATCTGTTTTTTTTTTTTTTAGCAATCCTTCTCTGGAAACGCTGTAAAAACACGTTTTTGTTTACATGCTGTGAAATGAACACACTGCACTAAACCTCACAGAGGACTTTAAGACGGGCAGAATAACGCAAACTAGACAGTGTTAGCTTAACTTGGCATGAGGACTGGAGGACAGGACCACAGACATTATATACGTAGATACCTCAAAGCCTGACGCTGCCTATTGGAGCTCTCATATCGGCGTGACTGCCATCTTGGATGGGTCCCCCGTGCGCCTCCAGTGCATTCAGGTAGGTAGGAATGCCCAACCACATTGATAATAACTCTCTGAATCTCTGCAGGATTTTTATTCTGTTTGTTTTTTTACAACGGCAGGGATGTAGCAGTAATACAGGATAATTTCACATGTTAAAAATAACATTTTTTAATACTATTTGTAATCCTACGTGATTTGGTTTCAATACTGCGTCATTTTTTTCAACCATAGAGTGCAAAAAAATGGGCATGGTTCCTCGTTCTATATTGACCCCGTTTGGCTCTTGAGCGAACCTGGAGTGGGGAGACCCATCCAATATGGTGGTCACGCTGGCTTACGCTCCAGCACGTAATGAGGCATCTATGTATATAATGTCTATGGAGAGGACAGGGACTTGGGGAACAGCTACAACTTTATTCACCGCAAAGCCATAGGTGTGTCCCAAATCGCATACTTCCATACTAAATACTCAATGGAGTATACTAAGCATACTATGTACTCAATCGCGCAGTGCATGAGTTTCGAGGGCTGCAGTGCTGTCCCAAATCGCATACTGCCATGCGGCGCACTCACCGGAAATTACAGACGAACAAAAACTAAAGAAATAATGACATGATGTGCTGCAGACAAACCACTGTGGCTGATTCTGCCTCTATTCACAGGGTAGCTAGTCTCGCTGGTTGTACAGTCCATGAGCAGGCTCTGCTGGCCCGCTGGTTAGTTTTATTTGCCACGGTTAATGCTGCAGAACCTGGCGGCTACTAGTTAACTACCATTAGCATTTGCAATACCGTTCGTGAGAAAAGACAAAAAAACAGGTTACACCACAAATGTACTCAAAACAATAAACGCTGGCGGTGCTCGGTGGAAAGAACGTGTAAAAAGCAACTTATTACTTACATCTGTACAAAGCTCCCAGGCCAACTGACGCAGACCCACTGACACCACAGCCGTCCACAGCCACTCTTACCGATGAAATGAGTGTGGGCGAGTGTCCACAGTCGGATACTCAAAATCTTGACTGATTTGAGTCATCTGTGTACTTTTACATACTCAATTTTCACGTACTATCCATACTTTTTTCCAGTATACTCAGAATTTTACGTATTTAGTATGGAAGTATGCGATTTGGGACACGTGTATGAGCTCGCAGTACTTTCTGATTGGTGCAACTTTACTTCCTGCACACACTCTCCCGTTTTGAGGAAAGAGTTGCTCCTTATGTGGTGATTGTTTGAGAGCTAATTAAGAGAGAAAGGTGAAATAAGACCAAGTTTATGATAAACTCATAATGAATCTTGTGAAATCAGAACGATGTGCCGACTCTGATGTATTCACGTTTAATTTAGCAGGTATCGACGCAGCTCTCTGCTGGTAGAAAACAACAGCAGGGGGTCAAAGTTACACAAGAGCAGTAAACGTGTTGTAATGTGAAGGGACTAAAGTCAGTCTTAAACAGGGACAAAGTCAGGCTCGATTTATCCCTGAACAAACAAACCCTCCATGTTTCAGGATGAAGCTCCTCTGCAGTCAGAGTTTGATCCTCTGCCGTGAGCTCAGTCCGATGAAGCTGTTTCTCCTCTCTCAGTCACTGCAGGAGCAGAAACAGTCGAGTTGACCTGCCGTTAAAGCTCTAATAGGTGACTAAACTGGACAGCTTTCTGATACGATAGGTGGTGACATCTCCACTTTGAGATCTTTACTATCAGGTCATGTCCAGGTGTGCGAACACTGGAGCATGCTCAGAACACTTCAGCTGGTTTCAGTTTGATTGAGCCGTAAACATGACGGAGAAAATCGATCTCCAAACATGATCCCCAGGTGTTACGATGAGAAGTTAAAAACATCTTTTATTTTCTTGGTACTGTGAACCTCGTCTCTGCGCTCCTATTTGGTGTCTTTGTCGTGGTGTCGGGGGGGCTGTGCCTCCTTCAGCTGCATGATGACTCCGTTTGCTCTCTAATGATAAGACTGAGGGGTCATGTGACGTTTTAATGTTTGATGTTTGCTCCTTTATTGGCCCTCGTTATGAAAGCATGAATCTAATTCTTGTGTTTTTAAAACAAACTGTTGTCATGAATGAAACTAAGGCTACGTTCTCACTGCAGGTTCTGATACACAATTCAGACTTTTTGTTAAATCCGATCTTTTTGTGCGGTCGTTCACATTACAACAACAAATGTGGCATCTAATGTGAATGAAATGTATCCGTGAAGTGACCCGCATGCAGACAGAGCACAAATTGCTTTCCGCACTTGTTTGTGTTGTGGAACGATGGTGACGTTTGTCACATCACATCGGATCTAGGCCTGCACGATATATCGTTTTAGCATCGTCATCGCGATGTACGTGTGTGCGATAGTCCCATCGCAGAGCCTGCGATATTGGAGGTGAATGAACTCAGTTAATTTCAAGGGTAGCTGACTGAGATACACTGCATGTGACTCTGCATGTGCTGTGCAGCGATCCACCAATCACATTCGTTCTTTACTCAGTTGCCAATCAGACTCATTTCTCAGTTGCCAATCAGACTACCCTGCCAGCTATCAATCAAAATCAGAGAGGAGGAAACCCACCCCTGCACATGTTCTGCACATGGAGTGAGACGCGTGTCCGCTGAGAATTACTTTCGGAACTTTACTCATGACTGTTAAGCCCAACAAATAAGAACTGTATGGGTTTTAAATTGTACATTTCCGTGGACCACTCTACTATAAGCAGTGCGCGTTTTGCGAGGTGCATGCAATTCTCGGAGGACATGCGTTTCTCGGCACAACACCGCTAACAACAACAACAACGATCGCAAAATGAACAACGAACAGAGAAAACCACCGAAGATGAAGATTTGTTGCCAAAAAGAAGGAAAGTCAGTTATCTGGAATTATTTCGGTTAAAAGAAGGATGATGTCGACCAAAACACGTCTTCTGTGTTCATCTGCGGCCACAATAACGTCCCAGCACAATAAAAGCTAAAACTATCTCTGAGACAGACAGAAGCCATTCTACTAACATTCACAAAAAGAGGTAAGATCAGAGCAGGTTAACTGTCCTTAAGATTTCAGCAGTGCAGCATAACATTAAGTGCTATTCAGGTCATCTGGTGAAAATTCCTGTATTTTTAATATCGCAATATATATCGCCGGGATGAAAAAAATCGCAATATTAGTTTTTTCCAATATCGTGCAGCCTTAATCGGATCCATATCCGATTTATATCCACATACAAAAGAGGCCTGGGTCGGATTAGAACCAATCAGAACTGACCTGTTCACACTTGGATGAAAAAATCAGATATGAGTCACAGATGGTTAAAACATCAGAATCGACCTGCAGTCTGAACGTAGCCTTGAACGTAGACTTTACAATAACCATAATTTATAAATGGCAAATAGATAGTTCATTAATGTAAGTTCATAGTTACTTTACCATTAACAAGCAATGAAATTATGATTAATAATTTTCATAAATTATTAATAGACTATTTATTAAAGGTTTATATAGGGTTTAAATACTGGTTGTAAAACATTGAGATTAAAATGTGTTTCAGTAGCACTTTGTAAATGTTTATTATTTGGTCTTTAACCATCTATAAACATGACTAAGATGGTTATTGTAAAGTTAGGGTTAGGTTTTTAAAATTGTAAAATGTACAATTTATTTATGGTTTATAAATGATGATTAAACATTAATAAACTATCTGCTTACCATTTATAAATGGTCTATTTACCATTTTTAAGTTATGGTCATAGTAAAGTGTTGAAGATGAAACTTTTCTGACTGTGAGCACAGCATGGATGTTAGAAACCCCCCAGATGCTCATCCATGTGAACATCCATGTGAACATCCATGTGCTGCTGTAAGAGTCTCCTTTGGACAGGTGTGTGCTCTCTGCAGGTGGACTGAGCCTTCCTATGTGAGAATGATCATCTGTGTCTGACTGATTCTGGAGATGTGTTCAGGGTCCCAGAGAGGAAGTTAGACTGACTTAACAACTCTCTGTTGGTTTGGTCTTTTTTTCCTGCAGTGACACGTTCTGGTGGTCCAAAATGACCGTCAGGATTACTGTGATCCAGATTAGTATCATGACTATCAGTCTCTGCTGTGAAGCTCATCTTAAAGACAGTACAACACCATAGCTTGTGGTCTCACACTGTGAGATTTCTCTTTAATCGGTTTTCTTTAAACACGTGAGTCGAAGCCGATGAAGGAGGGAAGCTGTTCGAATGTGGCGCCATTGCAACGGATGTAAACGTGATATCAGTGTGAGTCTGGTTATTGAAATGGGTGTACTTCCTCGTAGACATACATGTTTAAGTCCTGTTGTATTTCAGTTTTGGATCACTGGTTCTTTGCACAGAACTGACCTCATAAATGATGATTTCAGAGAAACATGCTGTATATTCACATTAAAGGATTTCTGACTCTCTCCTCTCTGATGATCATTTGTTAAATACATACTTATATCACATCTGTGTCTGTCTGTGCTCACATTAACCAGGGCTGAATAAAGACACTCTTGTCCCCCCCACCAGTCGTGGACTCTCCTAATCTCACACGGTCTCGTAAATTCATTCCGATTTGCACCTGAAAACCTAATACTAAAAACTGGAGTATTTTCTCATTTACAGAGTGATAAACAGAGATATCCACCCCCCCGACTCTAGTATGTCAAATTAATTAGTATGTAAATTAGTGCATATTTAATTAGATGTGACCTCATTTACATATTCAAACATAACATTTGACTAAACTTGTAATATAAAAAATATTTGTCTTAATGTAAGTTATAAACTCGGGAAGTTTCATGCTGATATCAGTTTGTTAAAAGTTTTACCCTATTCACCTTGGGGGTCTCCCCGGGCTTCCTACCATCATGGACGCCATCTTGAAAATGACTTCTTTCTAGTGGTCAAACTTTGGGTAACTTTTAGTTTGTTATTAAGGACGTCTAGTACTATAAAGAACAGCTGAGGAACCTTTGTTAGGATTTTTTTAGGGCTAGGTGTTTTTTTCATAAATGCACCTGTCTACGGAGGGGATCTCACAGTGGAGTCCAAGGACCACCTGTTTAGTTTTCAGTCAAAGGAGCAGCACTGACCGAGCTCAGTAAAACAGCGCCTCCTGTTGGACTTTTTGTGGAGCTGCAGCTTTAGCTTGTTTACACTGAGATGAATTTCAGTTTTTTATTTCATCTGAAATAAAAAATACGTAAATAAAGAAAATGCAACTAAAATATTGAGTAAAAGGGTATAAAAACGGCAATAATAAATATTGAATGCAAAGATCTGAGTCAATAACTCGACCCTTTTACTAAATTAGACACTGAGAGCCCAAGCGGAACCACCGCTACCGCAACGCTGTACCTGGTCGGACCTAAAAGGACACGGATTTCCGTTGGAGCGTTTACCTGCTGGATTATCAAGGTTTTCCAGGAGTTTTCTACTGATTATTTAAAGTATTTTCCTACAGAAACACGGATCGCTGTCAGAGTATGTACACAGTTTAAGTGCTAAATAAAACAAACGTTAAAAAGTGTCTGTAAAAACACCGATTTAAGCGGAGCGGAGAGGCTCAGCTAACGGACAACATAAACACCACAAACTTCTGCAGCAAAACGCGAATTTAACGACAGCTAGCATCCATCTGTGATTACTGAATAATAATTAGAAAATAAAAAAGTACAAATCTGTTAGTAAAAATCAGTTTGAACGGAACTAACACAGCCTCGGGCTAACGCTAGCACGCTAGCCGTGTTTACTGTTGTTGGCCAAAAAAAAAGTTTCCCTGCGTTATCCAGCCGGTGTATGGGGGACCCCAGAGAAACTGCAAAAATCCATAAATTCACGTGTTTCTCCGCGAATAACTGCAGGGTTTATATTTTGAATAAATCTTTATAAACACAGTCTTGAAGAAACAGGTGAATTTGTTGGTGTTCTTTTCTATCTTACTGGTTCAGACTTTACCTAATTCTGTGACTCCACAGGTAGATGGCTGGTCTTCCTCCCCCGCTCTCCTCCCTCTCCTCCCTCCTCTCCTCGGTGCTCCCCCCTGGTCTCGCCGTGGGGCCCTCTGGACTCTGTGAGAGCCGGCTCGGACTGTGGTGGGTGGGTCGACCGCTGGAGGCCGGGTCTCTGCTGGGGAGGAGGGGGGACACGGAGTGGACCTTCAGGTATCAGCCTGAAAACAAAGAAGCTTTACCTGAGAGCACCTGGATCAGGTGAGTGTGTGCAGCCAATCAGCTGACAGCAGGATGACTTGGGATTCATTTTCTGGACTTTTCTTCTTCAGTGCTGTCTCTGTTGTTTTCTGCATCTGCCATCGATTGTAAAGATCAATCAATCAATCAATCAATCAATCAATCAATCAATCAGTCTTAATTTGTAGGGCACTTTTCATACAAAAATGATGTAGCATAAAGTGCTTTATACAGCAGAGGATAGATATAGATAGATAGATACTTTATTTAAGGTGTTGTAGTTCAGGATCTGAGTTAGTTCCAGTTTTTAGGAGAAATCTTGAATGTAAACTCTACCCCTCCAACCAGTTTTCCCCTCAGCTCCTCCTCTCCCCTCAAGCCCCGCCCACAAACAGACGCTCCTGCTCGCTCGTATCGTTCCAGTTAAATTCAGATATAATGCAGATAAATACTTCAGATCATTACAAATGGGGCCCAGTCAAGGTGAAAGTCAAAAGCATTGGTGCTACTGTAGATGCCAACAGACTACCAGCAAACACAATGTTTGCAGGACTTCTACAACGAGGATAAAGTGACATAGTCCAGGACCCGAGGGAGGACAGTTTAGCGATGGCGCTACAACACGCTACAGCAGGTCCGTTTGACAAGAAACACTTCTGTTACAGACACTTGTCTTACTTTGTTAAAGCGGTTTACCTGTCCAGCAGAAAGGTTACAGGGTCACCAAGATCCCCAAGCGTCCCCCATCGTTTATGTTGACCCGGCTTTTTAGCTCTTGTCCGGTCTACCTCCGTTTTAAGCGCCCGTTATTCCTCCAGAGTCTCCGGTATTTACTTTGTTTTCTTGCTTGTGTCGGCAGTCGTGGCCAAAGGAGGATTCAGACAATTTTCCGAACTTTCTGGTTGGTTTCTACTGTCCGATATTGTAGCACGCTAACTTTGTTTGGGCTCCTGAACGACACGGGGGAGCAGCATTTTCTTGTTGACTGTTTTCTTGCTGACTGTTTTCTTGCTGACTGTTTTGGTGTTGACTGTTTTCTTGCTGACTGTTTTCTTGTTGACTGTTTTGGTGTTGACTGTTTTCTTGTTGACTGTTTTCTTGCTGACTGTTTTCTTGTTGACTGTTTTGGTTTTGACTTTTTTCTTGTTGACTGTTTTTTGCTGACTGTTTTCTTGTTGACTGTTTTGGTGTTGTCTGTTTTCTTGTTGACTGATTATGGTTGACTGTTTTCTTGCTTGTGTCGGCAGTCGTGGCCAAAGGAGGATTCAGACAATTTTCCGAACTTTCTGGTTGGTTTCTACTGTCCGATATTGTAGCACGCTAACTTTGTTTGGGCTCCTGAACGACACGGGGGAGCAGCGTCTGCCTCACAACCAATCAGGTTAGAGGAGGTGGAGAACGGCTTTGTTTACAGTCAGAAAGAGCGGACCGCTCAAAAATGTTCAAATGTTGACGACACAGACATAAGAGAACACAGAGATATCGATATATTACCAAATAATCAATAACTAATAACTATTGACTGATATTAGAAGATTTTTTGTTTATAAACAAAATAAAAAGATGCTTCTTTAAGGTTTTCCTGCCGACTCCACCTTTAAGAAATATTAAATAAAATGAAATAAAAACAGTATGATCGATCCTGTCATTAAAACTAGAAAGAGATAAATGCTAAAACACTTGAGGTCAATGATATAAAATTTAGTTCAAAGTAAAACTAAAAAGGTATGTTTTCAGTTTGGATTTAAAATCAATAAGATCAGTTTCAGTCCTCAGGCGTAGGTCGCTGTAGGGATGACCACTGACATATAGAGGCGTAGCTTTGTTGCCGTGGTGATGGATTTTGACGACCAGATGTTCCGGAGTCGTTGGAGGACTCCTGCAGCTTTGCCAGTTTTGAACACGTTTTGATGGTATTGGACTAAAAAATCCAGAAAAAAATCAAATTAAAACACAGAAAATATTTTTGTGTGTTAATGAACGGACGACAGTAAAGGCAAAAAAAACTTTATGATCCCCGACTGAGGAAGATCTTCACCCTCCTCCTCCTCCTCCTCGTGTGTGTGTGTGTGTGTGTTTTTTCCCTCAGGTTTGCCTGCCAGGTGCAGAGTAGCGCCCTGCAGAACGTGACAGTGCAGTGTGTCTGTGGAGAGGTGTGTGTGTGCGGGTGTTTGGATGTGTGTTTGTTTGTGTGTCGGGACATCCAGCCAGGAACAGAGCTGCTGGTGGACAGAAACACGAGAGGAAGAAGACAGAGGACGCACCAGACCAACGCACAGGACCCTGCAGGTATCGATAAACACCAAAATACTGAGTTGACACACAGATCCTTTTGTAGGCGGGTCCAAATATGGAAAAAAAACACCTAACCGAGGGTCAAAGTAAAGCATATTTGCTCCTGACGATTGATTTTACAGCCCTTTTTGTGAACAGGTTACTGTGAGGAGCAGAAGAAAGAGGAGGAGGAGGGGGAGGAGGAGGAGGAGGAGGAGACAGAGGTCAAACAGCAGGGGCACAGACAGGAGGAGAAGGAGGCAGAACCACCTGAGGGCATCGGGATGATCAACCTGGGCCCAGACAGGAGGAAGAGGAAGAGGAAGAGGAGAGCAGTTCACACCTGCAGACAGAGGATCAGAAATATTGGTGATGATACAGGTGTGACACCTGAGGACAGCCCACACTGTGTCCCTGCACTGGACTCACAGTCTGACAGTACACCTGCACCTCCCCCTCTCCCTCTTCCACCTGTTCGCTGCAGCTCCCGCCTGGCTGTTAAACCGCGACGTGTTCACTGCCTCAATAACTGTGGGAAAAAACTCACTGACCTGCTTGAACCCCCCACACAGACAGAGGGACAGCTGGAGCCCACCGCAGACAGGGATGTGTCTACAGAGGTGCCTGACCTGGACACTGAAGGGGCGGGGCTTACCTGTCCAACCGCAGGTGTTAGAGATAGGAGGTACAGGTGCTCCTTCTGTGGGAAAAAGTTCCTTCAGATTGGACACCTAAAAAAACATCAGTTCAGCCACACCGCCGTGAAACCGTTCACCTGTGAGGAGTGTGGGCGGAGCTACACGTCTGCAGAGAGCTTCAGGGCCCACCAGGTACGAGCTCCAGAGTGCAAACATTCAGGTTCAAGTCTCTTTGAGATCAGAGAGAGAATGAGACAGTGACCTGGACCGGACTCTGACCTGCCTCAGGTACTGGGGACTTGACTTGGTTACTGTTCTGGAAACTTGGACTTGTCTTAGACTCGACCGAATGAGGTTTCCTCTTAGATGACTTGATCCCCACTCTGACTTGGACCAAGGTGGAAGGGACCTGACTTGAATTCTGGGACTTTCCTTGGACTTCACTTTTTTTGGGTTCCGGTGGCTTGGACTTGAAGTCATCCTAGATTCTCTCTGGTGACATGGACTTGGAGTCAAATCAAAGTCGTCACAATTTAGATTTTTCTTTTACAACCGGACTTGACCTCGACTCCTCTTTGGTGTTTCGGACTTGACTCTGTCTTGGACTAAGGTACCGGGGATCCGACTGAGACTTAACTTGGGTTCTTCTCTTGTGACTTGGACTCAACTTTAAGGACTTTGATGATTTGACAACTTAAAGATGTTCAATTCTTCTCCACCGTGATCCTGATCTGAGGCACCGAGTGAAGCAACAATCAACACAGAGAGATAAAAGCAAGACACACACACTCTGTCTCCGTTAAAGGGATATTCGGCCTTCAAATTAATTTGGGGTCAAACACACCGTAACACCGAGTTAGACCCCCCCCTTACTTGGGCCGCTTATTTGTGTCGTAGCCCCGCCCAACAGAGATGCATGAAGAAGTGCGAGGAAAAGAAGAGAGGAGGGGGCGAGCGAGGAAATTTGACAGAGGAGACATTTTTATTAAGGCTGATTCTTTTCATGAGTGAAAGGAGAAAATAAATCTGTTTATTTGTGTCCCACTGATCCATCATAACAGACATGAAGACTGTCACCTTAAAGGTCAAAAAAATGTAATATGTAAAACTAGGTTAGGTTAGGATCATTTCTTTATCATTTCCATGAAGTAATAATCACCATATTGATCATTTTACAGACGCGGTAGTTCTTCTGTCTTAGCGTCTCGGTCTGATTGTATTTCCATGAAGTAATGACCATAAATGTTCTTCCTTGAGCTGCGGCACCCCGCTGTAGTCTGTAATGGACTGGCCTGAGGTCTCTCTACAAACAAGCGTCTGCTGGAAGAGAGTAGGTGAGTTGTGTTTAGTCTCTTTGCTAAAGAAATGAGTCAAAGTTAAAAAGATGTTTGGTGTCTAGTACTATGGCAGTGACCCTATATGTACTAACCTCAGTAGAACATGGTGTAGTTCCATTCAGTATCAGAACCTCATTGGAAAATTATCTGATTTAACTTTACTGTGCTCTTGTTCAAATATATTAACTCAACAGCACATAAATCCATACCTGTTAACAAAATCATGATTTTATTGATAATTCGGCTCAATAAAAACACCTTTACCTTTTCATTTTACTACAGTAGAAGTTTATTGGCCCAGCTTATAGACTACAGAAGTGGAGAAACGCCCCCGCTTAAGTTTATGTTTTCTTAGGAGTTAGAACAATTCTGAATATAGTACTATGGCTGTGACCCTCTATGTCCTGTTGATGAAGTTAGGTGCTGTTCTGATCATTATTTGTGGCTATAGAGTGGCGTTTTGGTTGAGGGCGTGTCTCTCTGTATTTCTATCCTGCGGTCGTTACTAAAGTTGGTATAACTAGAGAAGCAAGCGGTCGACAACATTCATCTCTGGAGGGGGGGTCTAACTCGGTGTTACAGTGTGTTTGACTCTAAATTAATTTTACGCCAGAATATCCCTTTAAATCCCCCCGTTCTGACTACACACTCTCTGTCTCTGTGATGATGACACCTCTCATGTCCAATGTTGACATCATTACTGCAGATGAATCACCGAGGAGAGCGCCCTTTCTCCTGCCCTCACTGTGAGAAGACATACGGCCTGAAACGGGACCTGAAGGAGCACTTGGTGCTCCACACGGGGGAGAAACCGTACGTTTGTGAGCACTGTGGGAAGGCCTTTGCACGTCGCCCTTCTCTACGCATCCACCGCCTCCTGCACTGCGGCAGTGTGACATACTCTCAGACCCCAAAGGTAGGGGGGTCCAGACCAGACTAATGGTGTTAAATTACTCTGGAGGTGAAATTCGGATGTTAGCAGCAATGTTAGCCCTGGTTCTGTTTACTCGCAGACGACCTATGAAAGTACTTCTCACAGCAGCTCGGGCTTGATAGTCAAAAGAAACTGAAATCATAGATAAGTTCAAATCTCAGTGTCCATGGAAACCAGACTGGGGTCCTCAAGCCCAACAGAACAAACAAGTAGGGCTGTACGATATTGGAAAAAAAACGAACGTCAATTTTTTTCAACCCTGTGATGTATATTTTAAAAAATTACAGGAATTTTCCTCAGATGAGCTGAATCTGAGTTTCTGCTGAAATCTTGAGGACAGTTAACCTGCTCTGATCTTCCCTCTTTTAGTGAATGTTAGTAGAATAACTTCTGTCTGTCTCAGAGATCTTTTTAGTTTTGTTGTTCTGGGATGTTACCGTGGAAACAGATGAACACTGAACACGTGTTTTAGTCGACATCATCTTTCTTGTAACTGAGATAATTCCCGATAAGTGACGTTGTTTTTCTTTTTGTCTTCATCTTCGGTTGTTTTCTTTTGTCCGTTTCTCATTTTTCAATCATTGTTGTTGTTACCGGTGTTGTGCCGAGAATTGCGTCCACCTCGCAGAAACGCGCACCACTTATACAATTTCAAACCCATACAGTTCTTATCTGTGGGGATAAACAGCGATGAATAATCTTCTGAAAGTAATTCTCGGCAGACACGCGTTCCTCGGCACAACACCGGCAGCGCCAGCGATTCGCTCCATGTGCAGGGGCGTGGTTTCCCCCTCTCTGATTTTGATTGACGGCTGGCAGGATAGTCTGATTGGCAACTGAGTAAAGAACGAATGTGATGAATGTGACAGCTACCGTTGGAATTAGACGAGTTCCTTCGCCTCCTTCATCGCAGGCTCTGAATGTGACGATCGCGCACACGTACATCACGATGACGATGCTCAAACGATATATCGTGCAGCCCTACAACCAAGTCACGATTGACTAGGAGAGGTGGTCTCTGCTCGCTTCCTGTCAAAAGTCTGGAGCGGTTTGTTGGAGTCGACCCACAAGTTTTTTTTGTTCTTGATGAACTAGCTAGTGTTTTTTAGCATCTTGAAGCTGGTGTTTCGGTTTAAACGGGGACCTGGCCTACTTTTAGCCACAAGCATCTTTTGTAAATGCTTTTATTTTCAGTCAAGAGATATCTGGGGATCATAACTAGGATTATTGTGAGTATTATTCTGTCTTTTGTCACCACTTTGAGGGTTAGACATGTTGAAGTTTTTATTCCACCATGGTGTCCAGTTTAACAGCAGGTTTTTAAAAGCACAGTCTTGTTTCTTCTTCCCTCAGGTTAAGTGTCCGCTCTGCCCCAAGCTGCTGGCCAACGCCGGCTCCCTGAGGAACCACATGAAGCTGCACACAGGGGAGAAACCACACACCTGTCAGCACTGTGGGAAAAGCTTCAGTCAGAAAGGTAACCTTTGAGTCCTGATCCTCAAGCTGCTCTGAGCTCATTCACAAACAGGTTTGTTCAGTTTGAAGCTGCTGTAGGGTGTGCTGGCCTGCTGACTGTCCACTGAAGAGAGCAGTCATTCAAACCGGGGTATGTCTGTGTCGCAGGAAACCTGGAGTCTCACCTGAGGATCCACAGCGGGGAGAAACCTTACACATGCTCTGAATGTGATCAGAGTTTTTCTCAGAAACCAGATCTTCGCCGTCACATGTTCTCTCACACAGGGGGGGGCTTTCTGTGCAGCTACTGTGGAAAATCCCTGAGGGACCCCCACAGCCTCAAATCCCACGAGAGACTGCACACAGGAGAGAGACCACACCGCTGCACCGTCTGCGGGAAAGGTTAGATACTCTCACATCCCACCGTCAGAGAGAGGAATAAAGAAAGTCCTGCTCTCTGATCTGATACTGATTCTGGGACCTCCATGTGGGACACTTAAACCGCAGACATGATCATAGGGAGAGATAACCAAAGGAGAGGACAGAGAGAGTTTGCGTGGTTCTACACTGAGTGCACAATTATAGGACAACTTGTATTTTTGAACAGCTGCTCCCGTCTCGTCAATCCAAAATGTTAATAACCCTCAAACCTGAATATTTAAGAGAGTAAGAGATTTTGACTGTCTTAGGAGAATATCTATGTGCGCACAATTATTGGGCAACTACCAGTGTGTAGAATTAGTATGCGACTAAATCAAAAATGAAAAATGTCCCATCTTACTTGTTTATTTGCGTTTGTTAGAGTGAGAATATTAAACAAACAACTTCCCAGACCTCGTTCAGAGAGGTCGACTGTTTTCCTTCACCGTAAATCTTTAGGTTACAGTTTAGGTCAGATGAGGGAGGGGCCACCTCATTAATCGTTCATTTTTAAGTTCTATACTGGTGAAACACACAGTGGAGGACTCTGATGAGTGCGATGGAGAATTGTCCTGCATCAAAATCACGGTCCTCTTGAAAGATGCAGACGTTTTCCTTCTTCTAAAAACTGGCAGTAGGTGTGGGAGTTGATTAGAAGTCCATCCTCAACCCGAAAAGGTCCAACTAGCTCTTTAATATTTTACAACTTTAATAAGACCAGACCATACCAGAACCCCGAACTGGAGCTCTGTACCTGTTGCTGATCCAGCCACAGGCTCCATCAAGAGTCCGTCTCATCCCATCAGTCCATGAAACCTTTAAAAATCTGTCTTCAGATGTTTCTCGGTCCAGTCTCGACGTTTTAACTTGTGTGTCTTGTTCAGTGGTGGTCAGGTTTCAGTCTTCTTTACCTCGGCCGTGTCTCTGAAAAATGAACACCTGGAACTTCTGGACACTCCAGGTAGGTTGCAGTTCTGGAATATTCTGGAGGATAACAGGTTCCTGGTATCTTCACGTTTGAGTCAAATCTTTGTCACTTAATTTGCGTCTTTTTTTCTCAACACGTTTCTTGAAATCCTGTCGACTATTTGCATCAAAACGTTTGATGGTTCTATGATCAATATCTTCGCAATTTCAAGAGTGCTGCATCCCTCTGAAAGACTTTTTACAATTTTTGACTTTTCAGAGTCACTTAAATCTCTTTGTTGGCCCGTTTTGCCTGAGAAGAAGGAGCTGCCTAATAATGATGCACACCTTGATATAGGATGTTGATCTCTTTAGGCCCCACCCTCCCTCATTACACAAATGCACATCACCTGATATGCTTATATCCAAAAAGTATTCCAGTTTATACAGCTCGGAGTTGGAAAATATGCATAAAAATGATGATATGGTCAAAATACCCACTTGTCTTATAATTGTGCACACAGTGTATTTATTATCTTCAACAGTCTTTGGTGTGTTTTTTTTTTTCTTCAGGCTACACTTTGGCCACCAAACTGAGGAGACACATCAAATCATCTCATTCCACGGAGAAACCATTCAGCTGTCACTGCGGCGCCTCCTACACCGTAAGACAGAGTCTGCTTCGACACCAGGCTCAGCACCGCACAGGAGGAGGGGCCAGAGGAGAGGGGGCGGAGTCACTGGGAGGAACTCAGGGGGTAGCAAAGGAGCCAGAGGTACAGGTAAGAGATGGTGAGGGGACTAACAGAGGCAAGAACGACACCGGGCAAACGGCGTCCACTTCACATTCCTGTCACCCGAAGCCGAGCAGAGGCCGACCCAGGAAGTACTCGCTGTCGGGAGAGAAGGAAGCGGTACAGGAGAAGAGGAGGAGGAGGATGCAAGAAAGGGAGGATAAGGGAGCCGAAAGGGGAGGAGATGAGGAATCCATAGTTGATGTCAACCATGCTGTCGTCTATGAGCCATCCTCTCAGAGCTCCGCCCCCCTGCTGCCTGCCAAGGAGAGCTCACTGCACACCGGGCTGGGGCCAGAGCTGGTGGAGGTGGTGATTTCAGAGGGGGCGGAGCAGTGCATTGTGGTTCATGGGCAGCAGGGGGTTGGAGAGCTGCTGTTCGTACAGGAGGTAGGGGGCGGAGTCTGCTCGGTGGCTCAGACAGTCGAGATCAACACAGGATGACTGAGACTCGGATTTCAGTCTCAGGTGGAAACATCGGACTGTTGAGTACTGACAGTTAAAGGACCTAACTTTAAAGAAAGACAAACTGTTTCCTGAACATGTCTAAACTTCTCCCTCCTCAGTTATTAAACAAACTCGGTGCTTAAAACAAGAAATAAACCTTTGCAGACTGAAATGACGTCTGTGATTTTGTGTGTTTCACCTGTAGATCTCTTAGGTCAGCCCACTGTGGTGAAATAAACATCCACAGCTGGGATAAATACACACAGTCACATGATCAATTCAGGTGTGAGGAGTGTTTGAACCACAGCCTACGTAAACCAGTATTTATCATGTGCAGTTGTCTGTGTTTGTCCATGTTTGAGAGCCTCAGGATCTGGTGAAGTTTACCTCCAAATATCTTCAAACATGAAGAAGTTCATCCTGGATGTTGGTCACCCACAGCACTGTCATGTCTGGAGCGTATCTGAAGTCCTGGATGTACCATGGTAGAAGCATCAGAAAGTAGTCAAGGTACTTTCAGGCACGGCAGATGCTGGACTTTGAATTCAACATGTCCTACTAACCTAACCTCTGGTTTCATACAGGTAAATAGCAGGGGGCGGGGCTGGTCAAGAGAGGTGCCGCCCCCTCAGTCTCACAGCATGTACATAGAATCACACAGCCTTTGTTTTTATAAAGCGTTCTTTAAAGTGACTTTGACATGTTTATCCTATGTTTAAAAAAGGCAAATTGAATAAAATAGTCTAGAGAGAGGAATTAAAAGGAATAATTTGCTCTAAAAAGTCTGTTTGGAAATGTCCTGTGATGCGTACACTTACTAATAGTTGACGTATATTGAGCCAGGGGCGCACACATCTTTCTACGTTGAGGCCCAATCCCAAACCGACCCCTACACACTCGAAGTTACACTCACAGCTGTGGAGTGCGCCTCATTTGAGATCGGAGGGTATAAACAAGTGGGTGGGTATGGGACGCCCTCCTCACTCCACCGGAAAACAGAAGGATTCATCACCATAGTAACATAAAGACACGTCCTGTGCATGTCAGTGTTTCTTTTTTAAGTTAACGGGCATCATTTTTCATCGTCCCAGTGAAATCATAAATTCAGCAACCATCACAGTGACAGGAGTTAGATTATACTTCTGATTGTTAGTGATTCCACACGTTTTGAACCCCTTTACTATTGGACATGCGCCTGTGCAATAAAATCAAATGTCAGCACAGAGTAAGGTTTCCGAGTTTCGTTGGATCTTTCCAAACCACATCTTTTGTGATTTTTTTTTTTTGTCAGGGAGACAAAGGTGGACACAAACGGTAATTACATTTGTATGTTGTTTCGTCCTCCTCCGTTTTTGTCGGCACTCTACTTGCAAACCCCGCCGTAAGTGTGCATCAGTGCAGACTCGCTATTTGAGTGCTAAACCGTAGACTCGAGGCGGAGTCAGTGCCGTCCCTACACGGCGGCCATCTTACTCCAGTTTATCATTCTGGTACTCTCTCTGGTAGCTGACGGGAGGTGAGTAATCTGCATGATCAAAAATCCTCCTAACTCGCTGAAATCTTGACAGATTTACAAACGGTTTTGTTTTTTTACAGACCTTAATAACGTGGCTGTGAGTCGGGATGTTTGGACATATTGAAACGACAGATTTACTTTGAGAAAAAAAAAGACGAAATCATGAAGCACAGATGTTTTATGGCTATTATCGTGCAAGGAATAACTTTGAGCCACTTTGCGTAAGTTGTCAAGGCTGAGACCACAATCGAGATATTAATTTCTTGTATGCAGCCTATTTTTATTTTTAGTATTTATTCAGTCTAATTGTCAGTCTTTGTGGATGGTCTCATGTTTATCAGCTGTCTAACTTGGCTAACAGACTCGCTGTGAGTGAGACCAAGTACATATTACAAAGTTGACCCAGTAATTTTTCATCAGTTAAAGAGGCAGAAATGCTCTTTAGTTTCAACAAAACTGAAGTTGTTCATGATTTCCAAACTGTCTGGTTTGTTAAAAAAATATAAAATGGAAAGAAATTTAAGTTGAAAATAAATAATTATTTATGTTATTATAGTTATCCCTATAATAGAAAAATTACTGATATAACATACATAGAATAATTAAATGTTTTATATATAAATGATTTAATACTGTCTTGTGTGTGTAGGTCTATGTCTTTTGTTCTACCTATCTGCTTAATGTTTATTTATGTAAATCCATGGTTAAAATTATTCTTGAGTTTGCAGGGACAGAACTAAAACTCTGAGGTTTGTTACAAACCAAACTGTTTGAAAATTTGTTTAAAATTAATCACTCTATGGTTATTCAAAATTAATCACTCTATGGTTATTTAAATTAATTAATCTATGGTTATTTAAATGTTACATGAACTGTAGACTGGAATGTTAGGAGTGGGCGAGCTGCCCTTAGCAAGATGGCCGCCATGCGCGGACGTCGGTCTCCATTGGCTAACAGCGTGCGTAAGCCATCTAGCGTTTATATATATATATCTATGGCTGTTTCCCTCTGGTCGCTTTACGTTACTGCTTTCCACCACCGGCCATGGGGTGGCAGCAGAGAGCGAGCGGTTTGTTCATGCGCTTGCCTGTAAATAAAACCACCAAGCAAGTAACTTTGGGCGCGGAGTGTCGAAGTAATTAGCTAGAGAGATTTTTATTAATCACAGAGAGAGCTGGAAAAAGAGGAAATAGAGAGGGAAAATTCAGTGAAGTGACTGAAAACAAGAGAGGAGAGGACTGAAGGAGAAGTTTAGAGTAAAGGAGCTCGGACCTTAGCGGCCGGATGTCTTAATTCAGCAGCAGTCTGAAGACAAAGGGAGGAGATTTTCGCGGTCTTTTTTTCACGGAGCTGCCATGAGAAGATGTTTTAGCTAACTGGATTCAGTGAGGCAGGTGATTTATTTTGCTTCACATGTCTGCTTTTCCAAACCAAGGGAACTGATGAAGCCTGGATTCAGACAGGTATGTCGAATTTAAAGCATTTTTCTAGTAAAAAGGTATGCTGTTTTTTTTTTCTTTTTATTTGAGGATGTAAATATAAATGTTTCTCTCTTTTTACTTTTGGAGTAAAAAATATATATTCATATTTATCCCTTCTTGATTGGTTTATCGATGGAAAGGAGATTTTAAGGGTTTGTGTCTACTACTTATACCTTATCTGGAGCAAAACATATCAAACACTGGGGAGATAAATTCAAATTTAATAACTGGTAACATTAACCTGCATTTAATTATACATTTGGCTCAGCTGTGGTGCTTAGGTGTCCTTTGGTAGTTAAACATAGTAATACCACATCAAATGGTTGTGAACACAATGTACATTAATTCTTGTGTTTTGGCATAGCTGTCTCTGCTTTTTGGTTTGGTACAAAACCCAATTCCATTAAAGTTGGGAAATTGTGATAAACGTAAATAAAAACAGAATACACTGATGTGTAAATCCTCTTCAACCCATATTCAATTGAATACACTACAGAGACAAGATATTTAATGTTCAAACTGATAAACTTTATTTATTTTTTTGCAAATAATCATTAACTTTAGAATTTGATGGCAGCAACACGTGATTAAGAAGTTGGGAAAGGTGGCAAAAATATTGAGAAATTTGAGGAATGCTCATCAAACACCTATTTGGACCGTCCCACAGGTGAGCAGGCTTATAGGGAACAGGTGGGCGTCATGATTGGGTATAAAAGCAGCTTCGCCAAAAATTCTCAGTTATTCACGAGCAAAGATGGGGCGAGGTTCACCACTTTGTGAACAACTGCGTGAGCAAATAGTCGAACAGTTGAAGAACAACGTTTCTCAAAGTACAATTGCAAGAATTTAAGGATTTCAACATCTATGGTCCAAAATATCATCAAAAGGTTCAGAGAATCTGGAGAAATCACTGCACATAAGCGGCACGGCAGGAAACCAACAATGAACGTCCGTGACCTTCGATCCCTCAGGGGGCGCTGTATCAAAAACTGACATCAGTGTGTAAAGGATATCACCACATGGGCTCAGGAACACTTCAGAAAACAACTGTCAGTAAATACAGTTCGTCTCTACATCTGTAAGTTAAAACTTTACAATGCAAAGAGAAAGCCATTTATCAACAACATCCAGAAATGCCGCTGGCTTCTCTGGACCCGAGCTCATGTAAGATGGACTGATGCAAAGTGGAAAAGTGTTCTGTGGTCTGACGAGTCCACATTTCAGATTGTTTTTGGAAATAGTGGACGTCATGTTCTCCGGGCCAAAGAGGAAAAGAACCATCCGGACTGTTATCGACGCAGAGTTCAAAAGCATCTGTGATGGTATGGGGGTGCATTAGTGCCCAAGGCATGGGTAACTTACACATCTGTGAAGGCAACATTAATGCTGGAAGGTACATGCAGGTTTTGGAGCAACATATGCTGCCATCCAAGCAACGTCTTTGTCATGGACGCCGTTCCTGCTTATTTCAGCGAGACAACGCCACGCCACATTCTGCACGTGTTCCAACAGCGTGGCTTCGTAGTAAAAGAGTGCGGGTACTCGACTGACCTGCCTGCAGCCCAGACCTGTCTCCACGAGGTGGGGGAAAGTCCTTATGTTGCAAGTCTGAGGCAAGTCCAAGTCAACACAGACAAGTCTCAAAAAAAACAAGTCATATCAAAGCCATAAACCATTTGTTATATGTAAGGATTTAGGACATAGTGCAGCTTTAACCAAACTATTTTACATGTCATACAAAAAATAATCAGATAAACTTCAATAATTGGAAACTTAAACAATGTGCACAAAAATAAGGAAGACTCAAATTAAATATTAAACTGATTCTCTAATTCACTGTTCCAAAACAAGACAAAAACAAGTGATTTTTTTTTTTGCGGGAAATAAGCAGACTTGGCAACACAACACGGTGTTACCATCGGCCGTAATTCCTGACTATTAGTTGATGCGACACTTTTTAAACGGTTTGGGCCTGCTGTAAGGTATTAAGTGACTTGAAAAGACCAAGTCGAGTCGTCAAGCCCCCACCTCTGCTGTCTCCCATCGAAAATGTGTGGTGCATTATGAAGTGTAAAATACGACAACAGAGACCCCGGACTGTTAAACAACTGAAGCTGTACATCAAGCAAGTATGGGAAAGAATTCCACCTTCAAAGCTCCAACACTTAGTCTCCTCAGTTCCCAAATGTTTATGGAGTGTTGTTAAAAGGAGAGGTGATGGAACACAGAGGTATATGACCCTGTCCCTACTACTTTGGCACGTGTTGCAGCCATGAAACCATGAGTCATGAGCCATGAGTTTAAACATCAAATATCTTGTCTTTGTAGTGTATTCAATTGAATATAGGTTGAAAAGGATTTGCAAATCATTGTATTCTGTTTTTATTTACGTTTATCACAATTTCCCAACTTCTGGAATCAGGTTTTGTAGATTAAGTGTACTCCCCCCCCCACCCCCCAAGAGAAATATTCACTAGCCGCCACAGGTAAATACAGGTGAACAAGAATACAGTTGAAATCCTGGCTTAGAAAAGGGGAGAGCGGTGACTCAGGTGTGTTTTTATCAGTGCAGGGAGGCTCCCTCTCCTTCAGGAGCAGTGAAAGAGAAGGTTGATCCCACAGGTTTGGAAGTGTGACCTCCGCTCAGATCTCAGCCAGAAATCAAACCATCAAAGTTGCTTTTCTTCTCATGGTTTTCACAAACAGCAAAGAGACATTTAGAGTTTAAACCGCAAAGTTCATAACTGATATTTAGTCTACTATTGATATGTCGATCAAGATTAAAAGATCGTGGCATTGGTCAGGATTGCTAATGCGGAATTATTTTTCATAATCTTGAGGGTCTTTGGATCTCAGAAACGTTCAACATGGTTTTACATTTAAAGATTTGGTGAACTTTAAAGATTTCTTCGTATCGGATCTGTGACCACAAAGTTCACAGTCTACAAGTCACTGCCATGTTGCAGATGTGTTTGTCCAAAACGAGGCACATTTGATAACTCTGATATTCATACGATCAAATCCTGAAAGTCTGTGAAAAAAAATGCAAAAAAGACACAAAGGATGATGGGGCGGGTGCTTGAATTAGGCCGCGCCCCCTGGTGGAACCAGAGCTTAAATGATGTGGTGAGGGCAAACTGCTCGTCCAACATAAATGGTTGTTTATTGTTCCCATTAGTGTGTGTATGTGAAGGTAAAGGACAGTTAGCAAGAAGACCCGCTTGTCTTTTATATTATAAATGGAGAATCTTTCATGCTGGATCTTCCTGATTCAAGGACAGCGCCAAACCTCCTCTGAACCAGGGCCAGATCTGGGTTGAGTAGAATCAGGATATTTAGAAAGCTGTGATGATTGAACAAAATTCTCCAGACTCTGAATTTCCCTCGTACCTTTTTATTATTTTTTTTTATCTTTTGATGCTTACAGTAGAAAGAAAACAAAGAGAGAGAAGATGACAGCATGAATCAGGTCAGCATTATTCTGACTGAGCTTGTTGGACTTTTCTGCTCCGGTGAGGACTCAGAGATTTGGACCTCAGATCAGTTTACATGTGTTTGCTCCTCACAGGAAACATGATGTTACAGACACATGCTGACAGGAAGAGTCACCATCAAAAAAAGAAGAAAACAAATCAACATTTTGAACCTCACACTGTGGCGTCAGCACAATCCTCAATCCTCTCACTGACTCCAAACTTCAGTGTTATAAGATTTCTGATCACTGATTGGATTTTTACTCGTATAAGGAGCAGCAGAATTCAGGGTGAAGCCCACACACTTCAACATGTAGGCAAACCAGAAGGAAGTTTCTAGAGCAGGGTGTGAAGCCACACTCTGGATCAGGACCAAGCCAAAGTCAGGGATCAGAGCCTGAAGGTCAATCCGAGTCACCGTGCAGAAAACCTGAGAAGACAACAGAGGAAACTGTGACTGATGGTTTCTCCTCAAACTCACATCCAGACTTGAACCACTATGTTGGACTTGAGGCCGAGTCTCAAACCTGGAAAGAAGGAAATCTCTCACTCTGTTCTCAGGAACACTAACCCCCAATTTCAACCACATCCTGATCGTCTCCTCAAAGGTCGTATCCTCCGATCGTAGCTGATCGTAACCATTCAAGTTAACGTGTCAATTTACACCGACTTCTTTCCGTTCCTCTGCGGATCGCCGGACTCCTCAGCTGATCACAAGAGTTCTATTTTTTCTGGACGCCGGAGCATGGCGGATAAATTCAGCACAGATTAACCCGTGCTGGAAAGGAAGTCGGGCACAGACACAAAATAAAACATCCGGCTTCTTTTCAAAATAAAACACTCCGTGTTTCAGGAGGATCGTATTTCACACCATGCAAACGGGCGGAGACGAACAAGTGAAAGGTTTTTAGACGTCATTTCACCCCGATGACACCATGGATGAGGAGATGCTGATTCTAGAAGTCTAGAAGTAGATTTCCTCCTCTGGAAGGACACAATCTACTGCTTATATGTCTATGTGTCTTTCTTTAGAGAGACAACTTGTTATCGCGCGTTTAAACGTGAATCCCCAAGTTCTTGTGAGTTCTCGCCATTACCGCTGTCCGTAATCTGCCACGAAATTCACCTCACAAACGGATCCGGTAGGAAATGGCTGACGGCAAAAATTGACGCCGTTCCGGATCGGAGCCGATCAGGATGCGGTGAAAATTGGGGGTCAGGTTCATCATTTCAGTCCAAACTCAAGTCCACTTAGGGGAATGAAGAAAAACCTGACTCTAGGATACCAAGTCCCACCTCCTACAGGACTGATGTAGCCAAGATCTTCTCCTATGTAAATAATAAGCTCCGCCTTACCTAACTGGTCCAGGCCATGGTGATCAGTGCTGGGGGTCCATCATCACGCAGGTAGCGGACAGATCGGCGTCTTCGGCCATTCTTCTTACAGTCCTAAAAACGGAGGAAGATGATATTCAGAGTTCAGGAGACCTCAGCAGATCCTCTGTGTCTTCTAACCCTCTACGTGATCCACTCTGTAACGTGCTCCTTCACCACACCTTTAGATTTCTTATTTTTGTCTCTGGAAACTTTAAAGAAACATTTAGGGGCATTTTTTTTACGATGGTGCCGTCTAAGCACGTCCAAAATATTAGTGTAACAGACAGGCTTTACTCTGACCTGTAGGAGGCAGTCTGAGAACTACGGCAAAGGGTTAGGGCCAGATAACAATGAAGGTAAGACATTAAATTTAACTTTTTGACAGAGTTTCAATTGTAAACTTTTGACCTCAGTTTTTCACACAGTTGTAGTTATGATACAGGATGCTGTCACACTTTAAAATAACCAAAATGATCTCTCAATCTTACAATCCTATGTGATCTGGTTTCAATGCCTTTTGCAATCGTGGGCTGCACAAGATACGGGCATAGTCGCTTGTTCTCTGTTAACTCCGTTTGGCTCTTATGCGAGCTGAGAGTGAGGAGACCCATTCAATATGGCGGCGACGCTGGATTACGCCCCAGTACGTAATGAGGTGTCTAAGTATATTATGTCTATGTTTTGAACGTTTTGAACCTAACCATTAAGCTAATACCTAAAACCTAGACTTAAGCATGGTGTAGTTTTAAGATGTAGAGTCTGTTTGTTTTGAACGCTTCCAAAGGTCAAATGAAGGACAAAAAAAAAAAAAAGAAACAGCTTCGGTCAACTCCTGTTTCCTTAAAAATCACATATTTAGACTCTTGTTACTTATTACTGTTGTTGTTGACAGAGACCTGGTTTAGTGTGTGTGTGTGTGTGTGTGTGTGTGTGTGTGTGTGTGTGTGTGTGTGTGTGTGTGTTCAAAGTACCGGGGCACAGGTCTTGCCCTTCTTTAAGCCACACAGCTTGACTTGGCAGTGCAGGTAGACATCACTCTTCTCACTACTGGAGAACTGGAAGGCGGCAAAGGAGAAGGAGCTAGACAATCCCATGCCGTTGTCTTTTATGACCAGTGTATTGTCCTCGGAACAGCTGCACACAAACATACAAACACAAATTACATCAGAAACATCGAAAACACTTTTCAAAACCTTCCAGCACTGATTAAGCTGTTAAAAGTCTCACCCATCCTTGATTAGTTGGTAACTCGGTTTAGCCTTTTGGTCGTCTGTTTTGGTGGCCCAGCAGGAGTCAATCACTATGTTGACCAGCTTATCATCCAGTCCCGTGGTCCTCAGCCGAACCCAGATCCTCTTGTTCATTTCAACCAATGTTGCAACGGTAGAGAGAGCGGCATCATCGAACACCTCCATGACGAGGTCATAGGTCCAAGATCCTGCAACAATTGGTGTGACCACAGAGCTGCAGAGCGCGCAGACACACACACACACACACACACACACACACACACACACACACACACACACACACACACACACACACACACACACACACACACACACACACAGAGTGTAAGTATGTGTTAATAGTGTGAAAATGACCAGAGAGGAGGAGAGAGAAAACCTAACAGACAAAAGAGTCACTGAACTCAGTGCTTCAGACCCACACAAGGGCCTGTTCTGCTGTGGACCGACCCACCTGAGGGACGTTTGATGACAAGGAGAGACAGGCAGTCAGTACAGCCTCTCCTCCTTGTGGACTCAGTTGTATCAGGCTATTTCGGCTTCACTTTTATGCAATGAAAGAATGCTGGAGTGACGTCGAGCATCATCGCAGAGTCACTGTTTTCAGTATCATGTAAGATCCACCCCTCACCTGCTCTTGATTTTGAAGGACACGGTCTTGATTGCCGGTTGCTGGTGGTTGCAGGAAAAATCGATGTTTACTTCATCTTGACGGATGATATCTCCGGAGGTGTCAGTCGATTTGATGGAGTTCTTGTAGACCACTTCATCTGCTCCATTCTGCAGGATCACCAAGAATCAGATAGAGCTTACAAAAGTTTCCAACAAGCTCATCATGAGTTTTACCCATCAGAATGAGAGATTTATCAGGCATTGGCATGCTGGAGGAAAGTTTTAGGTCCTCAGTATACTCGGAGGGAAAAGAGTGAAGAGGTTGAGGGCAGAACTCACCGTGACTTCAGCCCCACACATCTTAGCGCTGCTGAACTCAAAGTTCAACAAGCCGTCAACCAGTGTACCCTTGCACGTGGCATCTTTGAGGTGTAAGGTGGAGTAGTCGATGCCTTTTTCTCTCAGGAGACAGTTGATCAAACTGGCTGAAGCGACGTTGTCTTTGCACTGAGTGGCGTTCCCTGAATAACGGATATGAATACAGTTAATAGATGTAACACTAGTTACAGAGTTTCAGAGGCTGAATGGGACTAAACATCAGAGAACATCATAGAAAGAAACACAAGGATAGAAACATTCTGACTGAACAAGTCCAACTTTGTTGAGAAACTGCCGTCTTACCCAAAGTTTTGGACTTCCTGTACTCTGCTGTGTAAACGGGCCGACAGAAGCAGTCCCAGCCTCCTGTATGCTCCTTCTCACCACAAAACTCCTCAGAAGCACAGGATATACCGTGACAGAGAGCCTTCGGGGTGGCAGCTGAGAGAGGCAGAACAAAAGACATGTTAGAGCCAAACCACACTGCTGTGCACAGAAAAGGAAGAACCAAGTTTTCAAGGCAAAACTTGGAAATGGTCACACTAACGCCGAGTGTCTCTGTCCAGGAAAAAGAAGGACAAGATGTGCGACCGCACTTCTGTTGGTGAACTCAGGTCTAAACACTGATTAGTTTGGTCTTACGGCAACTGGAGCTGGAACGCCAGCCGTCCACGCTCTTGGAGGTGAACGAGCTGCAGGCACTGGCGTAGGCCTCCAGGAAATGACAGAGCAGGTTGTCGACTGCAGGGTATACACACAGAGTGTTCTCGCAGGCTTTTACGTAGCCCGCCGCCGCGATGTGTGAGTGACAACTATCGAAGGGCGCTTTGGTCAGGACACCACAGCTGTTCGAAAGAGGAGACAGACACAGGAATGGGTTAAAGCTACAAAACTGGGAGCAAACCTGGACCAGAACAGGAAGACAATCTGAGATCTCACCTCAGCTTTGCCGCTTTGCAGTCAATCGGAGGAACCGTAGAGGTGTCTATGTGTGGGGTTGCACAGCTAGGGGGCGACAAATAACATGAGTTTAGGACTGTTCTGTGGATCCTTTATTTGCATATCAACTCTTAGACTAATCAGGAGGACGGTTCAGAGGAGCATGGGGCTCATGGTTGGACTCTCACCTGCCTTTGACAAGCTTGGAGGTAGCTGAATCTGCTTTGGCACATAAACCCTTCAACCCTACGTCCGTTTTAGCGGTTGCTGGACAGGTTGAGACAGAATGTAAATCAGATCAGTAAAATACTGTATTTATGATGTTTGAGGTCTCCTTTTCTCTGCCAAATAAACACTCCACCTCCTTAGTCCCATAATTCTGCCTGTACCTGTGATAATGATCAGGACAGTGTAGCCATCAAAGATGATGATGATAATGACACCCTTTGAGGTGTAGCTGGCTGTAAGTCCTTTGTCATCCTTACTGACACTCAAGTCTCCAACCGTCTTACTTGTAGACGTCAGAGTGACCTCCCCGTCTTTATCCTGCAGGAAAATTTGAGAAAACTCTCCATCAAACCTCACACACTAACAAGGGCTGTTTTCCACAGAGTTCATAGAAACTGAAAGAGATGGATGCAACTTCATTCACCCCACCAGGGCTGATTGGTTTGGACTCACCTGCACACAAAGGCCCTACCTACACAGACAACAAATAAGTCGCACACATGAGCTGAAAGCGGTTCTCACTGAGTTGGAGTTCTCTTGTCATGAAGGGGAGGAGTTATTCAGAGATGCAGGGAGTTTCAAAAGCAGCGGCAGTGAAAGAACAGTTATCTGAGTCGGTGAAACCAGCAGAAAAGAAGTCACTCAGCTGGAGGACGCTCACCTTGAAGACCCCACCTTGCTCCATCCTGTATGTTGCAGATCCTTTTTTTATCCTCACTGTGTTCACAAAGCTCACATCTTTGCGACGCCGATCCTTGTACTCTGCCTCCACCGAAAAATCGGCCAGTAAAGTTGACGACAGCAGATGGTAATCACACAGATCCATGATAGTGCCGACTTTTCCGCTGGTGTCAACAACGGAGGGTCCGGTGAAGGTGCAGACAGAGTGATCCTTGCAGGCTCTGATGGAGGGAAAGATGGAGAGAAACAAGAAACAAAAACATGAGCCAACAGACAGTGACCTTGAAGCCCTGTTCACCAAGGGCAAACTACAGCCAGAAATGTAGGACAAGTGTTTGAATTCAACCATGGGTTTCAACCACATTTAGCTAAGTAGTCTCTCATGATTCCTTTCACTATGCTCTGTCTCAAAAATCAAACTAATGCTCTCGTAGTCACTCGTTGGTCTTGGGCTCGTCCAGTCAAAGCCAAGTCCTGATCTGATTTCATCTGTGCTCTGATAAAAACTGTTTGTTTTTTCTCTGCTTGTTTGCAAAAGTAATCAGTGATATGAAAAGTTGTGTTCCCGGACCAGGTCACGGAATGAACTGACCCTGGGCTGCTGGTCCTACATGAGGAACTCAACCACGCTCTCTGTTATCGTTCTGACCTCCCCCAGGACACTGAAAGCCAGACTTTGTTTCTTTGCTGCAGCAGCCTGTAGACTCAGGATTGCAAATGAAGCAGACTGACCTTCAGGTTTTTGCTCGGGACTTTGCTCATTATTGTGGTGAAGACAGTTTAATTGATGGTAATGATGAGGAGAGGTGTTAGATGCTTCATTGTTGATGTCTGTCTAAACAAAAACAACCTTTTTTTGCTTTCACACTGCTCGGCAGTACTGGTGTCCAGATGGACTCGGAGTTCTCTGTGGCTCTAACTGATCTTGGTTCCTCTCGTCTAGATCTTTGTTTGGGTTGTTCTTGCTCTTGAGTGTACGTCTGATGAACGACATCGTAAAAGAGGAATATCCACGGAGAGCGACTGTCGGCCACAGCAGAGAAACAGCTGTTGTCGTTGTGATCTCACTGACTGTGCAGATGTGTGCTCATGGGATTGTTTCAGTAGTGGCTGTAGCGCACACTGATGTCTCGCGGATTACTTTCTAATCTAGTAAATATACTTAGAGGGACCTCAATCGTTCCTTTAACTTGGGCGTGCACATCCTGTCGTAGACTCTGCTCAGTGGTGAATGAGGAATCGATTTGAGGGTTAGGTGTGGTGAGCATGGACTGGTTCTCGACTTTTTTGGGGGTTTTTTTGGACTCTGTTTTGCTGCGTGGGCTGCTGCTTGTCACCTGTTTCAGAGGCTGCTCCCTTTCCCCCTGTGGCGCTGAGACTGATTGCGCACACCTGCTGCTCCTCAGCAACCAGCTGGCCTTTAAGACTGCTGCCGACAGAAGCCTTAGTATTGCTGCCTACACGCAGTGCTACAACGGCCCCTCAGAGCTTGCTAGACTAAGTATATTTCCTTCTAGCATTTTTAGTGTTTCTGCTATTTTTTGTAACCCTCGTGTCTTTTCCTTTTTGCCAGTACCTCCCTCCGAGCCTCTCAGCAGCCCACCACCCAGCACTATCCCCTGGTTTTCTGTTTGCTCTCGCCTTTTCACAGAACAATAAACCTGTTAAACCTGTTATCCCTGGTTTGGTTGCATTTTGGGTCTGGTCCTTCCACACACGCCATATTTAGGGTAAGGGCTGAAACTGTCAATCACTGATCCATCTTAAGATGTTGAGGTTGGTTCTGAAAGAACAGCCAGAATCAGGCTGAGGGCACCTTGAAGTTTTTATTTTTCTGTATTATTCTGAGTTTGTTTGAGTCGAGGCTCTTAGGTATACTTTAGCTGGCAAAGCTCTTGTTTCTGTTTTTAGATGTGCTTTATGAATTCAGCTATTCACCTACACTCGCTGTGATGTTTGAGCCTTGAGCGTGCAGGACAGCTGCCGAGGGCCAGGCTCTTGTGGTCTGGTGTTAAGTTTAACTGTTACATCCTCGTTCTGACTGCTAGCAGAACGAGGATCTGACGCCAATACACTGCTTTTTCAGTTCAAACCTTTTCAATAGCAAGAGGATCATTGCTGTCTGTTTGCAATCACAGCGCTGTAATTGAAATGCCGAGGACTCTGACTTACTTAGTTGCTGCATCGCAGACCTGGTTTGTGGCACATCCTCCGTCTGTTACTAAGTAAAGTAAATTATACTTCATTTCACAGGTTTTTTTCTTGCAGTCGGCCAGATCTAGACTTTGATCTTCAAGCAGCACTTGCCCATCTGGGTTTGGGAGTTTAAAAAGTCACAGCTCAGTCACCCGTTAACAATACATGTGCAAACAATGATAAAAAAAAAAAAATGTCTAACCTGAAGTTCGACATGAGCTCATGTCTACTTTTTTCCTTAGGTCAAGAATTCCACCTGTCCTTTTGGCACGTTTTACCAAGACTTCAAATTTCTGGACAGAGAAAAACAAATTACCATCAGAATTATGGAACAGATATAGCAGAAGTCAATGGAGAGTAATGGTGAAAATGTGGTTCAACGTCATTGGCTGGGAATCTACATCAAATCTGCTGTGGGATGCACTGCTTTGGATGAAGTCTCCAGAGTGGGTTTCAGCTGGAGAGGGGTGTCATGACACCTTGTGGGGGTTTTAATGGTATTTTTCGAGTAGAATGATGTGGTGCGCTGTATCCCTCCAATCACAACAACACCAGGGGGAGCCAGTGCGAACATCTGTAAGTCCAATCTCAGACAGATCTGCTGTCAGAACTGTCACTCAGGGTTGTTGGATGTTTTTGCTATTCGTCAGAGTTTTTGGTGCTATGACTGTTGAAGAGGACCTAAAAGTCTCTCTTCGTCTTCTTTTGGTCCTCTAGGAAAGGCTCGGCTATTTTCTTTATGAAGCTCAGAGACACAAGCTGGAGACAACATGAGAACAGTGCAGAATGGGACTATAGCTACCATATGCCAATGTGGGCCACTGCAAGGCCAATGCGATGCTAACAGCTAGCCTTAAATGTTTTCTGTAAAGGCACAACTCTCAGGTTGTCTCATGACTGTCGTGCTGTGTAAAAAGCAACAGCCTAAGACCGTTCCTTACTTCCGGTTGGTGAAAAAGCTGCCAGAAAGGAGAGATTGAGGCTGAGGCCGAATTCAGCTGAAGGTTCAAGGTAAATGAAGAGTTTTTAGAGCTGCAAACCATGCCAGGCTACTCCACAGGTGCCCCAGACTGAAGGCATGAAAGGGAAGACCTGGGGCCTTATCTATCAAACGTGCGTAGAAAAGGTTCTAAATTCTGTCGTAGGAATGACATTTAGAATGTGCGTTTGTACAAAAAATTCTGCATTTTATACATGCGGACACTGGACACACGTAAGTAATCGTTCAGCGTTCAGCAATCTCAAACTTCACACATGTTCTCTGTTGCCTCTGTACATCTTTCATCAATCAGTTATTGATCAGACATTTTGAATGATTGGTGTGACAAGCTATAAAATTAGCTGTGACAGGACAACCTCAGAAGAAGTCTTACAAGTACAAACACAAGTACAAGTACAAGTATCATGTCTTATTTTTTGCGCTATCGGAGGACTTGGAGAAGCGTCTGCTCCTCCTCCTCCTCCTCCTCCTCAGGGAGTGCGGCGTTTTCAAAGAGCGCTCTAATCTGTTCAGTGAGAACACAGAGTGGATTCTCAGCAGGTACCGCTTCCCCCAAAAACATCTGAATGAATTTATGATCCGTGATTTACAACCGTGTTGGAGCGAGAGACAAAACGCACCGACGCCATCATCCCAGTGACCATCCAGCTCCTGTCCACCCTAACCCGACATTTCAGCCTGAGATCGATGACATTTCACAGACAACGCTAACAGAATCATGTCGGCAGAGTTGATCAATAATTTCTCTGACCTCGACTTACATCCAGTTCTCAAACACACGTCAGCAACACGCCCAATTTCACGGATTTCACGCCATCGCCGGATTCACAAATATAATTCAAGCCATAGATTTGAGCACATCGTAATAAAAGCACCTCCACACAATAAATTCAGTTTAGTCACCAGGAAAGGATTTCATTCAATCAATAATCAATAACCTGGTAAACGTTGTTGGAGGAACGCACGACTCCTTCATTCTGCAGAACAGCTCTGTGAGTGTGCACCTCCGTGATTTCAGCGAGGGCGAAAAATCCATTCACTCATCTTTAAAGGGATTGTTGATACCATATATGGTCAGTTGGAGGCGTGTCTGAATGCATTCTAAATTTCATTCCTATGCCAGAGTTTAGAACCTTGTCTGCGCACGGTTGACAAATGAGGCACCTGGTGTGTTTGCTGTGGCTATAGAAAACGGGACAAAACTTTGAGGCGGTATCACAAACGCGCCGATTGTTGTCCCTTTGTCTTTCTCTTTATTGCTTTATTGACTGTATTTTCAGGGAGGACAGGAGTACGTTTCTGTCAGTGTTGAGAGTTTTCACCAAAGCAGGATAAGTCTGAGGTTCTTATAGCCCAAATCTGTTGGGAAAAATGACTGTACTGTGTTCATGATGTTCCATTCAACATTGTACTGTTGTCTGCTTCATAACCAACACCTCAGTATGGGGAATGTTCCTACAGCTGAGCTCAGTGAGTTTCAGCTTAAACAAATACACACTTCAGCACCGATTGTCATTCATCCTACATTTAATGCACTCACCGTGTGGTCCCCACTTCCTTTTCCTGGTTCGATGACCATACCTGCATGTGTGTTGAAGGACATAAGATAAATAGTGACCTGGAAAGACAAACAGATGCTTTGAGTGGGTCATTTGTTTCATGTTGAAACTGTCCATTTTTTATACCATCAGAGTCAAATGAATATTATCATAAAGAGAGAAACACTCACCTCTCGACTCCCAAAAGTAAAGCCGAGTTCTAACACTCCTGTCAATGAAGGATAGTTGCTGAAAAATTCGTTCTTAAGTGCAACTGTCGGAGAGTCAGTTTTATAAACCTTAGATGTAACTGGTGATGTAAATTCTTTATCAAACTTTATGCAGTCGCCTTCAGACGGGCTGTCAAAGTGTCCGTCAAAACAAATGACACCAAATCCCCCTTGCGTGTTGCTTATCTGTTGATGTCAGAAAGATGAGATTAAAACAAGAGAATGAAAAATTCTTTGAATCAGTCAAATGCATCGTCAAAATCATTTCATCACAAATTTCACTACATTTGAAAAAAGGAAAGTTCAGGGCATGAAAATACGAGTCTCCACAGATCTCAGGTCTCAGGCTGCTTGGTCCTCAGTTTGGCTGTTATCAGAGGGCCGCTTAGAGAGATGTTGAGGGGCCATAGCAGTCCAGGCTTTGTGGGCCAGAATGATTGCTTTAAAATCAGATCTGAGCAAAGACTGGACTGATGGTGATGTTACTGACACTTTAGGATCATACCGACACTCCAGACAAGCCCAGGTACTGACTCTCAGTGATGTTCATCATCTAATAGATGGCAGCAAAGTCATCCAGTCTGTTTCATATCAATGTCTGGACTACAGACACCACATCACTTTGGCAAGATAACAGCCAAAAAGGGGTTCATTTCTTTTGAGCTTGTTTTATCAAACATTTGATAGGAAATAAAATGCCCCAAAGACCCGGACACAGAGACAGGTATTCCCAAAGATTAGGTCTTACTCACATAGGCTTTTGTATAATATTTTCCAAAGAAGATGACCGGTTTGAGTGTTATGGTGAATTTGTTCTCACTGTGCGTCTCTTGTGCTAAACACAACAGAGAAAAAAGAAAGGTGAGGGTGGGACAAAACATTCAAACAAACATGTCCTATCAACTCATTCAAACACAGAGAAGACAGCCCACAGAGGGACAACCCAGGGACCTCCTCTCAAACATGACTGGCTATGAAAAACATGTAGATTAGGTTTGGATTTCGTTTCTACTATGTAGTTATTTGGCTGAATTTAAAGGTAAATGAATGAACTAACTCAAAAAAAACCCTCACAGTCAGATCCATATTATTCATGGACCATCAGCTGGCCCGCTCTCTCATAGTCTGGAACGTCATCAGCCATCGAAAAACTCAAATCAGTCCACCATGAGTTTATTAATTCGAGAGAATATATTTCTTAAACACAAAACTCTGACTCAATAATCACAATGAGTATAATAAGTAAATTAAAGTGTGATTTAAGAGTAAAAATGCTGTCAAGTCTGTTAGTATAACAGCCTTTCAGCTGGACAACCCACTTTCACGCTTTGAACCCTGTATTTCGTCCGACTGCCTGAAGTAGTTCAAAAGACTTCATTTCTGCAGATTCTGTATAAGTGCTCCTGTCGTTTGCCCTCCTACACACTTCTATTGTCGTATTATTAACTTATACATGTGTATACTGTACATATATATAGCTTTGTATGCTATAAAGGTAAGCCCACGTCAGGAGAGTTATAATACACCCAACTGTTTTTCCAGCATAGTTCCCACGGCAAAATCAAACAGATCAAATATAAATACAAACACTGATCGCCTTCGACTCATTAATGTTTGCTGCCCGTTGTGCACTCCGATTGATGGGGTCATACTTTTGCAGGCAAAGCTCTGTATTAGTTTTTTTCCAACAGTTTTCTCTCCTTAGGGGGTTTGATTTAGTAAAATACAAAAAAATACTGTAAAACAGTGGTGTCACTTTACATCACTGTAGCTGTAGCTGAGACAGGAAGAAGAGGGAGTGGTGCTGGTGGACATTAAAGATGCTTACTGCTAATGTCGGACAGATACCTGAGCCAACCAAGAGGATGACCAAGAGGATAAGAACATGAACGAGTGATTGTGTCAGTCCTAGAAGATAATGTCGTTTGGCAGAAGTGTGCACAGGATATCGCAGGTTACAACTTTGAGGCATTGTCAAACTAGCTGCAGTTTTCTCTCTGAACAGGTGGGGTGTGCTGCCTCGGTTTACTAATTTTGAAATGTTCAATTTTAGATTCAGTCTGGTGTGTAGATGGTGGCTTACCATTCAGCCCGATGAGAGCAGACAGTAGGAGTAAGAGTCGGATCATCTTGGTGGAGGTCAGTCAGCTGAAAAGGCTGAAGTGCTGGGAGGAAAAAAGAAATACAACTTGGTCTCCAAATCATACAGTTCAAGACTTTTCAAAGCTCAAGCACAAAAATCTCAGCCAACTAAAGTACAGTCTGGGTTTTCCTGGCATTTCTCTATAGGATTTTTTCCTCAAAATTAAGGATCTCCTGGTTAAAAACTGCTTGAAAGACATTTGTAAAAGTGAAGTTGTCATCAGAATTCAACATAACATAGCTCTTAACATGCCTTCGTTTGTTTGCAGACTGACTGAGACAGAGTGTTCAGGCGGTCTTACCCTTTGGCGTCTGGCAGAGGATGGAGATGGAGATGTTCTGGAGACTCTCAGAAGATCCTGTGCAGGTTGCTCCCGGTGAGTCTGCTGCTCTCTGCTGCCTTTGCGCTCTTTTTATCTGCATCCTTACTGCTGCTCACACCCACTCAGGAACAAAAGGGGAGGAGTGGTGGATGGGTTCACGTGAGAAAAGCAGAAAAAAATATAAAAAATTCAAGGTTGGGCCAAATCTAAATAGAGCTAAACTCAACCTCCTAAAGCACCATGCTGCTCCCCCCATGTAGAATGATGCTCTCTGAGCTCCCTCCTCTAAAACCACTGTTGAACTCGGTGTGCTTCAAGTCTAACAAAAGTAACAACGGTAAACACCATCTGAGCCAAACAGAAAATGATTTCAACCAGTGAGAGTTTTTACCATCTGTTCACAGTGAACTTCATGAGTGTGTGCAGACCAGGAGACACAGGGTTTCATTCCCAGAGCAGATTTACTACCTGTCACCAGAAATTTTTCAAGAAGTGGTGTCTAACGATCTATTTGAAGATGGGGTGTTCTTGCCATATGACAAACTGCTGACTGGAAAAGATAACTTTTGGAAATTCTTGCAAGTAAGGAGTTGTATCTCATCAAAACCACACAATATCACTGATAATGTGGTGATAGACGATATGAAATTGCTACTTGGAAAACAAAAAACCTCACAATTTTGCGAAATTGCTAACTCTTCTCTTGATAACGACCCTAACCTGTTAAAAATAACTTGGCAGAGGGACCTGGGTGGTGAGATTAGAGGTGAACAACAATAGTGGCTAAGTGTGGTAAATATGTGAGAGGCAAGGGGTAAAGCTTCACAATATAACGTATTAGATACTACTGCACACCATCTAGACTGTATAGGATGAAATTACTGAAAATGTATTCAGGTCATTGGAACCCTTCTCCCCCGTCTGTGTGGTAATCAGACTTTTCTGGATCCAGATTCTAAATATTTTGAGAAACAAAAATCTCCTCAAGCCCAGAAATTTGTTTACTGGGGGATAAATCACAATTACCCAATTGACCCCCGGGACAGGTTCTGGGACAGGTTCTGGGACAGGTTCTGGCACTACATAAAGAAAATAATGGCCCCCAGTAGGTATTGGGTCTCTGGTTTTCTTGTTTTGCTTCCTTCAAAATACTAAGTTTGGCATGTACCGTGCCTTGAAAAGTTCAATAAAAAGTTGAATATAAAAAAAAAGAAGTAATGGTCATATGTGATGGAGACACACAGATTCTCCCTCGAGGCATTGGAAGCTTTGTTAAGTCCACAATCAGCAACAGAGCTATCCCTGTGCACCAAAAACTGGACTGCAACAAAGAGGTGTTTAGTTTACAGCCCTTTCTTTTACTCTGAAAACAAAGGGCTGTAAACTAAACCAAACGAAATTCAGCTTAACTAAACTAAACTTAATTTAGCTAAATTAAACTTATCATCAGGTTTTTGTTTACCTGATACATTGTACAATAATACTCCCCTTAGGACTGGCTGTTCTCTCAGATAATCTGCATGCAAACCCATCAAGCTTGCTCAAAGAGAACAAAATAATGACTGTGCATAGCGATCCCCGGCTGCTGTCAGTCTCCCTGGCTGTTTGAAGTCGATGTAGATGTGCATGCAGTAGATATTAAATAACTGAACACAGCTGTAGTACAGTGCAGCTTTTCTTGGATCTCCCAGCTCCCGAGACAGACTCTCTGTCTGAGATTACAGCATATCTCCCAGGCCTGCCGTCGATACGATAGAGCTCAGGTCTGTTGGGAGGTTTGGGCTCATGATCTCAGGTCATCGGGTCTGTCTTCACCCCACAGATCTTCTCCATGTTTTGGGAATGAGCCCCTCTTGTAATTTTACCCTCAAGAAATATAGATTTATGGACTCCACCAGGCTGTATACTCAGAAATAGACTTAGTGTAGGTTAGTGATGGAGATCTTATTTCCCAGAATTTGTTGGGGTTTTTTTTTACAAGAAGTTTTTGGCTTACTTACCATTGTGGGATGGCAGTTGTTCTGAATGGTATGATAATATTATACTTAGGGATGCACCGATCTGATATTTGGATCAGATATCGGCTCCGATATTGACAAATTACCTGGATCGGATATCTGATGAATGACGCCGATCCAGCGTTCCGATTCCGTCTTTTATGTCTTTTAATTCATATCATACACAGCAACACGGCACTTCTGTTAACTGTCCTTTTGCACTAAATCAGGGCGTCATTGTGTCTACAACAGTCACACTGCAGAGCCTGAGATATAGGAGGCGAATGAGCTCGTCTCATTTCAACGGTAGCTGACTGACATACACTACATGTGACTCTGCATGTGCTGTGCAGCGATCCACCAATCACATTCGTTCTTTACTCGGATACTAGCCGTGAATCAAAATCAGAGCAGAGGAAACCACGCCCCTGCACATGGAGTGAGTCGTTGGCCGGCTGGTGTTGTGCTGAGAAACACATACCCGCCAAGAACTACTTTGAGAACATTCCTGATCACTGTTTAGCCCCACAAATAAGAACTGCGTGGGTTTGAAGTTGTACATTTCCATGGACCACTCTACCATAAGCGGTGCGCGTTTCAGCAAGGTGCATGCAATTCTCGGCGGGCATGTGTTTTTCAGCACAACACCGGCAACAACAGCAACAACGATTGTAAGATGAGAA